CTAATTAAAGCAGTAGATCTTGTATCCAGTAGATACTGGTACCAAAAATCGATTTTTTGTGGCTTCTACTCCGTGCACCACTAGTCTGTCACGCACGTTCTGCGTGATCACCAGTGTAAGACCCGTACGGTAATCCTTGTGGGATATTCGTCCGGACCGGTTGCACGTATCGTAGTAAGCTCTAAGGCCTTCAGAAGATCTAGTGATGGTATTTCGTTCGGTGGTTGACTCATTGAAGACCAGACTGTGCGCAGTATGCGCGCAGATCAGGGCTTCGTCTTATCTAGTAATTTCGGCGGCCGAGGTCAAGTCAGGTGACCTCGGGGAAATCCACACTGCAAAGACTAGCAGAACCCGCCGCGACAGCGGATCCGTCCAAGGCCACATATGCGAATATAAATTCGGTCGATATAGCTCTAACCCGACGTGGTACGACGTGGTTAAGGCATGCCCCTATAACCAGATTACAGAATCGAGCTGATTGTCCTAAAGGGAATTGAGATAGGGGTGGCACGAGTAATAGGTTTTACTCCCCGTTGTAACCTCTAAAGGGAGCATCTGCTTACGGATCTCTTTATGGTTCGCCGTCGAGATTCCCGGCCAACGAATTCAGGAGATCCACTCCGGCCCGTCGCCCTAACCTAGTTGTAGGCCTTAATCATAGGTGCCGTTGCCTTAGACCTCTCTTGCGCGAGGAGATAAGTACAAAACCTAGGCTAGTATCTGTGCAGGGCGTCTAGGACGATATGGGAAACCATCCGGCCGCCGCTATAATTAAGCTGTAAGGACATATGCTGCCAATTGTGCCTCTTGCTTACGATAGGACAGCATATAATGTTTATTTCAACAAAGCTAAGAACTAGTAGCCTGAGTGTCCTAATATGTAGCACGTCGATTTTGCACAAAGATAAAACTTGCTCTTGGTGTTATTTCTAGAGCTAAAGCATACCAAGAGCTTACTCTTAGCCAACACGACAAGCAGTGTATGCATAGGCTTGTTCTAGAGCTAATACGAAAAGACTTGCCAATATTTGACAGTTTACTACTTAACATATTCGAGAGAGCTGGATATTCTACTACCAGCTATATTGCCGTCTCTGCCACCGCGGATGCAGGTTAAAACGTCCTTAAGAAGCCAAAATAGGCCGAGTGTGTCTTGTAGGCCATAGTAAAATTAGGCTGTAAGGTGGCATAATAGCAAAGTGCTACTAAAGAACATAATAAATACATACATCTATCCTTTAGAATCTTTCATTTTTAACCCTACAATCTATCACTAGAAAATCTACTCCGTTTGGCTTCTACTCTGTCCACCACTAGTCTGTCGCGCAGGTTCTGCGCGGTCACCAGTGTAAGACCCGTACAGTAATTCTGTAGGATATTCGTCCGGACCAGTTGCACGTATCGTAGTAAGCTCTAAGGCCTTCAGAAGATCCAACATCCGTACGGAGTAAAGGGTCTCAATTCAGATAAAGCTACGCAGTACTCCGTATTACATAGCGTTATATTACAACAGGAAAGTCTATCCAAAAATTATCTAAATACTATTACCTAAGCGCTATACAAGCGTCTTCCTTTACATCTTTTTCAATAAAACGCTCCCCTTTCAATCAAAATATAGCGTACAGCGTCACTAGCAACACCTAACGGCGTCCGGCCGTCAGAATCAATAGCGTTTTTATCAGCGCCCCTATCAAGCAAAAGCTTCATCGTAGTCTCGTTTCCATTCCGAGTAGCGTCGTGTAACGGCGTCTGGCCGTCAGAATCAGCAGCGTTAATATCAGCGCCCCTATCAAGCAAAAGCTTAACCGTAGTCTCGTGTCCATCACAAGCAGCGTCGTGTAACGGCGTCCGGCCCTTAGAATTAAAAGCGTTAATATCAGCGCCCCTATCAAGCAAAAGATTAACCGTAGTCTCGTGTCTATTCGAAACAGCGTCGTGTAACGGCGTCCAGTCGTCAGAATCAGCAGCGTTAATATCAGCGCCCCTATCAAGCAAAAGCTTAATCGTAGTCTCGTTTCCATTCCGAGTAGCGTCGTGTAACGGCGTCCGGCCCTTAGAATCAGCAGCGTTAATATCAGCGCCCCTATCAAGCAAAAGCTTCATCGTAGTCTCGTTTCCATTCCGAGTAGCGTCGTGTAACGGCGTCCGGCCCTTAGAATCAGCAGCGTTAATATCAGCGCCCCTATCAAGCAAAAGCTTAACCGTAGCCACGTGTCCAACCCAAACAGCGTCGTGTAACGGCGTCCAGTCGTCAGAATCAGCAGCGTTAATATCAGCGCCCCTATCAAGCAAAAGCTTAATCGTAGTCTCGTTTCCATTCCAAACAGCGTCGTGTAACGGCGTCTGGCCGTCAGAATCAGCAGCGTTAATATTAGCGCCCCTATTAAGCAAAAGATTAACCGTAGTCTTGTGTCCATTCCGAGCAGCGTGGGATAACGGCGTCCGGCCATTAGAATTAGCAGCGTTAACATCAGCACCCCTATTGAGTAAAAGCTCTGCTGCACTACTGCAACCAAAGTAGCATATAATGCTTAGACCTGATATGAGGTCTTTGCTGAGGCCATTGTGTGGCTGTGCTTTGCAAACGTATTTGTACCATGCCGAATAGCTTGTAGAGTTTGGATCACAAATTTCCAAAACCTTCGGTGCTATTGTAGCATGAAGGCAAGCCTCGTGGATGTGAGTACCCCAATTTATAGCTGCATAGTTGAAGAAGGTAGTGTCGACGTCATCCTTAGAGTTGTGGTTGAATAGACTAAGATAGCCCACACATGCCTCTCCAATAACGGAATGCGCTTCGTGATTTGTTATGGATTGCTGCCAGCGTGGCTGTGAAGAGTCCGCAAGTTGAGACTCGGTGGCGAGGAGAAACTCCCGAGCCGTTTGGTGAAGAAAGTAGACATTCTCCTGGTAGACCGAAACAAACAGTCCGCACAATTGCCGTAAATATGACTGGAAGTTGATGGATGGTTCGAGGTCGAGATCATCAATAGACGTCGATGAGTATGTCGCGTGGAGGGCAAAGTTCATCTCAATGATAGAGAGCGGTCGTCTTGCTGCGATGATGATGCTCAAGGCTTTTCTAGCCTTCATCTTTTCGTCGTCATCAAGCTTGTTCAAGATTTTTTCGTACGCCTCGTTGACACTTTTTGGAAGCGAGGAGAACAAATCCTTGACAGCTTTCTCCGTCTTTTTTATCTGCTTTTTCTCCAGGTAGTCGAACACAAGGTATGCCCAAAGGTAGGTGCGATGTTTTACCTGTTTCAGTTGATCGACAAGGAGGTCTTGAAGGTTCGGCGCCAGTTTTTTTTGTTTCGCCAGCTCCTTAGCTCGGTGGACGACCACCAACTCCACTTCTTGACTGATGGCTTCTGATTCCTCTTCTCCTGGAATGCGAATTTCGGGAAAGGCTTCGACAAGTTTGTAGAATCTGTGTATGATTTCGACGTACGGGCGGCATGTTAGCAAAATTCGGATAGTGCTTGGCTGCTTCGACTGAAAGAGGCGTTCTATTTTCGTGACCAAGTCGTCAAAGTTCGAGTCCACACACTCATCCAACGCGTCTAGAACCATGATCACAGGTCCTGCACGTTGGTCCTGAACAGCCTTTTCCAAGACACGCCATAATGCCTCTGAACTGGTCTTTAAGCTGTCTCCAGATCGAGAGTATTCCGTCATGGCATGTTGGACGAGAATAGGCTGTTGGATGAAAAGCTGATGTAGCAGTGCGCAAAATGCCTGGCTGATGGTGTTTTGGTCCTGGTCCTTGAAGAAAAAATAGCAGACAGCTGCTTTCGTCTTTGGTAGCTCGTGATCGATCAGGTATCTGGCCAAGACAGACTTTCCACATCCGGGGTCTGCAGACACCAACAGTGGTCCCGAATCCTGTTCAAGCCATTTTTTGAAGTTTTCGTGGCCGAGGAACCATTGACATGTACCAGCCACTCGTTCTGCTACGCGGCCTTTGTACCAATCATACGACAAGCCGTTGGTAGGATAGAACAATTGTCGACACTTTTCTTCCTTGTCCGTTAACGTTTGTCTGGCCTGTTTCTCCATCCATTCCAGTTGCTTTTCTGCAACTCGAAGCTGTTTCGATAGAAGCTTCTGTGACGTATCCTCTAACGTCTTGTCTAGCCAAGTTTCGAGACCATTGGCAGATTGAATAGCGTTCGGTGGTTTCAAAGTCAAGGAAGACCCCTGCATGCTGGTTCCCGCGACTGTGAGATTTTGGAGGAATATGTTTCCGTCCGAGACAATTTCCTCGATGTCCAAATCCTCCGCGTGCCTGTCGCCTTTGCCGCGTACAGTCTCCAGTTTTTCCTTCATGTACATAGCACAGAGTCCGTAACACATAGATATACCATGGGACATGTCCAGTACAATCTGATCCGTCTTCGTCAGAGACCCAGCTTGTCCTTTGTAAAGAAACTTGTGCGCAAATTTATTGTAAAGGTGTTCCGGAAGAGTGGTCAGCTGCACCTCGAACATGACGCCGACAAACTGAGAATTTGAGTTATCTTCTCGAGATCTCAGGCTGACACGATAGTTTTTTGTTTGATAGGCACCAAACCATGTCTCCCATTCACCGACCCGGCGGTTAGAAGAGAATTCATTTGGCGGTCTCTCTTTTTGGAAGTTCTCAGCGATAAAGGACTCGGCTTTTTTTATATCAGAAGGATCTTCCAAAACAATCCTCAGTCCGATCAGATCGTGCATCTCATAAAAAATGGCTCCCATCCCTCCACGATCCGACTGTTGTTCTTGGAGCTCTCTCTCACGCCGGTTCAAAGAGGCTTCAATTGAATCCACGTTCTTTGTTCGGCTTTCGATCTGAAAAGTAAACCCTTTCTCTTCAAGGCAGGTTTTGCAGAAGTCTTCCAGAAATCTCCGCAACATGTCGTAGTCTGTCTTCAGTTGGGGCCAGATCTGGGTCAAAAATTCGCGCTTGGCGTTCTCGACATCTTGGGTAGAGTTTGTGAAATTGTCAATCTTATTTCGTAGTGTTGGGCTTGGCACAGCAACATCTTGATCATGCCCAGGGGCTGGAGAGGTGATTCGTCGGCGATGGAGTATTGTGTGAGATAACCGATGGTGATGATACCAGTGCATGATGGGTAGGATGAGAAACCCGCATAAAGCGGCAATATAGGATAGTGGTATCGGATACATCGTCAAAAGAGGGTTGATGATGAATGGGACTGATGAAGATGGCGCGAAAATCGAAGAAGATGTGCGAGATGGAAAAGGGACTTCACAGTTTACTTCGCCGCACTGCCTAGACAGCCTATGCAATCCGTTCCTACCCAATGCTGACACCCTTATGCGTGTCGGTCTTGGCTGTCCAATCATGCTACGACGGCATCGAGTCGGGTTTATGCCAAGGCTCAATCCGATGATTGAATGCGACTTGTGCACTTCTTGCCTATCGGTTCGCACATCCAGACGGCTTTCGAAGGCGGGGATGGGAACAATTACGCTTAATCAATAACCTTGGAGGTGGATTGATGCGCTACAGTAGTTGTAGCTGCGATGAATATCTGACTGAAGGGCTGATCCTACTGTGACGTCCGTTATTTTTTGATCATAGAATTCAATGGATGTCTTATTTTCAACAAAATACCGGCCAACTGGATTCACAGCACATCTCTGCTAAAGTGGTGGCCTGCACCTAAAACCGTCAATACCTGTTCTTGGCGTCGAGATGGAACGAAGTCGCGGCGTTTGCAAATGCGCCACATACGAGGATCTCGCAACGCAGCAGAGCGAACTAAACCCAAGTATTGCTGATTTAGCCCGCTATCTAGGCCAGCAGCCAGCGCAGTCAAGTACCATGATTTCTTTAGATTACTTGTGTGGCGACCAAGCATTGGCAGAGTCAAAATACATAGGCGAGAACGATTTGGAAAAGATACTCGATGGAATATTTGACGGAGACGAGCAGCGTCACGTTATTTTGGTCGAGGATATCGAGCCCCGCCTAATCAGTCTTCTTGGTGAGAAGCTGGACATCGACCCTGTTTTTTTCGCCGGTCATATTACCACGAATTTTGGCGACATAGAGCACGTGCCTCCTCCTCCATCTTTGGCCCTGCTTCCGTCACAAATAGCTGCGGCAGAGTATCTACATACGCATTACCAGAGGGTGATGGACCTGGGAAATGCAGACCTTTTCCAAGGCGCTGCATACGCTTTAAAGACAAACTCTAACATTGTTCGGAACGTCCGCCGGTTGCCAGCTCTGTCGGGGAGGCAGCTTGGCCTCGCCCGTGCTTGCTGTTCTGTTCATTTGAAACGACACAAAAGCTCATGGATTTGTAATTGTTCTGGTTTCCCCATACACCTCAGGTTAGACCTAACGCTGATAGGTCTTATTCTTGTCGACCCTCCCATTCGGACGGTTGTGGACAGACCCAAATCTGGTTGCAAGGTCCACTATGCAAGCAAGCCTTTACATGGTGGATTTGAAGACTTTGCGCGGACTTCACCGTTCTCCTCTTGCAATAACGCAGGTAACGCGGCAAGAAACGACACGCGTTCTTTACTTACAGACCTCGTCCGTTATCTTCGCTATCAGCCGCCGCCTGGCTTTACAGTGGCTAATCCAAGCCTCCTAAGCCTCTGCTACTACCCAATACGCATTAGCCTGGCAGAATGGAACCTCTACATCCACCTGACAAGCCGTTGCGTCAAGCACTATGAATACACCCTCTCTAGTGCTCAAAACCGGCTGCACGACGACGACATCAAGGACCTACAGCGCTGGAGGCGCCGCAGCAAACAGAGCCAACACAAACTTCTTCTTGTAGAGGCATTCGTTGACCACTGGCGCCAGCAGGAGGCAGACGGTCGGCCGACTTGGGACATGGCACTCATGGATATCCGGTATTTGCGCCAGCAGCTCGAGCAGTACAGCATCTCATTAGAGCAGATGATCAGTGTGGCGACGTCTATGGTGCAGCTAATCGACTCACGGCGCTCGTTGCAAGATGCGGCAAACGTAAAGCAACTAACTTTAATCGCTCTGATCTTCGTCCCTCTCTCGTGGGTGGCAAGCCTTTTCAGCTTGTCTGACAAGTATGCTCCGGGGCACGAGAAGTTCTGGGTCTACATAGCCACAGCGCTATCTGTCCTCTTCCTAGTCCTGCTCCTGTCAGCTCTACGATACAGTCATGTGGAGGGCTTTCTGAAGAGTAGCATCGGACGGTTAAGTCTAATCCGGAGAGTGAAGATCAATGCTGGACCAGCATAGTTCAGCTTCTTGAGCATTTGTGGCGTTGCCGATAGGAGTTGTATTCTACCACCGGAATAAGTTTTTGGACTTTGTACTCTGTATCTTAACCAGTATGAATTAGCAATATGGGCATTTGAAAGCAAGGCGAAGCAGCGCTCCACCTTCGTCGCAACAGGCTCAGGCTCTTCTCCTTCCGTCTTCGTTTGTATAAATTTTTAGTGGGCCATCTTCATGAATTATGGCCTAATTGGTGGCGCCCATATCGCGACAGAGACGTTGGGCTCTCCATGAGTCTGTCAGGCCGCTCTCAGGCCGCTCTCAGGCCGCTATTTCGGTTGTAGATCCCAGATACAGTTTAGTCCCTCTGCAACTATCGACTTATTTGCATGATTTGACAGGGTTTAGACTCCTGTGGTTCAACCTCCTACAACAGTACCCACTATAAGCCTCAAATCCGGCAAGTTGGCATGAGGCATCTGCCACGAAATCCACCATCCTGCACTCCGTGTTTGTCGACTAGACAAGGCTAAAGCACAGCCAGCACAGCAGTGCTGATTTGTACAAATGCGCCTAACGCTTGTGCCGCCGTTTATCGGAGTCGGCGAGTCTGTAACGCCGACAAAGCTAGGAAGAGGCTGCTTTTTCATACTTTTCTTTGCATCGCATGGAAAATTTGGGCTTGACATGATAGGCGGCTATTTCGGCTTGTAACTCTATCCTTTTACTGCCAGCCAATGTTCGCCACGTGTGTACGTATGACGTCCAATACTCGGCATCCACCACCGTCTCTAAGCCCCATTCGGCGACCACTACAGCAATCACTGCTGGATCAGTACAAATTTGGTGGCTTGAAATTGGACCACATGTCCCGGCACAGAGTCGACCGTGTTGAGGCTGTCCGTGGTGGTGCCACGGTCCAGGCCACTGTCCAAGACGGCTGGTCCACCCCACTATTGATGTTGGGCATTTGCTTCGCCATCTGCACGCCATTATCGGCCGTGATCTAATCCACCTTGGTGACGTACGCTGTCGAGTACCAGGCCGGCGGCTGGTTGTTGGGTGACGGGTTGCTGCTGTCGGTAACGACCTGCGCGTAGTACGTAGGCGACGACGAGTTGGTGTCGGCACAGCAGCGGTTGCCCAGGGTTATGGTGCTGTTGTTAGGCTGCAGCAAGATTAGCCCGACGTCTTTGGCCAAACAGACGGCCAGTCGTCACAACACCGAGTCTGCGTCGGCGTTCTGCGTCACTGTCAAGATGTCGGACCGGTCCGGCAGCAGATTGCCCTGGACTGTGGCGACGTCATGACCGAGCTACCTGATGGTGTCGAGATCACCGTTCCAGACGGCTATGCTGGACAACAACGACGCCGACGCAGCTGTTGTCGTATTGGCGCGTTTTTCGGAGAGGCCGAACTGTCAAGCCGGGACAGCCAGATGGTGTTCTCTTTGACCTTGTAGAGACTGCCGGCGGTTGTGGTACAGCAGACCCAGACCTTGGCCCTGCCGTTGATGTGGAGGACGTCGAGCTGGTCGATGTAGAGCGGCAAAACATAGCGACCGGCTATCTCAGACTCGGGCAGGTCCCGGCCGACTACGACGCACTGGTGGCCGGGCAGTAGATATGGATGCAACAGGAGGCCACGGTGTTAACGACGTCCCAGCATAGATGTAGCCCGTTGTCGGCAAAGTAGACGTGGATATTCCTGGCCAACGGAGCCGTCGAGGCGTCGGGCAGGTTCCATGGGGACGATGCCCACGTCCGTTGGTCGGGGCCTAGGACAATGGGGACGTCGGCACTGGTTGGAAGCGAGACGTGCGTGGTCTTAACGGAGGCCAACCGGGCGATGCCGTTTTGGGGCCGGTGTATTCAAAAACGGTTGACAGGACCATTCTCGGAGATGAAGAGTCAGGGTTTTGAAGCGGGACAGTTGCTGCTGTACCGATGCTAAAAGGTGTGCAACTCTTGATGTACAGTCCGAGAGTCTGTGTGCTGCTGTCAGAGTAGATCGAGTCAGTGATGATGGACAGCCCGGTCCGAAAGTAGAGTCTAACTCTGGAAAAGACCTGCAGAATGTTGGCCACAAAGTCAGACGAGCTCAGCTGTAACTGAATCCAACCGTTTGGCGTCATTAATAATCAGAACAAGTCAGGCGTGAAGCGCGAGCCGTCGTTTCTTATAGTGACGCATGCAAATGCCGAGATATCGGTACCGCAGCTGTCCAATATGAGCAAGGCGTCTGTCGAGCCGATTTGTTTAGTTCTGAAGTGTAAGTACTTCTGGAACACCTGCAGACTGGGCTCCAAGACCATCAAGTCGGGAAACACAGAATGGACATGGCGTTTCCAGACTCGGAAGTGGTGGCGCCTGTTCTGGCGGTGCATTGTTGATATCTATGGGGATTTCTTTGGACACCGGCAAACAGAGGGAAGCGCTTGACCTCATTCTTTTCGTACGGGTCCATGGTGCCGTTGATCTTGCCGAGAACGCCGCGACGTCCTGAGACCCGGCAGAAGATGGGCGGCCAAAACTGTGCTGACTCCAAAGAGCAGGTCGAGTCCGAGGACGTCCACCTGTCACTGGTCATCAGCCAAAACACGACTGCAGACAAGGCCCAGCCATCCACGTCGCTCTGCTTCGAGACGTACAGCTGGCAGCTGGCTTCGACTGAGCTAACAAGGCCGTCAAACTGCACTGGTCTCTCACTAAGGGCCTGCTGTCTCTGCCTCATCTGTGGTGACCTCCACACCCCCACAACAGGCATCATAATCTGCGAATGTCTACTCCGTTAGCTGTTGTCAAAAGTATTCGGAGTAGGCTGAGATTTCTCTGGACTTATTTTAAAAGTCGCATACTGACAATCGGCCCACTCGTGGATTGCCCTCCCGGCTCTACTTCTTCTCGGCCAGCATCCTTGACAGTGCCGGTTACGACTCCTCAGTTGCACCGCTCATCAATGCAGGCTTTGTAGTAACTGGAAACTTGAGATCTACCGAAACACAGACGCGCAGCCGGGGTCCATCCTCTTTGTTGTCGAAAAGCCGCATACGACACGCGTTTCGAGTACATATCGATATCATGACGATCCTGGTCCGAGCTAGCTGATATGTCACCCCTGGAATCAGTTGCTGAACAAGGCGGTCATCAAGTATAACTGATTGCTTGAAAAATGTTCTCTTCAGTCGTTAAAACTTGGCTATGTCGGTTATAAAGTTTTGTTTGCTACCCATTCTTTGGAGCTGGGACCCATTGGTAGAGGATATCAGTTCTCATAGTATATTTTATCCCGTCAATCACTTTTGCCCCCTCGTGATACAGTCCTTTATGTTGAAAAATCAGTACGCTGCCAGCCTTTGGATTGACATCTGCTCGCTTCGACTTGTCCTTTGACAGAAACGACGTGGTTCCACCAACAAGCTTCGACGTGGGATCCACCTCAAACGAGTCATTTAAGTAAAGGTGCACGGTGTAAAACGTCAGGAATTTCTCCCCGTTTGCCTCATAATAATAGGGACTGTCGGTATGTGCTGGATTTGCAAAAGTTAGATACGATAACCAATGGGACCCGAGTTTTTGGTGCGAGGCCAGACTTACGAAGGAAAAACTGCCCTTTGGTGTACTTAAGAAAGCGCATGCGGTCATTGAGCCTGCTAAACTCCCAGTGTCCTGGGCCGTCGTACCTCTCTCCAGGACAGGTGGCCAAAAGCTCTCGTAATCCCGCGCTCAGCGCACAGCGCTCCCATAGTCTATTCACTACGGTCTGCTGGTCCCAGATTATCCTGCTGCTGTCGCGATAGCCTGGGATAGACATCTCAAGACCAGGTCCCATGCTGACTAACGCCGGTTTCCAGGGATCTGTGCTGTTTCCCCCATCGTCAGGGGCCGAAGCCTCGGCCAGGTGTATCAGCTTATTGCACTCATCTGAAGATAACACATTTTCCAACACCACAGCAGTGTAATCCTTGTACTGAGGAAGAGCAGAGGAGACGAAGTCGACGGGGTGGGAGGTAATAGTCTTCGTTAGAGGACCTGTCAGAAATTTGTCTGCAATATCAATATGTTTAGAGGTGTATTCAGTTTTAATGGGTATAGTGTGTGGCTGCTTTTGTTGTTGTGGTTCTGATTTGGATTGTTTATGGTCGTCGACCAACCCGCAAGCTTTTCGCAACATATTATTTAAGAAGGTTGTTGTAAATTTCTAGATTAAGATTACACGTCCGAATCTGCAGACATCTTAAACAAATTATGTTTAGGAGCAGGCAACAGCTATCATGTTTTGAAGGTTTTCGCTTAAGGCAACAATCCAAATCGAATGTGGATAATACTCCGTATATGCATACTATAACCCCCATAAGCTTAGTTCCTATTTTTAGATGTTCGTCCCATCGCAGAGATAGGCCTTCCTTAAAAAGACACCTCAGCGGCCTGCTGTCGGATGTGATCCGGGTCACTAATCTGTAAAACGAGTCCCTAGTCTGAACAAAGCGCTTACTAGTTTTACAATTTACCAAGAAAGCATACGCACGTCAGATAATTCTTGGTAGGGAACTTTACAGAAAATAGCGTATAAAATGAATGGCTATTAATGGGCATTTAAAATAATCTCGATGGAGGACACTGATATCTTAGTCTTCTTCTAGCCTGTCTCCTTCACTCTGCTCTTCCTCATCCTTGTCGCCATCTGTGTCGCTACCGGCCTCTTTCCCGGTCTCTTGGATGGCGACCGTCCCACTGTGGCAACCGTTGTGGCAATGTCATCGCTTTCTGGGCCTCGCTGCTTAACAGGCACGGCATCTGCTGTTAGCATTGGTATAGCCCCTGCACTATAATGTAAGAGTAAGGATCCCAATCCTTACAGCATCGTATGCAGGGTTATATATAACTAACTCTGCTTCCAACATCTGCCCCTAGAAGCAGCTTGCCTCGGCAGTCGACAGACATCCGAAATGCCGCAAGAACGTGCAGAGAGCGGACCACTTTATGTAGGGCCCTGGTAAGGCCTAGAGCAATTTACTATAGTCGGGAAGCGAACCCAAGTCATTGAGGTACCCGGGGACTTCGGCACGAAGACGACGTAGGACTAGAATTGCGGCCAATGCTGTCAGAAAGCAGAGGGAAAAGAAAGCTTATGCAGATCGTCTTTGTCTGGCAGTATACGCCTTCGCCGAGTCGATAAGCTTCTTATAGTCCTTGCCAAAAAGAAGTCTGTTCTTGGTGCTATACAAATACTCCTTGACCTCGGCTCTAAACAACGCGCATGCCATGTGCTCGCTAACATTAAAATTAACAATGTACGTTGCAACATTAGTCCTAACAAAATTGCCGGCGATATGTGTTGGCTGAAGCGAAATATGTGCAAAAAATTGGGGGTTTTTGCAATGAGACTTGTTTCAATATAACCAAATGTTTTGCTAATCGGACTAAATTCAATAAGCAAAAAGTGACAAGGCACATTAAATGGCTCTTTCGTCTTTATCATCTCCGTCCCAGTATATTTAATTTATAGAGCTACGCCATTCTCCATTTAGTCCTTTGTTTCCGTCGAAGCTTGTATAAAGCTATAATTTCTTGCCGCGGAGACCTAGGAGTGGATAACAAGGTCAAAATAGTAAGTTTCCCTACTATAGCTACAGCAGGCACTACAAGTCAAATTGTAACTGCTTGTATAGATACCTCCAGGGAAGCTCCGTTCGTCCTAGATTGTGTCCCCTAAGCACTATAAACACTCTGGAATCATTCCTACTCTCCCAAACAAGACGTACATGCTTACTAGACACCTACAATTTGACAGTACGTTGTCGTTTAGAGTTGAGAACAGAAGACAACTGCCTAAGAAGGCAGTCTGGGCGCCACCGCCAGCAAATAATCCCTTCCGGTCTTTAGGGGGCTTGCATCAAAAGTGGTGGCGTCCATCAAAAGCCGTCCTACTCACTCTTTTAAAAAAGCCCAAGTCCTGACATTCTGTACACGATCTAAACTTGCACAAGTCGGCGCTGTCTAACATAAGTCGACTGAAACTATCCCTGGACTTTAAATTGTACAAAAGTTGTTGCTAAGAGCATTATCAAGAGTCCATGCCACTGCATCCAAAGGCTTCTCATGCCCATCTAATAGGGTTCGCACCACCCGTGCTGGCACTCCGGCTGCAAGACTATCTGCAGGAATGTTGTCAAGGACTACACTGCCAGCGCCGATGACCGATCGGGCTCCAATAGTCACGCCTCCCCTGTTATTGTTAGTACTGCAGTGCCTTTTGCATGGATACGGGACAGGAATTCTTTACGAAATGATAACACCAGCCCCGACCCACACTTCATCCTCGATTGTGATTGGGCGACCAAAGCTGGTCAGAGGTTGTCGGAGTCCCGTGTGTGAGATAGGCCGACGGTTCTCAGCTTGGATTGGATGGCCTACGGCCGCGAGAGTGACGCGAGGTCCAATATGACAACGCTCTCCGATTCTCACGTCGGCTACCGGCGTGTCAAGGATTACACATCCCCGGTTCACAAAGGTGGTTGAGCCAATTTGGACACGCAAGCCGTAGTCCATATGAATGGTAGGCTTGACAAACGGTACCAAAGGACATGCGGTAGGGTTTTTTCCGTACATATGCTCGGCGGTTGTAAGCTTACTTCTATCGAGATCGTTTCTATGGCTGTGATTGCCAGGGTCGACGATGCTGATCGTTATAGATGTAGTTAGTGTTTGATTTAGCCCGCATCTTTCAGTAATCTTAATGATTTCACATACTTGAGCCAGCGCTGAACCCGCAATTCGGCAGGGGAATCTTCTGGTGTTTCGTTGTAGACCGCGCAGGCACGAGAACACCGCGTCCGAGCAGCTCGAAAATCATCATTACCTGCAGGGAATGCAGTGGTGCTGGATATCGTGGGTTGCAGCGGGTGTCCGTGTCCCTCCATGGAAGCTGACGAGATTATTGTTGATTAAGATGTGCTTGGACTTAGCTCTTAGTGAAGATTGTGCCAGTGACTACGGATTTTGTAGTAGTAAGAGAAAAAAACAGAGGATGTAGAAGGCACGAAGAGGTCTAGAGAGAGCTAGATACAAGCATTCTATGGCTAGAATATTGCTGCCACAGAAGTGAGCAAATCAGGGTTTCCCTTTCTAGTTGTGACAAGGTGAGAAACATTTCACTTCCAGGTGATTAATCAATGTTTTGCTTATTGGGTCGTGTCACTTACGACACAAAAAACTCTAGACAGTCATCAGTATTTCATCAGAAGTGCATTCAAGCACCATGAAGATATTCTATATCCCAGTATAATTCAAAATACAACTAACGCGTTCGTAAACAACTCTCATTGCATCGTATGTTGTCTCGGAGAACTCTAAATCCGTAGCAGAACAGCAACCACGGTGAGTTCACAAGGAGCCATGGATGGGCATAGGCAAACGATACAGTGAAGTTTCAGCCTGTGATGAAAAGAACAGAACTGTATCGTTTCATTTCCTGCCGTCCGACTAACGACACACCATATACGGCATATGAAAAGTGGCCATATTCCTAGTTAGGCGGAAAAGGTGCAGCATAATATAGAGCATCAGCACAATACAAAGTACTGCAAATAGCCTTTTTATCTGACATCCGTTCGTCTTAAATCGAAGTTGGCTGAACTGCAATCTTCCAGGCGACGATGGAATAACACAGCGTTTTCTCAGATCAGTCTAACGCTCTTGAATTGTGTGCAACCTGTTGATAGACCATATTCAAGCTTAGTGCATTTTATACATTTTCCGTGGCATACCCTTCTAGGACTTTCAAAGAGAAGATAGGCTATACGGGTTTCTGTAGCTTACAGTCTTCTAATACATCAGCTTGAATAAATTCAGCAGCAGGATCAGGTAAACAAATGAAAGAAAAAAATACTATCGCATATTGAAAGAATACAAAATCCTCTGAGCTTTGGATAAGAATGGCATCCTCGTAGCAAGGATGGTTGCGGAGTGAATACTCCGTAGTCTTTGTATTATTATATAATTTTAGTTACGTCATTGCTTTTTTTTGAGGGGTTAGGGAATGACCCCTCTTCGACAGATTGTCGCCTTACGACATGGGTCCAACATCCTCGTAGTTATTTCTAGCATGAGTCGCAAATACTCGTGACTATCTTCTACATCATTTTACTTCCCATCTCTGAGTCACCATGGCAAAAAAGGGCAAGAGTAATAAGACTTTGAGTAATGCCAGCCCTGGCTTCAGCGCTAACAGTAGCAACTCCACTCCTGCTTCTACTGTAGATCTGAGTCTGGGCGGGGATCCCATACCACCTCACCTCGAAAAGCAGATCTTGTACCTCACCATCTCCACGGATAAACACAAAAGGGACGAGATTGCAGCGAGCCCTCTGCTGACGGTGCCGGCCCTTGATGCCGGTGCCCCGACACAGTATGGCGTCATCGGCAGGGACTCGAGCAAATCAGGGCAGTCCTTCTCGTCGTTGTCCATGTACAAGAGACATATACTTTCGATGCGCATCTTTCAAAACGTGTCTGCTCCCAGCTCTACCTTCATATGTGGCAGCCAGGGCTCGGGAAAGAGCAACACGTTGGCATGTCTCTTAGAAAACTGTTTGCTGCCCAGTGATCTCGGCAATCTTCCGCATCCGTTGACCGGTATTGTATTCCACTACGACAGCTTCAATTCGGACTTGGGTGGGATACCATGCGAGGCGGCGTATCTCGCGTCGAATAAGAACGTGAAAGTGCGAATTCTTTGTTCCCCGACAAATGTTCGAACCATCACTGTAGGCATACAATGAACTTCATCTGTTTACATTTCCATCAGAACTATTTACTGACCTTGTAGAGGGTCTATCAAAAAATCCCAAAGGCCACTATTGAGCCTCTACAGCTTTCGGACCGGGATCTTACAACAACTCATATGCACGACCTAATGACCGTGGGCGAGAGCGGCATGCCGCTCTACATGCACGTGGTTGACCGTGTGCTGCGCGAGCTGAAGATCGAGCAAGATGAACAAAACCTCCCGTTCAACTATGAGAAGTTTAAGCGGCGAATATTTCAAAGCGAGTTGACGTCTATGCAGACTAATCCTCTCAAGCAGAGGCTCGATACGCTGGAGAGCTTCATGCCGAGGAATGATTCGAACAAGAAGACTCCTGGTACCGCAAGTGGAAACGACTGGACGGCCAAGGTACGTCTAAAATTCGGCTAAATACAAGCTCAAGTATTAACCATTGCAGCCCGGCCAATTGACAGTTGTCGATCTCTCCTGTCCATGCGTCACGCCAGACATGGCCTGCTGGCTTTTCAAGATCGCTTTGCAGCTCTTTCTTAAAGGGGATATGACCACGGGTCGTATCGTAGCGCTTGATGAAGCGCACAAATATATGCGCGATACATCAGGCGGCTCGCGGGCACTGACAGAGAGACTGCTGGAAGTTGTCCGGAACCAGCGCCACCAGGGTGCCCGCGTGATCATCTCGACGCAAGAGCCGACGGTTTCGCCCAAGTTGCTCGATCTGTGCTCCGTCACGGTGGTCCATCGATTTACATCACCGGACTGGCTGCATGTCCTACAGGGCCACCTGGCTGGGCTGTCTCCCATAACCGCCTTAGTCGGCGACACAAACGTCACGGCTGACGGAGAAGAACACAAAAAGATACACTACGGCGCCCAGCCCATTGATCTTATGGGAAGAAATAACGCCATGGAGTTGTTTGGCCTCATTGTCGGTCTGGAAACAGGACAGGCACTGGTCTTTTCGCCAAGCACCATCGTCGGGATCAAGGATGACCAGGGGGGTGGCGGCGGAACGACAAATGGGAACAACAAAAAGAGAGATGCTGGATCTGTTGAGCGTCTAGGGAATCGAGCGCTGTTGGTCAATATACGGGCCCGCATGACCGAAGATGGAGGAAGAAGCATCATGGCCCTGTAAGAGCTGGCGTAGGCAACAAAGGACCACTGGGCGAGTTGCGGATAACCCGCTGTAGAGTACGGTGATGAAGTGGATTGAATTAGGACCTCATTTTGTGTATGAATACCGTAGGAAGAAGATATGCGTTTTTATAACGATTTTCTGAGGACTATAGGCTTGAGGAAAGCGAACGTTTCTGCTTGTGCTAGAGCTTTTCTAGTCGTCTGGCTGTGACAAGCCAAGTCGGGCTCACCATCGCTGGAGAGATATGTCCGAGGCGCTCAGGTGGGTGATTTCGCGCACGGAAAACTTGCGCATGTCTTCGGCTGTGTTCGCCGGACTGATGTGAATTCGTTCGTACAGTTCGCCCGGAATCGCTTCGGCAAACGACTGCACAACATCATTGGACAGCCTGCTAAGCACGATGCAGCGCGCGTGTGGTATGGGTGCGGAAATCACCCGCGTGATAAAGGTCTTGCGGTCGGTCGTCTGGAATTCGTCAAGGCCGTCAAGGACCAGGATCGTTTCCGGGTTTTCTCGCAGCAGCGAAATCAGCGAGGTTTTCAGCGTCGACTGGCTGGGCTCAGGCTCCACTGACTGGCTTTAGGCAATACTAACTAGGCCCCAGTCACAGTTCTGTATCAGCTACCAGAGCCATCGACGTTGTCTTCCACACGAGCGTCATATTTATCCTGTGTCGCCATAACCGGATTGAGCCATTTGAGGACCGTGGTCCTGGTCTCATCGAGATCGTGCTTCTCCTTGCGTTTTGCTGCCTCGACAAGACGTTTCGTCGTTCCCGCGTTTTTCAACTAAATCCTAAATATTCAGTCCGAGATGCAGACCGATTGTATCGAGTGGCCCCTGCACCTTTGTCCTCAGCCCCTCAATCTTGTCTTCCATTAACAAGCCATACTCCACCTTACTCACCTTGCTCTTATCTAGGATTTCCATCCAGCTGGACGCTGTAGGCCAAGGGCGATGCCGAACCTCGCAGACATGGCATCTCGGAACTCCAATACGGCAACTCGCACACAGGCCATATCTGGTACAGCTGCTGACTGTGGATTGTTTCCCAGGCGTGCAAGAATATTTGCTAGAGACATCAGCCACTGATCTGTCTCCTTGTACTTGCTGGCGAATCTCCAATATCGCGGGTAGCGTTGGCGATGGTAGAGATAACCTCTACCACTGCGATAATGTCGCCAACGGACCAACCGAAGGAGGCCATTCTTAGAAAAATTGATTTTTTTTGGTGCAGTCAAGGCAAGTCCAAAGAAGGCACGCCATATGTTATCGTCAGATGTTCTTTTACCTCGGAACCCCTGGTTTGGAGAGGCATTTATTGGCTCCACATCGCGCAGCCGTATGCAGTTTATCTTCAGCCTCACATGCAAATGATCCTACGAACGCCTTGCATACACACTACGTAAGACATTACAAAGAGAAAGAGAACAGATGATGCGGCTATGGAGTAAGGGCTGCGAAATTGTACCTGTTTCTGTCCATGTGCTGGCCATTCCACCATGACCCAGCAACATGATATTGTATTCCTTATACGCCTAACGCTTTATTCAGCACATCGTCGCACCGAAGCTGTAATAACTGAATCAATCGAATTCCCAGTGAGAATGTGTATATTGATTTGATTAGGTCCTCCGGACGGAGTACTTCCGAAACATACAAGTGTACGCAGATACACGGGAATAACGACACTCCTTATATGAGCAAATGTTTATGGCTGCGGAAAAAAGATAACAAGCATAGCAAATTACTGTACCGCCTACGAATTCTCTGCCGCCTCTCTTTCCTGTCCTCGTTTAGTCTGCGCTCGTAGTAACCCAGCCCGTCCTAACCTGGCTGATCCCAATGATGTTGCTATGTGTCGAGGGCGTCTGTCTGCGTAGGTTGGGCCCCAGGCTGCCGCCACCGCCGTGATGTCAATGTTGGCGCGAGGAGTACAGGCCGCTGCCTCTGCCTCTGCCTCTGCCATCTTGCCTTCTTTAAATTGCGCCGCCTTTGCCTTTACTGCGTTTTCTCGCTTAATAAGGTGGGCTGGTATTACCGTGTTATATTCGCTGTACGGATTCCTACAAATGAGGAGTAGTGGCCGCCCATGCATTTTAGATTTTTATTTTTATATGTTACGTGAATAGTACCCCGTAAGAGGTTAAGCATCTGCACACATGATGGTGTCTGCTGGGAAAAAGTGACCAGGTTGACATTGCATGCATGTACGTGGGGTTATGTTGGTGACAAAGATGAGCTATTATGGGTTTTAAGTGCATTGGGAAGGGTTTCCGTCTCTTTTCGGACCCGATTGAATTTCCAATATTGTAACGGCCGAAGTTTGTCCGTTCTCCGTACTCGTACATGTGGAGTAGAACGCGAATGGTTGCATAAAGGGCCTACTGATGTTTCAACCCGATATTCGGAGACGAGGCAACATCAGGACGTCCACGCAATGCAAGAGGCAAGTGTCTGTGTGGCGTTGCATGAGTCCTGCATGATTGTGCCGCAATCAGAATCCACCCTGCGCTTCCAGTGTGGGAGCATGTGCCCACTGTCCATCCCCGCCTTATCGCACGCATTACCTGCATTTCCTGTTCAATAAGGAGTATATAATGCTTTCTTTTCTTTCATCTTTCTTTTTTCTTACAAACGTGGCTTTGCTTCACGGCTATAGCACCTGTTCAAGATGGTAGTAACCCACAGTCCTGAAACGGCACCGCATGTTGTACCCGCCGCTGGCGCCAGAGCTGACGAGCTTCAGCCCGGCCATCACTGGACTGGCCAACCCTTGATTGAGGTAAGACAATTCTACGACTCTGCATCTGTGCGGCACTCTGACCAGTCGTCCAGGACGACACCGACTCAACACTGGGCGACGATGCGGCCAGCTCTACTGCGTCCATTGCATCGACTATCCTGCGGTACAGGACCGTTAATGGCAGGACTTACCACAGCGATAGTATCGCAAGCAATTCTTACTGGTAGGTAAGACCCTTTGTGTTAGACTGATTGGTTGTGTGTTGACTTTTATAGGGGCGCCAATGATGATGCCCAAAACGCTACGCTGGATATACAGTATGTCCAAGTCAATAACTTAAGTGCTATGTAGCATAGCATAATGACATTTCTTTAGGCATCATGTGTTCGACCTACTCTTAGGCGGGCTCTACCTTGCACCCTTGCCGAAAACACTCGATGTAAGCTGTGTGTATAGCACGTGTATGTCAATTTCAAGCTGACTATTATATAGAAAGTAGTTGATGTTGGAACTGGGACGGGATTCTGGGCTATGTAGGCACCGATCCTCGCATAGTGGACGGAAGTGGTGGCTAACAAATGGCTTAGTGATTTTGCAGACCAGCACCCTGAAGCCACGGTGATTGGCACCGACCTGTCTCCCATTCAGCCAAAATGGGTGCCACCCAACGTGCACTTGTAAGGGCCATTTTGCCTTGATCATGCTTACGGCCTTAGGACTAATATAATTGCAGCGAGATCGACGACATGACACAGCAGTGGACATTCGAAGAGGACTCTATCGACTTCGTCCACGGACGTTGGCTGACTGGCTGTGTGCCTGATTACGCAGCCTTGTTCAAGGAGGCATACCGTACCTTGAAGCCGGGTGGCTGGATCGAATCTATTGAATGTAACGCCTACCTTGAGACTGACGACGACTCCATGCCAGAGGACTCGGCTTGCGCCCAATGGGGCTACATATTTCGGGAGGGCGCCAAGAAAATGGGCTCTACCGTCTCCTTCAGCGTTGTTCGCGACAAGCTGCAACGAAAGGACTTAGAGGCGGCAGGCTTTATAAACATCCAAGAGCGTCCGCTAAAGGTCTGTTGTTTCCCCCTTCTTATGACCTTTTTAGCTAACATCCGGCAGAACCCTATATCAGAGTGGTCGAAGGACCCAAAACTAAAAGAGATAGGCCAGTTTACCCGACTCGCATGGGAAAACGACCCGGAGGGTATGGTGGGCTTTATGGCCAACTTGATCGGCTGGTCAAAGTCTGAAATTTCCGTGTACTGCGCTCATATGCGCCGCGAGTTACGCAGCTTACAGGTGCATTGCTATTATATGTACAACGTGGCATGGGCCCAGAAACCTCTTACATAGGGTGTCACCGCGTAAAATGCCTCATCGAAGTATTATTTTCGTTGTAGTATTGACTGATCTTATTTGACTGTTTACTGCTACTAGCCCTTTATTATGTGATCAATATTTGCAGGGCTCTACAGAGTGCACTGTAGATACAATAGGGCGCCGTGACGAATTGCTTTTGCATGTCTTTCTCCAACTTACAAACTGAAAGTTTTAGTACCGTGCTTTTCCTTCAGCTGGGACTGCTTTGGCACCCTCATCTTCAACAGGACAGCCAAACCGTATCAATGACTGACAGCTTCAACTTTGGGCCGCTTTTGAAGAATATCCGCGGTGGGGTCCTTCTGTCGGCAAAGCTGGTACGTTGCTCTTAAGCGGGCCTTTCGACGCCTCACAGCAACCATTTTATCTCCTGCCCATGATCCAGCAGTGGTTATCCTTGGTTCTCAACCTAATTGTAATGACACTGGCGGTGCTCCTGGTGGCGCTTACACTCAAGTTGAGATCGACTTTCGGGTCCACCGTTGTCGCATTGGTCAACCTAATGTCTTTCGGCCAGACTCTGAGGGGGGTTGTCATGGCATGGACACTGATAGAGACATCGATTAGCGCCGTGGCTAGAGTTAAAGAGTTTAAGAAGCAGACACCCAGAGAGTCCGAGGAAAAATAACCTGATCCAAGGGACGGCTTTATCGGTCAATGTAAGCCCTCTGGAAAAATAGGTTGCAATGCTTTGACGGCGTCTTGCGGGTCAGAAATTCCATAAATTCGGGAACTTGTCTCAGTGAAGCTGGATTAGTAACATTCTAATTCTAAGCCTCATGCAGACTCCATGACACTTGGAAATGTCAGCCTGGAGATTCAAGCTGGCGAGAAATTCGGAATCTGCGGTCGTAGCGGAAGGTAAGTTCGCATATCTCTTTAGGGCTCGCATTAGATTCACTGACTTGGTGCTTGGCGTGATAGTGGCAAGTCGTCCTTCCTCGCCACCATCTTTCGCATGCTCGACATCCGAGGCGGCAGCATTGAGATTGACTCGGTCAACATACAGACGATCCCGCTGTCAACAGTTCGCTCAAGCATCAGCGCGATCTCGCAGGACCCCTTTTTTTTACCTGGAACGATCCAATTCAATGCAGATTCATACGGGGCTGCTTCTGAAGTCTCGGTGATCGAAGCCTTGAAGAAGGTTCAGCTCTGGGATACAATACAACACAACGGGGGCTTAGACGGCGAAATGAAGCCGGTACTCTTAGTCAGGGACAAAAGCAGCTCTTTTCGCTCGCGAGAGCCATCTTGCGTAGGTGAAAGATCGTGATATTAGATGAAGCTACAAGCAGGTAAGTCTTTACAGTGTTGGAAAGCATGTCTTTCACCCTTTTTGAGCTGAAAGGGTGTATGAGAGTGTTATACTGACAACATACGGGACAGCGTGGATCTCGAAACCGAGAAGCTGATGCAGGACATCCTAAAGGAGGCCTTCCGAGATTGCACAGTCATCGCCATCGCGCACAGGCTCGATACTCTGATAGAATTCGACCGAATAGCTGTCTTTGACAACGGCAAGGTCGAGGAATGTGGGGCACCAAGAGACTTACTGGAGAAACAAGACTCGGCTTTCAAGAAGTTCTGGGCAGCGGCGTGATGATGGGACTGTTTTATTGCATAGTGGATACATTTGCCAACCGTGCTAGACTTCACTTTGTCAACAGAAGTATGACGAGCACGACGCTAGACAGCAGAAGAATCGATAGTCCACACCGAACCTGCGAAAACAGCTGGTTCGTATCCTGCTGCATCAATCCATATGGCTCGGCCAATGTATGCCTGGCTTCGGATGACTTCCAGAGTCTTTTTAGTGCGGTCTAACCAATGGTTTGCCTGTTCCTGGCATATGCTATTCCCATGTGGGTGGTAGTTACTAGGCGTGTGGACTGTGACACGATGCTTTGCGAAATTCGAAGTTCTCCATAATGTTGTCAATTGCTAGAGTCCCTAGTAAGAATGTAAATGCTTCTGCCGTCTAATGACGAACCCAATATCTGAATCGCACCAAGGAGAAAATCAAACTGCTTCTGCTCCTTCTCACAAACTACCATTTCTGTCATCCAATAACATAGTAAACATCAATCCTCTATAAAATCGCCACAGAGGCAGGCCGTGATAGGCAATCTAATCCTTTGGTTCCTTAGGTGCCGGAACAGTCTCATCGTTGCCGGATTTTATTTTTTCACTATCATCGGCCTTGATCTCGAGGTACTTGCCCGGGTAGTACTTTGCCACCCACATCTGGCAGAGCATCTTGCGGGTAAGGATTTTGAGATAGTAGTTGATGGGGACACCACAGTTTCCCTCGGCGGCCTTCTTTAGGTAGTCCTCGAGGGCGGTCATGAGGGAGTTGATGTCGATGATTTTGTTGGCGCCGTCCTGGAGGTCTCCAAGGGCAGAAATGGCAGCCTTGATCTGAGTGGACTTCATACTCTGGATCTGAGCACCAGTACGGGCGCCATCGGCGGCAGACTAGACGGCGTCCTGGTCAGCAGCAGTGGCGTTTTGGATGGAGGCGACGACTGCCATGTTCTTGGCAGGGTCGAAGTCGGCGAACTCCTTGACGCCGATCTTGACCTCGTTGGCGACGATGGAAGGGATGACGCCCATACTGACTACCGTGACATGGGACGAGACGTTCTGGGAGCTGAGCAGGTTCTTGACGTCATTGGAGAAGGAGTCGTTGACACCGAAGCCACCCGAGGCCTTTGCGAACCAGGCGCCAGCGTCCATCTGGGCCTGGAGGGTCTGGGCGATGGAGCTGAGGCTTTCAGAGGCGGAGGTGTTTTCCATCTTGAGGACATGGACCATGCCGACAAAGCTGGAGCCATAGGTGACGCCCGAGACGATGTGCATCTCCTTCGTCATTTCTCTTTTTCTTGGAGAGCTCCTGAAGCTGCTTGAGATTGGACGGATCCAGCGGCTCGTCTTTACCGTGCAGCTCGTTCCACGCCGCAATGCCCTTGTCGACGTTGATGATAAGGGGTGCGAGGAGGGAGGCGTTCTTGTGCGTGCACGTAACAGTAAAGACGAGGGTTCCCGAGATATCGTGCACGCTCGTTTGCTTCGAGACCTGGCTCTGGACGGCATGGCTCATCGTATACGCGGCGTCGTTGCCAAGCTTCGAGACGGAAGCCCAGACCGCATCAGAGACGGCAGTGGCATGCTCATCGGAACTTTGCATGTTAATGTCAAAGGAGAAGTACTGCACATCCATACTGAGTGAGTCGGCGGCGAGGGGCATCGTCTTGATATCCGTCTTGACGAAGTCAACAGGGCTCTCGGGAGTGGTGTTAACGGCGCTCATCTTCTTTCGGCAACTGACGAGATCTTCCTCGGCCTTGATTCTCTCGGCGCAGTAACCAGTCGCCACTTTATCGATTTCAGCATTCATGGCCTCCATCTTGCTATCAATGGTCTTCGTGTCGACTTTGATGTTTACGAGTTGACTCCTGGTCATGTCGAGGCTTCTCTTTGAGGCGATGAGGGCGTTGAGATGATCCTGTTGCTCGTCCGCCGAGGCTTGGATCTGCGCCATGGCAAGATGATTGGCAATCTTGTCCGGGTGGACAATGTTGGCCAGAACAAGGCTCGGGTCGTAAGGGATGGAGGAAGGCATGGCTGCAATTTTTGTCTTGGAGACACTCGGGGAAAGTTATGAAAAGTGCTTATGTAGGTATTTGGGGTTGTTATAGGCAAAGTCTGTTGGCTGCTGATTGAGAATGAGAAGCTCGAGGAAATGGGGGGAAGGAAGCCGGTATATATAGAAAACCCGGCTCATCTGTACACCGGCACATATCCCAAGAGAAAAAGGAGAGGTCTGCACTCATCGCCACCTCCGGCGACCAGTTCAACCATAGTCCCCGCTCCTTCGTCTGGGCCGCTGCGCTTTACAAAGTCAAGGATCATTGTTGGATGAGAGCAAAAGAGGGTCATCGGACACTCCTTAGAGGAAGCAATTCCAAATATACCAGGAGACTTATCACATTTCAGAGACTCGCCGTTCCTCAGCTGGTAGTCGACACACGAACTCGGCATCGTCTCCCCGCCGCTGCTGGGCATTCATGCAGCACGTTCACGAGCATCTATACACGGTATAAATATAATAGAATGGGGAGCACTGTGCATCGTCGTATATCATTGGTCAGTGTGATGGTTCTAGACATCGCTGCTTCCAATGATCAGTGCCCCAGCGACATCGTATTAACCTAATTTGGTTAGTGGCCTTGATCTTCCTAAAAGAGGCGTTCCGCGGCCCGCTCCGGCCCACTAGGGTTTCATGCACATCGGCAAGCTCGGACAAACTCCCCCACAACGACAGACACATGTTCACTGGGCCCCCATAATCCAACGGCATGTGGGCTGCTGAAGTCACGAAGGGTGGAAGGGCTCCATCCAGCAGCCCACAAGTCAGCTGCTGTCAGGCACAGCACAGCCATCTGTCGCTACCGAATTTGGCTCTCACGACTGTCGATCCCCGTGTATTCGCTTCCAAGTTGCTGCTGGCTTGGACGCGTAGACAATTGGTCGCTCGGATGGTATGTCTCCTGGCAGCACGAGCACGCTAACAGCCGAATGTTAGTTTAAAAAATCAATTTATCTGTGGTAACAGGAAGTGCTACGGGAAGGACAAGAAGGGTCAGCACACACAAACATGGAAAGCCAGGCTGCTCGCCGTCGTTGAGCTGCAACCAAAATATTTTTCCAGTCAGTCTATCTGCTGGCACGCGAATAAGCCTTCGCCCGTTGAACTCCTTGATGCTAGGACCATTGACGTTGGATACTGTCTGCGCTCCTGCCGCTGCCACTACGCTTTTAAAGGCGAGGTTCTCAGCCAGAGAGCGTGCAGCTGCTTCAGATCCCAGCAGCCCACTACCGCGCTCTCTCCTCTCTGTCAGAGCCGTCTCGCTGCTCAGGTCCTCCACGATAAGGCCCGAGTCGATTTCCACTTGGACCAGCCCGGCGCCGTCAATTTCATACGGACAGAACTCGGGCGGTCTGTCCGGTTTACCGAATGCATCGTAGGTCTTGGCGTACCCGTTCTCTATCAAATGTCGCCCAAAGCCTCGCAGAGGGCTTCAACCGAGCTGTACGTGACCATGGCAAAGTTTGGGTCGTAGGAGTGGTGGACGCCTGCTGGCCCACGGGTCCCTGATCCGGCTTCTTCAGTATGTCGACAAATGCAGGTGTTTTACTCAGCTGTCCTGTAGATGTGTATCCCAAGATATAGCCCGGACGAGCGTTTCTAGCCTTGCTCTCATCATTCTCGTATCTGCTGTCGAATTTGAGGAAGTATTGCTTAGGTTGCTCTGGCGTCTCCTCAAGCTTGAACTGCCCGACGTCGGATAGGGTAGGGACGAGCTCCTCCGAGTCAAACATCTTTAAGGCGGATACGACGCTCGTTTAAAGAAACTTCTCCGCATCGCGATAGAGTTCACCTATGGCGATACTTCCTCTTGGTTCACCGTATTTGTCAGCTTGCTACGTCTCAAAAGGTGATGCCGGGTGGCGCCACATGCCCAATTTGGGTCCATTCGCTTGCTAACTGTCAAGCATTGGAATCCGCCACACTGTGGCCCTTCCGCCCCATTTGGCCGTACTGGCCTGTGATTGGTCAGATGGCACAAAAGCGGGACCTGGCACTAGTATTAATACGGATCCCCAGAAGGGTCGCGATGTATCTATTTCTTCCTTAGTACACAACACTCTTTCGCCTACACTAGACCCTATTCAGCCTCCTGCTCCTCACAGTGCATCACGTTATATGACCGCCACGTATAGCCTCCTTTAACCTTAACACTAACACGCGCTCTCTAAGCCTCAAAATTCCAACAAAAATACAAAATATATGGATCCACTGCCTATTTTACACTAAAATGCTCAATATTGCCTAATTACTCTTTAGAACGTGCTGTAGAAAAGGGTAGTACGATGTCTGTTAATTTTGCGTGTAGCGTTTTCCTTTGCAATGTTTCCAAAAAAATAAATGCTAATAATTCGTAAACGTTTTGCCTTTATTATAACTAGGATAATTTCTGCAAACTTTACCACCAACTTGATTAACAATCACAAAATAATAAAGGCTATTTGTTGTAAACATAATGTTTACCATTTTCAAAAGCTTGTGTTCTTCCGTTAAAAGAATGTTCTAAGTTCAGTTTCTTTATTATCTAGTCTCAAATATAAACTGGGTTGAAGCAGGCTTTTATGTAAAAGAAGGCATCGGTTCCATTCTCATTTACCCCACGTATTTCTGTCAAATTTTTTTTGGGGGGGGGCTATCGACCGTCTATCCTTAGAGTACTCCGTGCCCCCGAGCTCTGCCGACCTGTAAACAAATATATAGGCCTGAGCACATATCGCCAACTTCTGCGACCCCAACAGTAATTTATGGACGTGTCATTATAGAACAATACCAAACGGGCGTAGCAAACCGACTCTTGTAAAAACGTAAGTAATAGAAAACAGACATTACGATAAAGAGTCTGAGGGACATTAAGACGCAAATATGCAAGTATTCAGAGCAAGCATTTACCTAAAGGAAAATTTTCCTACCGTCCTATTATGCCTCTGCAACTTGCAGGACAATCGCTTTAAACTCATTATCGGTGTGTTCCTGGCAATCTCGGAAATCTTCGCCCAAATTGTTTTCACCTTTGCGGAAGCGCTGCAGCTTCAGCTTTCCACCGGCCAGACGTTTCGCCTCGAACAGATCCTCAATCTCCACCAGCGACGGCACGACAGTGGTGCGGAACTCGTGCGCCACCCCGCTTGCCTTGATCATCTCAATGCTAGACTCCAGCATCTTTGGGGACACCTTCTTTCCCGTCGCCTTCTTGTAGTTCCCCAGCGCACACTTGATGTCCATGGCCACGAAATCGACAAGTTTCTCGTCAAATACGCGCAGCAGAGTTGCGGGTGACGTACCGTTGTGGTCTAGCTTGATGCTGACGCCTGCCTTTTTGAGAAGGCGCATGAAGGGAAGCAGGCCCTTGTGGATGGTCGGCTCACCGCCCGAGATAACGAGCGATTTGTGCGGCGTTTCCGTGATGTGGCGAAAGATGTCCAGGGGCGTGAACTTGTCACGCTCGCCGTTCACGAGTGGTCCGTTATGGCACCAGGGACATGCCAGATTACAGCGAGATGTGAACATGATGGAGGCCTCCATTTTGCCCGGCCAGTCACTCAGAGTCAGCTTCGTATATCCGGCCACAGGCAGGTCGGCGTCTGCGATCTCGGCCACCTGACGCTCGAGCTCGAGCTGGCTGCTCTCCTTGCTCATTTCCAGGGGATTCAGGTACGTCTTCCGCTGCTTGAACTCCTCTGCTTTGCCCTTGTTCCAGTCGCGGGTGGGACGGTAGTAACCGACGATGCGCGAGTAGACGAGGCACACCTCGTCGCATCGGTTGCACCGCGAGTGTTCTCCCGCAATGTAGCCATGCGTCTTGCAGACGCTAAATGTGGGCGAGAGGGTTATATAAGGAACACGATAACGCGTTGTCAGCATCTTGACCAGGTCTCGCGCCATCGTCCAGCCAGACAGGCGCTCGCCCAAGAAGGCGTGGAAAATAGTGCCACCAGTGTACGAGCAGTGCAAGTCCTCTTGGTGGTCGAGGCATTCGAACAGATCGCTGGTGGCATTCACCGGGAGCATGGTCGAGTTGGTGTAGTAGACCGGGATGGTGCGATCCGGAAACAGTTCCTTGTCCCGACGGGCAAGCTTGTAACAGGCACTTTCAGCCGGACTGGCCTCCAGGTTGTAGAGGTTGCCCGTTTCTGTCTGGAACTCTTGCAACTTGTCCTTGATGAACTCCATCGTCTCAAGGGCAAAGTCTCTGTGTACGGCGATTCCGTCACCAAATAGGGCAATCAAGGCTTCGTTCATGCCGTTGATACCGATCGTGCTAAAGTGGTTGGTCCAGTACGATCCCGTGCGCTCCTTTGTAGCCGCCAGATAGTGGGCTGCATAGGGATACAGCTCAGAGTTCTCGTTCACTATCCTTCGCTTGATCTCCAGCGACTCCTTGGCCACGCGCAACGTCGCCGCCAGCTCGGCAAAAAAAACGTCCTTGCTGCCGTTAGATCGATAGGCGAGATTCGGCAGGTTGAGCGTGACCACTCCGATGGATCCTGTCAATGGACTCGCACCATATTGCCCTCCCACTCTGCAGTGCAGCTTAGTTAAGTCGAGGCGCAGTCGACAGCACATGGACCGAAAGTCCTCGGGGTTCAAATCGCTGTTGATAAAGTTGGCAAAATAGGGAACGCCGTACTTGGCTGTCATCTCCCAGATGGATTCCCACCGAGGCGACTCCCAGTCAAGGCCTTTGTAGAGGTTGTACGTCGGGATAGGGAAGGTGAAGATGTTGCCGTTCCCATCGCCCTGTATCATGACCTCGGCAAAGGCTTTGTTGATCATATCCATTTCGTCTTGGAAATCACTGTAAAGCAAGGTGGGGTGTGGCTTGCCGCCAATGATGATAGCCTGTTGCTCGAGAGTTTTGGGACAAATCAGATCGAGAGAGATGTTGGTGAAGGGCGCCTGGAATCCACTGCGAGTCGGCACATTGAGCGAGTACACAAAGCTCTGCACGTACTTGAACACATCAGAGTACGGGAGATTGTCGTGTCGGATGAAGGGGGCGAGATAGGTATCGAAGCTGGACAGCGCCTGGGCTCCTGCGAGCTCGCCCTGGAGGGTGAACAGAAAGTTGACCGTCTGGTTCAGGGCCGTGTTGAGGTGCTTGGGCGGGCGACACTGGATCTTGTTTTCGACGCCGCCAAACCCCTGAAGGAGGATGTCTTCCAGGCTCCAACCCGAACAGTAGGCGCTCAGGAAGCCGAGGTCGTGGATGTGGAAGCGATTCTGGTTGTTGTACTCCCGGATCTCTTCCGTGTAGATCTTGTCGAGCCAGTAGCCCGAAATGACGTGCTGGGAGACATACTGCATGAGGCCCTGGTGGGAGTAAGTCGAGTTGGCATTCTCATTGCCCTTCCATGTTGTCCGCTCGAGGTACGCGTCGACAAGGTGCACGTTGGAAATTTGCGATTCAGGCATAGTCGCAGTACAAATGTGTGTAGTTCTGATATGAGGCAAAGAGAAATAGGCCACGAAACAGCTTTTGCGACTATGATTTGAATACGATGTTTTTCTGGCACTGCGACGTGGGCTTCCACGTACTTATGCAAAGCCAGACGGGCTTAGACCTCACCGCATCGTCAGCTAAGAAGGAGGGGTGATCGAACGACTTGACAAGCCATTCTGGCAACACGGGCGTATGAAAAGCTCCCGAGACCATTTTACGCGTTGGGTCGAAGACCACACGCCCAGATAGGCGTCATGTCGGACGCGAACTAGACGCGACACCTCGTGATTTGCGGGGACGTGGCATGACAACGACAGCGGAATCCTGGAGCATGGGTTGTACTCGTATGGTTCTGCTGATTCTATTTGTTGCTTGAGTCAGAAGCCCCCAAATTGCGTAATGAAGCCGAAGAGGTCGTGGATGCTTGACAATCTGCGAGCACTCCGTTAATATCCCCCCTCACCGCACACCGGATGCGGCTTAATACGACCGCAGTCATTAACGCGTGCTGTCGCCATTGTTGGACGATTTGCCGGCTAAACGGAAGTAGCCGTGAATTGTAGCGGTGCGCATGTACTCCGTACTCTGTACGAATGACGACGCCTGTGGTTTTTGCCACGGCCTTCGATCAGCGATCGTAGCCCAAAATGTTTTAGTGCGTTTTGGGGACGCCACGGATCATTTACCGGGCCGACATTGTAAATCGCCAGCCGAAAAAAGTTTCTGCCGTTATCCGCAAGATTTCGGGCATCAACCCCAAACTCCACATTACCACCGGGGCGATTCCTTGAGAATTCCTTTTCGGCCAGTTTCCCCTGCACATGTGACAGACGACGTCTTGCAAAGTTATCGCACGCTCTCGTAAAAATATTCGCCTGGTCGCCGACGTACGCCACATTTCTCAGCAAAGACCCTCCGTAGAGTTAGCACGATGTGTGGTGTTTCGGCCATTATGGTGTGTGTTTCTCTCTGCATCATCTCCTTCGTATACGTATCCGGAGAGATGCGTGTGTCAAGTGATGACAATGCCAAGACAAGCTAGAAAACCAATCAAGCTAACCGTATGGACAGTTGGGCGATCCCAAAGCCGACACAGCCGCCGTCGAGCTTCACGAGAGTCTCTTCTACCTCCAGCATGTGAGTTGGCTACTGGGCGCTCACAGTGTGCGTTGTGACTCTGACGAACGAAACAGCGTGGCCAAGATGCCGCCGGTATCGCAGTTTGCCAGAGCGGAAGGGTGTATCAATGCAAGGGCATTGGCATGGCCAGCAAAGTGTTCGATGAGGGCAAACGCGTGACGACAATGACGCTTCCTGGCTTTATGGGGTAAACTCGCCGTTACCAACAACATCCTGGCTATCTTCAGCATGGAATGGACGCTGATGTTTCCAGAATCGCTCATGTGCGGTACCCTACTGCAGGCACCACCTCTGCGTACGCTCGACTGGAATTCGCAACCCCATCCAAGACTCCACTTTGAGCATTCATTCGTTAACATCATCGCAGAGCCGAAGCACAGCCATTCTTCGTTAACTCGCCTTACGGCTTGTCGATGGGCGTGAACGGAAATTTGACAAACACAAAGGATCTGGTCCGATTCTTGGACGTCGAGGCTCGACGCCACGTAAACACTGACTCGGACTCGGAACTCTTGTGAGGACGATCAGCTTTGTGTGTTGCGGTACAGTATCTTGGCTTTCATGCCGTTCGCTAACTCGGGACTTCCGTTTCTCTAGGCTCAATATTTTTGCTTATGCTCTTGGCGAACTTGGCAAGGTCCGAGCTAATGTAGACGATGTCTTTACCGCCCTGCGCGAAGTCTATGCAAGATGCTATGGTGCCTTTGCTTGTACGGCCATGCTTGCCGGTTTTGGAATCTTGGGCTTTCGGTACTTGACCCCTCCTCCAAGTGTGTCACGAACTGCCTGACTGATATCTTGTCAATCTGGCAGCGATCAGAATGGCATCCGTCCCCTTTGTCTCGGCTCTCGACCATCCGAGACTCTGGAAGGCGTCAAGGACTATTTCTTCGCCTCAGAATCGATTGCTCTAACACAGCTTGGATTTACCGATATCGTGGATATCTTGCCCGGTCAGGCCGTCTTTATAAAGAAAGGAGAGGCTCCCCGTTTCTCACAAGTCGTGGAGGCGAAATCCTATACTCCCGATCTATTTGAGTTTTTGTATCTGGCGAGGCCTGACGTGGAGATGGACGGGATCTCTGTCCATCGCAGCCGACAGAATATGGGACTGAAGTTGGCGAACAGGATGCGACAGGTTCTGGGAGAAGATGGGATCCGGGACATCGATGTCGGTAAGTGGTTCTGATCTCCTGCCAACAACAGCCGCTGCTAACATACTTGTCTTAGTTATTCCTATACCAGAGGTAGGCTATTATAATGTGCCGCACCGTTAGCGGCGCCTTTACTGACGGAATTCTTACGCTTAGACGAGCAACACAGCCGCTGCTACGCTGGCGCTAGAGCTGTCAAAACCTCTTTCGAATGCGTTTGTAAAGAACAGATATATTTACCGCACATTCATTGTACGTCTCTCGCCGCACATATTTTTACAACGCGAGCAAATTTTGACATGTTTATCTCTTTCCACAGGTTCCTGGGCAAAAGGCACGACAGAAAAGCGTGCGGCGGAAACTCTCACCCATTGCATCCGAGTTCAAAGACAAGGTTGTTTGTCTTGTGGACGATAGCATTGTACGGGGAACGACTTCCCGTGAAATCGTACGTAATAGGGGATGGAACTGCACTCGTCATACATTTGACTAACTTTGGATTAATTTCCTTTTAACCAGGTTCAAATGGTGAAGGAATGCAAGGCGAAGCGGATCATTCTTGTATCTTGCAGCCCGGAAATCACCCATCCCCATGTTGTAAGCATGACAGCATAAGCATACAAATTCAGGGAGTTATTGCTGACTAAGCCTTCCAGTACGGCATCGACCTTGCCGATCCAACTCGTGAGCATATAATTCACTTAGGAACTGTGCTGTTAATCGACGTACTAACACTGTGCTTCCTCCAGAACTCCTCGCTCACGGCAGGACACTGAAGGAAATGACCGACCTGATCCAGTGTGATGACCTAGTTTTCCAGACGCTAGAGGACCTCAAGGCAGCTTGCACCGAAGCGGCCGACGGAAACAGCCAAGTGACGGATTTTGAGGTTGGGGTTTTCTGCGGCCAGTACAGGACCCCTGTGCCCGATGATTATTTCGACCATCTGGTCAAGCTGCACGGAAGCGAAAGCAAGAAGCGGAAGAGCATTGCCATCTCTGGTGAAGAGGCAGGCCCTACCTTGTTTGCAAGCAGTGGCCCGGTGAATGGAACGCTGCCACCACCAGAGGCATCGTTTCCCGATCGGCCTAAGGGTGTGGAACATCAAGAGGACATAAGGTAACACACGTATCATCTTCTATCACCTGGGCTTTTGCATGGACGACCAAGAAACTAATTTTATTGCAGCCTTTACAATACTCATCCTACTACCAGGCCGTAGGTGTTCTCTAAAAATGCGTGATCCTGATCCTATGATAGAGTAAAAGAAGTTTCGTTTGTGGCTGTTGCCAACAATAAGATAAAAGATCATAGAGTAAAAATAGAATGGGGATATAAACATCGATGGCTGGCGTTATCGGCTACAATATGTATCTAATATACTAAAAGAAAGTTAAAAGTCTGACAGCTTGATGTGTTGCCACTTTTACTCTTCTAAAGGGGTCAGGAGATTTTCCGTATTATGCCTCAGTATCTCATGGCGCATGTGCTTGCGTCGCCCACTTTAATCATCTATTTGTTCCTTTTGTACATATTCGTTGATCAAGACAAGAGATTCAGGGAAGCTCAGTATCTGACCCGTCCAGGTTGGTCCGACTTCGGGCTGCAGCGGCCAGTATCTTCCGCCCGCGTAAGTTCAAGCGTCTGACGCGCACAAATCCTTTTGATATTATTGCTTGGTCCAACTAAAATTGGACAGCAATGTAGGACGGGTGAAGCGAAGGTTATAGTGGTAGCGACAGATAGGAGGAAGTAAGGCCAAGTCTATAATCCAAACAGGGCTCAGAGCAGATAAACAAAGCAGGGCCACGAAGCTACCACAGGTATTTCATTCGTTATATAGCGGGTGCCATTATGTAATCACATAACTAAATATCCAATCATTACGGAATACACAACTGTACAAAGTCGAACATATTCAGACGCTGCTTATACGACGGACCCGAATTTAGTACTCGTTACGCGGGCCCACCAAACACTTTACGACGTACATAGCAGTCATAATGATGACTGTCTGGTGCTACTTCGTAAAATACTAAGCTTAATGAAATCATCATTTGGCACCCAGAGTGAAAACTGATGTATTGAATGGCAAGAATGAAATTTAGAGGGCTAGAACTCCCTAATCATAAACTATCGGCTGGCCACACATATATAAATCATAATTAACAAGGCCGATACTACAACCGTACTACGACTTAAGATAGAGAACAACTATTAATTGGCACCAAACTAAATTATTTCACGCCATAAACAAGTTACGCGGGCCGGTGGCGTTTTAATCCTGACCCGTGAGTTTATAATCTCCTTAAGTTGCTAAACATCTTTACATACTTAAAAAAAATAGGCGTGTGAAAACACATACATATAATTTTAACTCCTGCTTTCTATCTACTTTACACAATCTTCTGCTGCCTATCTTTGGTTAGGAAGAATACGAGACAACACTAAACGACAAAGGTGCCCCATCTGTGCCATATGTTGTCCTGGAAACGCAGCTGCTAGCACCTTCCTGCTGACAAAGGGAATACTTTAGTTGCCGTCGCAGTAGATCGTGCTATTAGTACACCCAATCCACTAACATCTGTAGTCATAGCGTCTTGCCGTTTTAGGAAGTTTTGTTGTATATGGCACACGAAATGGTATACACCAAAGGCGAACGAACAGAACATTTTTTTTAATACCGAGCCGATTTCCAGGTATCTGTCAAGCATTGGAATCCGCCACACTATGGCCCTTCCGCCCCACTTAGCCGTACGGGCCTGTGATTGGTTAGAAGGCACAAAAGCGGGGCCTGGCACTAGTATTAATACGGATCCCCAGAAGGGTCGCGATGTATCTATTTCTTCCTTAGTACACAACACTCTTTCGCCCACACTAGACCCTATTCAGCCTCCTGCTCCTCACAGTGCATCACGTTATATGACCGCTACGTATAGCCTCCTTTAACCTTCACAGTATCACAGATAACACCATGTATGCTTCTTTCGTCCCAAGTAACACGGAGCTTGTCGATACACTGCGGAGGACGAGCAACCTCCTCGAAAAGAAAGTCATGCGAAGGATTTGGGAGCAGCAGCTGTATAACACGAGGGTGAACATATACAAGCGCGACAGAGCCTTTTTGCGTCACAATGGTCTCCTGTATCCCCCCTCTCATGGTCCCATGGACGGTACGTCTCTTCTTTTGGATGCGATGGTGTTTTGTACATGATCTAGAGATACAGTTGGGTCACTAACATGCGTCTGGACTGATCTTGTCACGACAAACAGATGAAGAATGGCTTGCGTAGATCGCAAGAACCGATGTCACATTGATCTTATCCCAACAAAGCATACTGAAATTGGATGGTACCATCCGAAAGTTGAGACGTTCCGTGTGTGCTCTTCACCGGTATCAGATTGAAGTGTGGCTGCTCTCCGGGAGGTAGGTATTCGTTGTCTCACGTCATCCCATGCAGTATTAGCTCTTGATGTTCACATAAATTGCCTCCTGAAATTTCTTTCTGTATCGCGGCGTTTGGCTACCGTCGATGGTTCCCGGTACGGAACTAGGAATCTGATGCCGATGCCTAGGGATCGGGTTGTCTGTGTCTGTTTCAAATAGAGTTTTAAATTACTGTTTATTGTTTTAATCAAAGTTTATATTTATTCCCTACCTTGAGCTCTTCTGTCCTTTCCTAGTAGGGTGGCTTTGGTGGCTGACCCTTGGGGCTGGCCAGAATTGCGTTAAGCGCTGCATCACATAGAGGACCTTAAGAAACACCAAGACAGCTGCCGTATGCAGGCACTTCGACAGAATAAACCCGAAGAGCAAGTCAGACGTCAACATCCCCTGCCTCCTCCGTCGCAAGCCACTATGTAGATGAGTTGCCTCTTGAGGCATAGCCCACTGAACGGCGATGCTGAAACGAACAAAAAAAAATCCGGCGTAAACTCATCTTTATTTTTGCCTGTCATTAAAAAGCGTGGAACAGTTGCCCGTGTTTTCAAAAATGGATGGAATGTTGGGACGGCTAAAGGAAAAAGGTTTCGTCGGAGGGAATCACAGCTTAAGGACAAATAACGGATGTGGCCGTCTTTGTGTCTTGTACAAGATCATTTACACTTCTACATTTCCCTTTTGATGCCCAAGCCCCTTCCGTTTACTTTCAAACTCATCCTTACTATAATATCACACACCTACCGTCAATATACGTGTTGAGGTGGCGATGGAGAGGGAAAAGTGAGGCTTACTAACACAAGGTGAAATAAGAATTTCCGATTAGGCAGCAAAATTGGCCGACTGCAATACTTTATTCTGGCGGATTGTTCGTTTCCAATTCTTTTCTTCCCTGGTAATCACGTCTACCACTTTCCTTGCTGCAGCTATTCCTCTAGCCCTCGGCTTGTCCAAGCGCCTCGAATAGTGATTTTATCTTACCCTATCGTTTTAGCCACCGCTGTTGGCATACCTAGCCTTACCTGATTGTTTGATTGTGAAAGTCTCCGGAATACGGTATACTCGGCAGAGATGTCTCCCCGACGATCTCACGAATCTCACGAAACTGCTCGGCCCACGAAAAACCGACGACATGCAGCAAATAAACAACAGCTTCGGTCTAGACCTTACATCCTAGGACAAGCCAGACTGGCAAGAGCACCGCCTCCAGCCCTCAACCAGCCACCCACAACGGTGTTGGACGTCTTCGTGTTTGGGAATGGCGAGGCTGGCGAGCTCGGTCTTGGGCCTACAATCACCGAGGCCCTTTGCCCAATGCTGAACCAGTTCCTGAGCGCCACTGAAGAAGGCAGTACGACTGGGTTTGAAGTTGTGCAGATGGACTGTGGCGGTATGCATAGCATCGCGCTCACACGGGACAACCAGATTGTGACTTGGGGAGTGAATGACAACGGCGCACTCGGACGCGAAACAACCTGGGAGGCTCCGATGAAAGATGCCACGGCAGACGACAGCGACGACGAGGCAATGCTGAATCCCCGCGAGAGCACCCCGACGGCAGTGTCTGCAGAAGCCTTCCCGCCGGGAACTACCTTTGTGCAGGTGGCAGCGGGCGACAGCAGCAGCTTTGCGCTGACGAGCACCGGAGCAGTCTACGGCTGGGGCACGTTTCGTACGCCAGACGGAAAGGAGGTGTTCTCACGGGAACCGAATCCAGGCCGCAGCAGAAACCGGGGCGGTGGCAGTAGCTACGTCCAAAGGCAGCCTACTCCGACAGTCATCGCTGGCCTCTCCAGCATCACGCAGCTTGCCGTAGGCGCGAATCACGCGCTTGCTCTCGACAGCCGCGGCCGTGTCTGGGCATGGGGCTGTGGCGATGGGCACCAACTGGGCATCCGTATGCTAGACCGAAACTGTTTGCGTGATGCCGCCGAAGGGCGCCTCCTGCATGTCGCTCTCGAGCCACGTTGTGTCGGGTTTCCCGGTGGCGTTCGTGTTCGGTACATTGCGTCGGGCGAGTATCACGCTCTTGCCGTCGACACTCAAGACCGTGTCTGGGGCTGGGGCCTCGAGTGGGGTTCGGCGAAACAGGTGCCGACCCGACGGGCACAGTGTCAGATCGCAGCGTGAACAGACCTGATCCGTCGTTGTTTTCTGTCTCAAGGGAGGTTCGCGCACTGGAACTGGCTTCCGATCGCAGAGTGGAGGGACCTCAAACGCCGTCGATTCCTTTGCCAATGGAGATACGTGCGCTGGCTAATCAAGGCGTTGTCGTACTGGAAGGTGGCGGTCACCACTCGGTGGCGGTCACATCTGATGGGCGGTGTCTGGCTTGGGGTCGACTAGACAATAGACAGCTGGGAGTTGTGTTTGAGAAGAGCCATCCGGCCGTACAGACGGACGAACGAGGTCAGCCACGCATCTGTCAGCTACCGATCGAAGTCCCGCTAAAGACGAAGAGCAACGACAGAAGCAACGGATCTAAGATTTATCCCAATCCTGAGTTCTGCTGTGCTACTGCTTGTGGAACAGACCATACGCTGATGGTTACCCGTGCTGCATCACACGCGGCCTTTGCAGCCGGATTCAACGAACAGGGCCAGTTGGGGTTGGGGGCCGGTGCGTCCGATGAGGTAACTACGGCGCAGCAGATCAGCGGCAAAGCACTAAAGGGCCGCACACTGACTTGGGCCGGAGCAGGCGGCCAATTCTCGATGCTGGCAGGGCCACACGTGAATGGGGCTTAAGCCGTATCGTGTGAAATTGGAAAAAGATCAGCAGCGGCATAACAAAAGCTGCTCTATCTAGCATGACAAAAGTTCTTGTTGCTGAAATATGAACAAGTAGGAAAGGACAAAACTGCCCAAGGCAGGGTATGATATAATGTATTTCTTCAATATATGCAAAGCTGTAAGTAGTAGTCTACAACCCTTAAACAGCCACAGACAGACGATCCCTAGGAATCCATCAGGATCTAGATTAAGAGACAAATTGGACGTTAGAAGCCGATACGGGATGGGATTAGACAAAATCTTAATGTTGTAGAGTACTCCGTACATAGCCTCAGTTCGATCTTATCTCGGCAGAGAGAACAGATAGTTGCCGTAGCCTGTGCTGACATAAGCACAGGGGATTAATGTCTTCAATTTATACAAGCCATCCTTCCTCTGTATGTTGTGACAGATTAGACCGAAGGTATGATATACATAACTTTGGAAAGATTAGAAAATTGCGTATGATCAGAGGTTGCTATATCACTGTGTAGATGTAATGTGTAAAGTGGATATCTCCAAACTTGCAAATTGGCCATGTTAGTAAGCATAGGTTCCCTTCGCCATTGTCTAGGTTGTTCAACTAGATACAATGGCACGCCACTTCGCAGCCCCAAGGCCTTGTCTATTTGCCCCATTATAAGGTGTACCTGAAGTGCACGTCGTAGTCGCCCATTTCCGGCTGATGTGGCAACGGCTCGCCATTCTCTTCTGCCACCCGAATGCGCTCTGCACGCCTCTTGTTGGCTGCATTCATGCCATACACCAGCGAGGTCACACAGACGAGCGCCACCACGGCTAGGCCGAGCGCGATCGACAAGCCCTTGATGTACCGCGGCTTGTCGGCAGTCACGAATATCTGGCCCACTGCAACGCCGGCCGTGTTGCCGAGCGTCAGCGCACCACCAACCATGGTTGCCCGCTTGAAGTGTTGTGCCGAGTTGTCGCTGAGCCACTGGTAGAGGAGATACGGTTAGACAGTCAGACTTGCACGATCGTGGTGAGAAACATACCATCATGCTGAGGCCAGTCGTCGGATAGATTCCCATAATGGTGACTGGATGACGTCAGTACGAGAAGACAGGGGCTCAAGAGACAGATGTAGATCCACGTACTATAGCATGCAAAATAGCGAACGCCAAGACTCTTTGCACCTATCAGCAATGCGTATCCAACAATCAAGCATAGCAGTGCGGCTGCAATCCAGGCGCCCCGTAGACGCTGCCTGTCCGACATGTATGCCAGAAAGAGAAACGTGAAGAGTCCCCAAAAGTAGACGGGGACGGTCATAAGATTGGCTTTGTAAGATTTGTAGCCGAGGCCGTTAATGATCGTCGGCATGAAAGTCGTGAAGCCGTACAGGGAGATGTCCACGCTAAACTGGAAGATCCAAAATGCATACCACTTAGGATCAGTCAGGGCATCGCGGACGGCCTTCCACGTAAACTTCTCGTCAATGCCCCAGTGTGGATTGAGCTCATATCGGAGGTCCATCATTCCCTTCTCCTCCTCCGTCAAGAACCAAGCGGTCCGCGGCGTGTCAGGGAAGAAGTAAAAGAAAAATGGTGCGACAAGAACCGTGATAGCCCCTTCCAACATAAACAGGGCTCGCCACGACGTGAAATCGGTCCCCGTGTGGATATGGGTCAGGCCGTAGGCGAACAGGCCGCCAAAGGCACTGGCCAGAGCACTGAAGGCAAAAATGACAGAAGACCGCTTGCCACGTTCCTCCTTCTTGTAGATAAGGCTGAGGTAGACGTTGATGCAAGGGATCAAACCGGCCTCGAAGAAGCCTGTGAGCATGCGGCATGCATACAGACCCTGCCAGTTCTGGACGAAGCCAGTACAGAGACAGACAACCCCCCATGCGAGGCAGCAGCACGAGAGCAGGTACTTGGGGCCGATGATCTTGAGAAGAACGGCGACCGGACCCTCAAAGGGAACATAGGTGGCATAAAGGAGTGTCACAGCCGTGCCGTACTGGTTGCCAATGAGGCCGAGATCGGCGGGCAGGCCGGAGACCTGAGCATTACCAATGTTGCTCCTGGCCGAAGTTAGATATGACGCTCATAGCTTTTCATTGGCTGGGGTGGGTATAAGAGAGGCATACCGATCGATATTGGCCAGCATGTAGAGGATGCCCAACGAACCAAGCGCCCAGATCTGTTTCAAAGTGCAAGTAAGCAAGTGTACATCGCGCAGTAGAAGTCAATGGCCGGCATACGTCGAACTTGCGCATCATCTTTGCCTCCTTCACAGGATCGAGGCTGATCGTCGTTGCCGGGCCATCGCTCTCTGAAGCCGGGCGTGTAGCCACGATTTCCCCCTTGATATCTGTTACCATCGTTCCTGCTTGCCTCGAGACTGAAGTCACAAATTCAATGGGCGACTTGTAGACGTTGTGGAAAGAACGCCTCTCTGTGGCCGGATAGTTGGGTCGATTGTTTTCAAGTAATTATTAACGGACCAATACCATCATATACCCTCGAGGCCAATGACACCGTTGCATCAGACCAAAGTCATTTAGCCCCTTGGCTGCCACCCGGGCGACAACGATCGGTCAGTTAGACCGAAGGCCATAGCGGCCAGTGCCTGCTGTGCGATTGTGGCAATTGGTGCCGAAATCGATTGCATGTTCCGACGGGATCCCAGAAGATTGCGGCCAGACTGCTCTCCGGTCCTTAGAATATGCAGAAATGTGGTCCACTCTTATCTCGGATCGGCGGTGTGGTACGAAGTACATGTAGAAATTCGAGGGGCAGATAGCGCATCGGCATTTCGCTTGATTCTGCCGAAGATCTCGGCCGGGCCTTGCCGATCTTGCCAATCATACGATATAGCGGCGGCTTATAACTGTCGATGAGCACAACGCATCACGAACAGGGATGCATGGCCTGAAGCACAAGGCACAAACGGCATATCCCTGTTCTTTTCATCTAAACACAGACAATATGCCGTCCGCAACAGACGAGGGTGTTCGAATTGCCATTGATCGGGGAGGGACATTTTGCGACTTGTATGGTTTATATCGTTCTCCTCTAACTTTTACCTGGAACTAATGATGTTGCCAGCTGGGCTCGAATTCCTGGCAGGAAGGATGATCTCGTCTTCAAGCTGCTATCAGTTTGCCCCGACGAGTACGATGACGCACCGACTGAAGGCATCCGGCGCATCTTGGAGACTGCCACCGGCGCCGAGATCCCCAAGGGCACTCCGCTGGACCTGACGCACGTTGAAAGTATTCGCATGGGCACCACTGTTGCCACCAATGCCCTCCTCGAACGAAAGGGCGAACGAGTGGCCCTGCTGATCACCAAGGGCTTCGGTGACCTTCTGCTCATTGGCAACCAAGCCCGGCCAAAGCTTTTCGACTTGGCCGTCCGCAAACTCGACAAGCTGTTCGAGTGTGTCGTCGAGGTGGACGAGCGCATCACTGTCGAGGGTGCATCCGAAGACCCGTCTCCGATTGTGGGTAATGTGGCAAATGACCCAGAGCTGTTTTATGGAACAAACGGAGAAGTCCTGCGCCGTTTGAAGAAACCCGACCCAGAAGCCATCCGGGGCGATCTCAAGAAGCTGTGGGAAGATGGCTACCGCAGTGTTGCGGTTGCGCTAATGCACTCGTACAACCACCCAGACCACGAGATTCTCGTTGGCGATATTGCCCGGGCGCTTGGCTTCAAGGTATCACTGTCTTCGCAGCTGCAGAGCATGATCAACCTGGTACCGCGTGCACAGTCCGCCACTGCCGATGCGTATCTCTCGCCGATAACGCAAAACTACCTTGACAGTTTCCGCAAGGGCTTCAAAGGCGGGCTGGAGGATGCGAACGGCCACAAGCTGCTGCTATCCCAGTCTCACGGCGGACTGGTGCAGTACAAGGAATTCACCGGTCTGCGGGCCATCCTCTCTGGTCCAGCTGGTGGCGTTATCGGATATGCCAAGACATGCTTCGATGCAAACGATGGCACGCCTGTCCTCGGCTTCGACATGGGTGGCACCAGCACCGACGTCTCTCGCTATGGCGGTGCACTGGAGCATGTCTTCGAAACGACCATTGCCGAGATCCCTATTCAGTGCCCGCAGCTGGATGTCAACACTGTTGCTGCCGGTGGTGGCTCCATCTTGGTCTGGAGCAACGGCCTGTTCAAGGTCGGGCCAGACTCAGCCGGTGCCTTTCCCGGGCCTGCCTGCTACGGAAACAATGGCCCACTGACGATAACAGATGCCAATTGCTTCCTAGGCCGCATTCTGCCAATGTACTTTCCGCGCAAGCTGGACGTCGAGACGGTCAAGGAGAAGTTCTTGGCCCTGACCGAGCTGGTCAATCAGGAGAAGCATGGCGACGACAAACTCACGCCTGAGCAGATAGCCATGGGCTTCATCCAGGTAGCCAACGCCACAATGTCGCGTCCGATCCGCAGCCTGAGCGAGGGTCGCGGCTTCGAGGCATCAGTCCACAACCTCGCCTGCTTCGGTGGTGCCGGTGGCCAACATGCCGTGGCCATTGCCCGCGATCTCGGCATAAAGCGTGTGCTCATCCACCGCCTGTCGAGCATCTTGTCGGCCTTTGGAATGGCGCTGGCCGATATCGTTGTCGAAAAGCAGGAACCGGAGGCGGTCGTTTGCAATGCTGACGGCACCGCCGAACGTCTCGAGAAGCGCTTCTTGTCGCTCGAGGTGCAGGCGACGGAACAGCTGGCCGCACAGGGAATCCCTTCCCATCGGGTCGTGCATGAGCGTTTCCTCAACATGCGCTATCGCGGCAGCGACACAGCCCTGATGATTGCCCGGCCGGAGCCTGTGGACGACTCGGCCAAGTCGGATTATGCGGCCGGTTTTGTGGCGCGCCACCAGCGCGAGTTCGGCTTCACTCAGCAGCGAGATATTCTCGTAGACGATGTTCGTGTTCGCAGCGTTGGCAAGGCCATGGAGCTCCCTGTATCCAACCCATTTGAGGCTCTCCGCGATGTTCAGGCGATGCCGTATATCAATGTGTCGGCTGCCAAGTGTCAGCGCATGTACTTTGAAGACGGCTGGGTTGATGCACCGATCTTGCATCTCACCAACCTCGAAAAGGGTCACAAGGTCAAGGGTCCCGCTGTCATCTTTGATGCCACGCAGACCATCATCCTCGATGCGGCGAGCGAGGCTATCGTGCTCGATGAGCATTTAGTCATCGACCTCGCCCTAAAGGTGGAGGACTCGGCATTGACCAACGATGTCGACCCAATCAAGCTGTCGGTCTTTGGCCATCGTTTGATGTCGGTTGCAGAACAGGTAAGAAAAAAGGAGCCGAAAAGAGGAAGATACGAACGCTGGTTAATCAGGGACAAAGAGGGAAGGGACGAGCTCGCCAGCACGTGATACTGACTCTTTCCTAGATGGGCCGAACTCTGCAGAAGACGTCGATTTCGACAAACATCAAAGAACGCCTCGACTATTCTTGTGCCGTATTTTCTGCCAACGGCGGCCTGGTTGCGAATGCGCCTCACATCCCGGGCCACCTGGGTTCCATGAGCACCGGCATCCGGTACCAGGCCGACCATTATGGCAAAGACGGACTGCGTCCAGGTGATGTGATCCTGTCCAACCATCCCTGCGCTGGGGGCACTCATCTTCCCGACTTGACGGTCATCACTCCGGTCTTTGACTCGAACGAGAATCCGACAGAGATCATGTTCTTTGTGGCCAACCGCGGCCACCACGCAGACATTGGTGGCATCTTGGCCGGCTCCATGCCGCCCAACTCGACAGAGCTGTGGCAGGAGGGCGCAGCAATCGAGTCCTTCAAGATGGTCAAAAACGGCGTCTTCGATGAGGCCGGCCTGATCGAGGAGCTGTCGGTGAAGCCAGCCCAGCACCCAGGCTGCAGCGGTACCCGGACCCTGCGCGACAACATTGCGGATCTCAAGGCGTCGGTGGCGGCCAACAACCGCGGCATTTTCCTGATCCAAGAACTGGCAAAACAGTACACCTGGCCGGTCGTGCAATTCTACATGGAGGCCATCCAGCGCAATGCCGAAGAGGCCGTCCGGGGCATGCTCAAGCAGCTGAGCGTCCGCTTTCGCGGCCACAAGCTCAAGGCCGTTGACTGGATGGACGATGGGACGCCGTTGGCCTTAACCGTCACCATCGATGCCAAAAAGGGCTCGGCCAAGTTCGACTTCACTGGGACCGGGCCAGAGGCCTTTAACAATCTGGTAAGTCTTTCCAGTCCCATTCCTGGCTTCCTTAAGCCACGGCAACCCTCACACATATTCTTAGAATACACCTTCTGCCGTCATGTATTCGGGCATCATCTACTGCCTGCGGTGCATGATCTCATCCGACATCCCGCTCAACCAGGGCTGCCTGGCCCCCATCGAGGTAGTCTGCCCGCCGAATACGCTTCTGTCGCCCAGTCTCGAGGCCGCCACGGTTGGCTCCAACGTGGAGACCTCGCAGCGCATTGTCGACCTGATTCTGAAAGCTTTCCGCGTCTGCGGCGCCAGCCAGGGCACGTGCAATAACCTGACCTTTGGCTACGGCGGTACCGACGAGGAAACGGGCGAGATCGTCCAAGGCTTCGGCTACTATGAAACCATTGCCGGTGGTGCTGGGGCGGGTCCCTCGTGGGATGGCCAGTCGGGTGTGCACACCAACATCACCAACACGCGCATCACAGACCCCGAGGTCTTCGAAAAGCGCTATCCCGTGCTTCTGCACCGCTTCGGCATCCGTCCTGGCAGCGGTGGTCGCGGCCGGCATCATGGTGGTGACGGATGCGTTCGCGAGATAGAGGTGCGACGTCCGCTGCAGGTCAGCATCCTCTCAGAGCGCCGCGTCATCCCACCGTATGGCATGGCTGGTGGCGGGGAGGGCGGTCGTGGGCTCAACTTGTGGGTTCGACACGACCCCCGCGATAAGACAGCGCCACCGCGCACGATCAGCCTCGGAGGCAAGGCGACCGTGCCGATGAATCCGGGCGATCGTATCATCATCCACACCCCTGGTGGTGGTGGCTACGGCAAGAGTCTGGAACCCTCAGACGAGTACCACCCGGATGAAGAAGAGGAGGAACTGGCGACCACTCAAGCTGGCAAAGGGAACGGAAGTTCCGGTAATGAATTTAATCATGTGCCACGGGCAAGCGGCAGCGTTGGCATACGGGAGAGTATGGCGGCCTCGAATTGAGATAGAAGAGTACTATCACAATATCACAGCTTATGATTGTCCCCAGTAAATAATTTGTACGTGCACTTCCCCCTGGCCTGCATCCAGCGTCTGGGAGTTGTCCCTGTGAGCGCGGCCCTTTCGGGAATGCTTGGGGGGCTGAGATGATGTATAGGAAATCAGACAAGGTACGGAGTACATGATCCCATTCTGCTTCCGCTTGCCACGCTCATCAACAACCAAAGACTACTGCCATGCGTGCAACTTTCCCGGCAGCGTCCAGCCTGCATGCTACTGAAAACTCTAGGTTACAAGTCATTGTGAACTGTGAAGTAAAGCTGAAAAGGTATGGCTACGAGTTGAGGGTGGAGTCTAGTGCTAGATCCCGTTTTAGCCACCTGCCTGACTAATCCCTATTCTCTATTGAGTTTGGCGCCGCTTCATCATTTTTGTCGAAAGGTAGCGACCGAATGGGGACTAGCGGTCACTTATGTCCTTGTCCGTGCATACCCGCTAATTGCCGATTTTATACAAATCCAAATCACACTGCATCACCACATTTCGGCCGACGATGGCTGACGTGTCGGGTATCACTGCGCCAGCAGAACCAGCTTCCGCTAGCCCCTCTAAAGGACTGGCGAAAGACCAGGTCTCGCCGCCCAAAGAGTACGCCAGCGCCATAGAGACGGGCATTGCAGATAACGGCGACAACGACAGCAAACCGGGCGCGGCAGGTAGCGAGAGCGATAACGAGGGCTTCGGGTCGGATAGGGTGTCGACTGCTGGCACCAATCTCTCGAGTAGTGTGCGTGACTACGCCTTTGAGAACAGCCGGCGCTACCACAATTTTCAGGAGGGCCGCTACAACTTCCCTAACGATGAGCCCGAGCAGGAGCGCGAGGATATGAAGCATGCCATGAGGTCCCCTTGGGCACGTGGCCGCACAACCAGCGGCTCAAGGCCATTGGACTCTACAACTGCAGCATGATCTACGACGGCCTGCAGGGCATCTCGCTGAGGCCCTTTACGCGTGAGCTCAAATGGACTACCCAGGAGGTGGAGGCTTTTCTCGTCAATGTCATGCAGGCCCTAATGGATGACAACCAGCAAACCCATCTGCTGTTCCACGTAGAGATAGGACAGAGGCCATTCTGATATAATTTTTTATCTAGTATATGGTGCGTCAAAGTCCTTGGTTAGCTTCAAGTCGTGGAACTTTCTATATGGTGTTGACACAGGCGAAGAGAAAGCGATAAGAGACGACAGTTGCAGCTGCCAGAGATTCCGCTAAACTCAAACATGAAAAGTAACCATACCAGAGTTGTATTCGTTTTTGCATCTGACACACTCTCTCTTCGAACCGAGGTTAGTTGCATTCCCTTAGGGGGGGTGTTAATATTTGGGACATAGCCCCTCAAAAGGCGGCGGTAAAACGAATAAACATAAGAAATATTCGAACCGAGGCATAGCTTTGTCTACTTAAATTATAAAGCCCACAATCATAATCGTCATACAGAACGGGTCAGACGAAGCGAGAGCTATCGTTCCATAAACAACTAGAGACGGTCGGATAAAACATGTTGTAATGACACTTTTCTGGAGCTTGAGAAACTCGCAAGGATTTAAACGGGACTCTGAGTATATTTACCTTGAGGTCTGGTCTAAGGAACATTGTGGTCTAGTTATTTCTATTTACAATGCAGTTGTCTATGCCAGGAAAGGATATAATCGTTCCATCTAGCTGTCCATTCCTCTTAGGTCGTTCCTTTCCTTGGCCTATTCAATTAATGCTCTAGCTTAGGCAAGGTGCCTATCAACGCTCATCTAAATACTGCTGGCTCCGAATAGCTCCCCGCAGATCGTCAGGCTCTCATCCTGCAGCTTTTTATAAGTCCCAAATTCGTCTATAATTGCCTTTCCTAGGGCCATCTGCAGCGTCTCTATTCCGCCGTCGTCCACCGTCGAGGCGGAATCCTCACTGCCTGACGAGCCTTTCCTTTTCAGATTACTCTGGAAGATCCCGGCTGCACTCAAGGGCAAAAATTCCTCGTATGTTAGTGGCTCATAGGCGACCTTCCCTTGCTGGACAAGATTCTCAATAGTCCGTCCCCCATCTGATGCCGATTTTGTTGCGCCCACAACTGGATAGTACCGAAAGTATGCGAGTTTTTGTGTCCTTAACTCTTCCCAAGAGTCTGGGATTGGCTCGAATATCTGCCCATACGCTTGCGTGTCGGCAGCCGTGACATTCTGCATCCAGGCCTTGGTCACGCACGAGTCATATAGCTGCCGGCCCTTGGCGGTCAGTGCAGCTCCCCGCTGCTCGATCTCGCCAAATCGAGCTGTGTGGCTGCCCAACACCATGTCAACGGTATCGCCATTGGCCGTATGTACAACTGGAAAGTACACCTTCTCTTCTAGCGCTTGGAAGCTGGTCTGCCGGAGGAGAATGTCGCACTTTCGGGCTGGCGGTCCCTCGATTAGATCTTTCATCGGGATGTGGTTCTCTTCCATGCCCCTTTGCACTGCGTCAATGTCCAGCGTCCGCGGGGTGAGGTGGTTGATGTGTGGCCCAGGAAAGCCAACGATATCGGCAAGAAGCGGACTCTCTTCTTGCAGCTCCCTGTATTCCTCCTGCGAGACCGTGGCTTTTCCACTCCACCGAAATGGCTTCAGGCCCTCGTGAACGAACTCCTCGGCCTGGCTCTCGAGTAATCCACCCCGGCTCTCGGCAGAGACCATGAGCTCCAGAGCGCGGGATGAGAATATTTTCCGCCGCGATAGAATGGATAGCGCCTTACTTCGGAGAGTGGGTGACGAGATCAGCTCTGGTCGCAGTAGCGAGACGAACATGCGGAAGGGGTTCAGCAGCAGCGATTCCAAGTCCAGACAGCAGAAGCATGTAGCGTGAATGGGCAGATTGGCCGGCGGTTGGGCCAGGTCGTAATATCCGACTGGCTCCATTCCCATCAGGGCAAAGAAACGTGCCATGAGGGCCAGCTCTTCAGCCGTTCCGAGACGTATGGCTCCATGGCGTTCGTAATGGAGCCTGTCTAGCTGGTTGGTTGCCTGCATCTTCTCGCTGATTAATGGCTGGGTACTGAGGACAGTCGCATTCACAGAGAAGACGAGGCGGAGCAAGTCGGAATAGAGAGGTACTTCGTCCTGGTAGATCTTCGACATGGCCAAGGAGAAGGAGTGTCGCAGCTCCGTCGGCGAGACTGTCCGATCAGCTGCTGCAACTGAAGCCATGATCTAACTAGCTAGACGAAGACACGAGGTGTTTCTGCTGGTGTTGTTTCTGCAAAATAAAACTCTTGGAATGGTGTTTGTCTACCCGTTAACAGATTCCGTTCGTATTGCGATCAAGATAGTTGTCTTTCTGGGCCTACAGTGCAGGTAGGAAATGGACACGGTGCGGTGCTTCTTCCCGTCTTGGCGACGTGGCCTCCACTCAGCAACATGGCCCTAGGCCTTATCTCTGGTACGCTAAAAGTCTTAACCGACCGGACGCTTTTCGTAGGCCGACCGGAGATCTTGGCCATTAGTGGGTGTTAGAAGATGGGACGGACGTTGGGGAAAGCTGCCGAAAGTGTGGCCGTCCTGTACGGCGTACGAAGTAGCCTTCGGAGATCGGGAACAAATCTCCCGTTGGCCAGGGTGAGTTCCAGGGGCTTCACGGAGGAAGCTCCCCGCGTATGTGATTGACCAATCATAGATGCTTGCTTCTTTTGAAATGTGATTGGCTCATCTTACGATTCGCCCCGCTTTAACGTCATAGCTTTCGTGCTTCTTTTCCCTTCCACCAAGCTCATGAGCAGGATCGAAGGACCCATTCCTTCGCTATCAGATAATAATACTGTTTTTATACATTCATTCGAGAAAATAGAAATATGGTATCTAAAAATTAAATTATCTATGTAAGTACCCATACGCGCTTGGTTCTCCTGTGACATTAATCCTTTCCTCGTAGGCATATTACATACAATCTTGTCGACCCATCTTTAAACCGTGTACAATCCCTGTTCTAAAAGGCACAATATCAATCAACGGAGACGCCCCGGCCAGCTACCCCGATAGCATGGCCGTCATGCCTATGTGCCGTCCCAGGCACTTCCAATTCTTCTCATGCTTCGTATCTTCCGTACCTCGTACGTCTTGTCTTCGTATATGGACCGTATGCATGGCGGCCTTCGTCTCTGCCAGACGAGGCTCACTTGTTCGCGCCCACCGGCGTGCTTGTGCATTCCTGCGCTCTAAAATGCCCAGCCACTACAGCTGGAACTTCTGCGACGTCCTCATCCGCTTGCCAAACTTGGTGATCAGCAGCGGCACGGGGACCATGGCGATGGAGATAAAGCCCAGCACCGAGTTGCCCCAGCCGTAGTTGAGATTGGCGTACAGGGTCGGGCCGGCCAGGGGAAGCATGGCACCAACGAGGCTTCGCGCCACAACATTGGCCGCCAGAGCCGAGGCGGCGTACATTGGGTATGCATCCACTAGATAGGTCGTGATGGGGAGGAAGAGGCCCATCATTCCGAAGCCAAAAGGCATCAGGCTCATGATGGGTGACATCCAGTGGACCTTGTACTGGGCCGTCCAGCCGTACCAGAAAAAGGTGATGGGCAGGCAGAGGCCAAAGAAGGGGGTGATGGCCAGGCGCATCTCGGGCTCAAACTTGCCGCCGTTGGCCTTGGTCAGGCTGATGACCGATTTGTCCGAGTAGATGGCCACAACAAGCCAGCCGACGACGTTACTGATCCCGAGGGCAAGATAGACGAGGCCGGTTAGGCCGACATTGAAGCCGTACGTGACCTCGAACACGCCCGGGATGGTGGTGAAGAGCAGGTACATGACCCCGTATACAAAGGCGATGTACATCGACAGAGACAAGATCATCGGCGACAGGAACAGCATCTTGACCGGACGCACCAGGCTATTGAACAGGATGCGAGAACCACTAAGGACCGCCCCATTACTGTAGCAGCTGCGCAGGTCGCTGCGGTTTAGCTCTTTGCTTAGGCGGTCGACCTTGCGCTGCATGATAACACGCGCGTTAGTCTCGACATTGAATATCTGTAATGTGCCGATAAAGGCAACGGCGACGATCAGGCAGATCCAAAAGTCCCAGCGCCAGCCAATGTTCTCGACGATGAAGCCGCCGGTAAGAGGACCGATGGTTGGGCCTGCAGGGTTAGCGACACTTGTACTAGTAGTAGTAGTAGTAGCAGCAGCAGACGGTAAACAAAACCTACCGACTAGTGGTCCTAGGTTCCAAATGCCCATAGCGAGGCCTCTCTGTTCGGCGCGGAAGAGGTCACCCATAATGCTTCCACCAAGAGTCTGGATAGTTAGTATGGTGAAGAAAGAAGTAAAACGTCACACAAAAAGCGACGCACCATGCAGCCGGCACCCCCAACGCCGGTAAGGAAGCGGAAGACGATCAGGGCGGACATATTAGGGGCCAGGGCGCAGCCGAGCAGCCAGCAGCAGAACATGACGTTAGCCGTCAACAGGACGGGCAGGCGGCCGTAGATCTCGGACAGCGGAGCGATGAAGAGCGGCCCGAGCACGTAGCCGAGCAGATAGACGCTGACGACGAGCGAAGAGATGATGGTGCTGGTGTTGCCAAACTGGCGGTCGACAGTGGCGACGGCAGGCGACAGGATCGAGGATGTAAAGGTCGTCAAGAAGGTCACGCCCGAGACGCAGGCCACCAGCACCCACTTCTTGGTCGGGTCAAAGTTCCACGGATGCATAGGGTCCTCGTCGGACTCCCAGCCAACGACGCCGTCGTCAAGGTCGGATAGCGGCAGCGTCTCGGCCCATTTGGTCTTCTGGCCATCCTTCTCGGTCGTCTGCTTGTCCGCCCGGCTGACTGCGCTGAGCGCTTGCGTCAGCCTGTACGCCACGCTGCTGCGGCTCTCGATCCGCTCGAGCACCTGTCTGTCGTAGGCCTGTATTGTCAAGTGTTAGCTATCTGGTGTTCCGCTGTTCGCTGCAGCGTTCCACGTACATTCTCCAGCTCGACATCGAGTTCATGGCCGGCCGTAATGGCCCCAATCTGCTCATAGTCGTGGTCCGGCTCGCCATGGATCGCCAGGCTGGTCCGATCAGTCGCCGACCGCGTCGACTGGCCTCGCAGGTGGTTCCGGTCAGATCCTGCATAGCTCGGCCTTCCTTGACGGCTCTCCTTCTTGGACAATGGATCCGATGCTGCAGATGATGACGACAACGACGAGGCCGGGCGCTGTTCACTTTTCGCTGCGTCCATTTCGCTAGTTCTCAGTCTGTCGTACGATCGGATGCAAAGGACGGTCAAACCAAAAGCGACCGAAACAGGGCGTCGCGCTGTTTTTCTACCAGATGGCCGCCGCTGCTTCCCCCTTGTCAAGGCCGAAGAGTGGGTCTGTTGATTGCGACGACCTCCCGTCTGTCGTGTTGCTAGGAAGCGGGGGGTAGATCGGGTAGCGTTCACGTGATATCCCGGACGTAAAGGCGAGCATACAACGCGGGCCTAACCAAGTCCAGATAGGGAATAAACGGGAATATCCGGTCCACAATAATTCTGTAAGGCCCGATCTGCGCCCTCTCCTGTGCATCTGCTGTATTTGACATGCATTTCTGTTGATACCGTTTCTACCCTCGAGAAGAATCTGCAGACCGATGTGGCCGCATCGCATTGTTGAATTCCCATTATCAGTCCGGTCCCATGGTGCACGCGTAGCCTCAATTTATTACACCGTAAACACACAGACGGACTAGTGGTACGGAGTCATATTGGGCTCAGCTCTGTGCTAACGGCACATCGTGCTGAAATTGACCGCATCGCGAGCCAGGGTGGACCCCACCAAATCACAACAATTCCGTAGCATTCGGCCCTCGTCTACTCCGGTTTGCCACGCTATTTCTGCAAGGGTGGCACGGAACAGGGGTGACGGCGGGCCTGAAACACAAAATCCTCCGTCTGGCACTTCTGATTGGCTGTCACAATGCTCAGCGGCACATATATAACCCGACAACACATGAAGACAAACGTGATGATCGCACTACTCATCAGCCAGCCAGGCCATGTTTTGGATGGCAGCCAGGCCGTAGAGGGCGGTAATATTGGTGGACACCCAAGGGGCCTCGTATGCGGGCGTGAAGTTCTCGCAAGCATCGACCGGTCGGACGGTCCAGGGTGTGGTCTGGTCGTAGCCGTCGCCGGTGGCAAACTCGCGACGGGCACGGGCTGCCAGGTCCGGAGAGGCGAAACGGGCGGCAGCATAAGCGGTGAGGCGTGAGTGGCCTTGGCGCAGCTGCAAATTAGGAAAGGTGGAGCCATATCGGTCAAGTTGCTCGTCTGCGGGGGCGTTGTAGAAACGGCAGTAGTCGAGCCAAGCCTGGTAAAAGGACCGCTGCTCGGCCGGTTCGGACGGCTCGGACGGCTCGGAGGGATCGACCGGCTGATCGACTGAATCGGTCTCATCGGTCAGATAAGCCAGCTCGGCACACAGCTCGACAAGACCAAACATGGCCGAGAGATGAGAAACGTTGACGGGGCCCCGGGCGCTGTCGGGGCTGATGTCGCCAGTGCAGGGGTTGTAGAGGGCAAAGCCGGCAACAAAGCCATTGGGCAGCCGGGCAATGCCACGCATGCTGCGAAAGAGCTTATTCCGAAACGCATTGGCAGTCGGGCCACGGCGCTCCCAAGCAATGAGCCAGGCGGCCGCAATGGCAGACCAGTCAGTGCCGAGCGAGATGGAGATGGTGTCGGGCTGCGGCCGATAGGTGCCACGATCAGGCCGAACCTTGCGGTAGGGGTCCAAGACCAAAAAGGCCGACTCGGCGTCCAGAACCTCGTCCAGCAGGTCGCCGACACGCTCGTCGGCGGTCAGATAGTAAAATATGCGGCGGTACAGAGCATTGGACACCCGGGCCTGCTTGCAGCTGTCACTCCAGTGCTGGACGCCGTGACGGGAGCCGAGGCCGCGGAAGGGCCCGAGATGGTAGGCGTCAACCTCACTCGTGTGGCGGGTCAGGGCCTCGGCGCAACGGAATACTATCGGCACGGCCGGTGCAGAGAAAGAAGAGCCACAGCCAGAGGTCGGGCGAGAGCTCCGAGTTGTCCCAGGCATAGCCGCCGACGTCGTAGCGCCAACCGTGGCGGTCGCCGTCGTAGGTATGCATGATGTCGCCGTGGTCCCAGAAGCCATACCAGCGGCGCTGTTCGATCTGGTCGTGGTAGAATTGGAAGAGGAGATCGAGGCGGTGGAGGGTGGTCGAGTTGGACGCAGTGGACAAGGTCGAAAACGGCTTCCAATAGCGACCTAGAGCGGCAGTCTGATAGATATGCTCGGACGAGGCTACCAGCAGCGGCGGATTTCGGATGAGATCGACCAGCTGGGCAGTCTCACGGGCTGCCGGCGTGTGGTCGAGGCCGACGAGGATTATCTCGTTGGTGCGTGCGATGCCGTGGGCCGACCCCAGGCCGGGCTCCCAGTCTTCGTACGTGATCCGGAGGGCATCGAGCTGGTCGTCAAAGCCGGCCTGGCCGAGACCATCGTGATATGGCCGCAGGTCCATCGGAGGAGCTGCCGGGCTATAGAGCCAGAGGGTGATAGAGGATGCGGCTGCAGTGGCATCGGCGGCAGCATCAGAAACGTCAATTCCTGTCGGGTAGCGCTCCCAGAAATTGGCGAGGCCGACGGCGAGACCGCCAGTGTGCGCAGACCCGAGAAAGGCCAGGCCGCCCGCCCGTGTGCCTCCGGAAATCTTCACCCAGCTCTGGCCGGCCTTTGTGCGCTTGCGGGCGTTAAAACCATCGGGTGAAAGCTGGACGAGCGAGTAGTCGTTCCAGGCCGGGACCCAGCGATGGAGGGCCGAGAAGTCGGGAGGGACGGCATCCGGCATCGACACAGGCCTGCCCTCGTGCTGGGCCTTGCGCACTTCAACACCTGGATCCCGCCACAGCCCGGTCAAACCGTGAATAGCCTCGGACAGGACGCCCCCGCCGACGCCAGCCAGACGGACGTGGCGGTTGTGCAGCTGTGTAGCGGCAAGAGGCACGTGAATGCGCAGTCCGAGTCCGCGGATGGCCGTCGTGGGCGAGCCGTCATAGACGATGGTGTGTACAATCCTCACGGCCTCGGAGCCGGCATAGAGGTAAAAGCGAAGGAGAAAGGGCAGCCAGGGGGTGCCATCTCCATCCACCGTGCCCACTGCCTCGTGCTTTCCCCGTACAGCCAAGACAACACGAACCGGGCCGTCCTGCTCGACAACGACTGAGTCGACTTGACGGTCTGGAAACTGCCGTCTTGTCCGACATCGTCGCTGGATGACAGCAGGACCAGGTGACCATCACTTCCGATGACAGTTCCATTGGCCGCGGTGATGCTCTTGACGACATGTCCGCCCGACTTGGCAAACTCGACGCTGATCTTCCCCGTGTCGACGATGATGGCAGTATCAGCCTCGCTCACGCGTATAGCCCTGTCTGTCTGGCTGGTCTCATTCTTCTGGTCCGCCCGATTGGGTCTGGCGACGACGTGATAGGCGTCCGAGCCAGAGACAACAATGGCGTGCGCCGTCCACTTGATGGAGCCGTCAGGCCAAAAGGCCGTCAACCATGACTGCAGCGGTACCGAAGCACCGGCATCGTCGTGACAGGAAAAGATAGCAGAGGAAGGACAATCGCCACGTGGCCAGGGCAGGCCGAAGGTGGTGCCAACATCAAGGCCAGTAGCCGCGGTGGGCTGTCCACGGAGCCAACGAGCGGCAACGGTTATCTTTTGGTCGGACTGCATGGTGCCTGATGCGACGTAAAAAAATTGCGAGGCCATGACGCAAGAGTTGGCGAGCACGAGTCGCTATTAGTAGCGAAAGTCTCTGTTGGTGGGCCTGCCCCTGTCGAACTATGGCATCACCAACAGTGCAGATCACGAAACCGGGGCACTTTCCCGAGTGGTCGGTAGCGCATCGCAGATGGGCCAACTGGCAGCGAGACGGCGGCGGATGTCAGTAGTCTCTGTACCATGTCTGTGTATTGTCTGATGCCTTATCTAGTGTGATCGTTGTGTTTATAAAAACTTGAGTTTCGTAGCGAGAGAGATTTCCAGAGGACCAGCGACAAGGAAGGAGCGTTCGAGACAAAGCGTTCCAGGAAGGAACCACCTACGCATCTCACGGAAAAACTATTCCTAAGCATTTCCAGCTCCATCATGAGCGCAGACACAAAAAGGCCGGACGTCTCGGTGGACGACCTGGCCGAGCCCGAGGACGCGGCGCCATCACAAGGCCTGCTGAGCCTCTTCCGGCGACAGCGAAGTCCGATCGACCTGGACGCCGTGGCGACGGTGCGCAGCGTGTACGACGACCCGACTTTGGCGCCGTTCTACCAGCCGCATGCCGACTACGAGAACCTGCACCGGTTCGACGTGGGAGCGCGCTGGACGGTGCGCGAGGAGCGGCGGGTGCGGCGCAAGACGGACTGGCTGGTGCTGTCGTGGATCCTGATCATGTTCTTTGCGCTCAACCTGGACCGTGGCAACCTGTCGAACGCGGTGGCAGACAACCTTTTGGACGACATCGGCGCCACGACAGACGACTACAACACGGCGCTCAACATGTACCGGATCGGCTTCCTCGTGGCCGAGATCCCGTCGCAGATGGTCGGCAAATGGCTCGGCGTCGACCGCTGGATCCCGGTGCAGATCATCGTCTGGAGCCTGGCTTCGGGCGGCCAGTTCTTCATGCATTCGCGTGGTGCTTTTTTCGCCTGCCGTTTTCTCATCGGCCTCTTCATGGGCGGCTTCATCCCCGATGCCGTCTTATATCTGTCCTACTTTTACACCGCCAGCGAGATGCCCTTCCGGCTGGCGCTCTTCTGGTTTGTCGACAGCATGTCCGGCGTGGTCGCCTCCTTCATTGCCTACGGTGCCCTCCATCTACGCGGCGTCCACGGTCGTGCTGGTTGGCGCTGGCTCTTTTTGATCGAGGCCCTCATCACCATCACCATCGGCTTCCTCAGCTTCCTCTTCCTCGTACCTGGCCCCTGTGAGACCCGTACGCGCTGGAACCCGGACGGCTACTACTCGGACCGCGAAGAAACCATCCTCGTCAACCGTGTCCTTCGCGATGACCCCAGCAAAGGCGGCATGCACAACCGCGAACCCATCACGCTGCGCATGCTCGCCCGCAGTCTGGCCGACTACGACCTCTGGCCCATCTACGCCATCGGCATGCTCTTTGAGATTCCTACCGCTCCGCCCAAGGCCTATCTCACCCTCTCGCTCAAGGCCCTTAAGCGCTTCAACACCTTTGAGGTTACCCTACTCGGCATCCCCGTCACCGTCTTCGCCTCCATCAACCTGCTCTGGATCTCCTGGTTGACCGAGTTCTTCCGCGAGATCTGCACCATCGGCGTCTTCTCCCAGCTCTGGACTCTCCCCCTGCTCATTGTCCAGTACCGCTGTGGTGAGTTCCTCCATCACCATCCCTGGGGCCAGTACGCCCTCACTTTCGTCCTTCTCGGCTGGCCCTCCATGCACGCCGCCCACGTCTCCTGGACCTCGCGCCTTAGCAACTCCGTCCGCACCCGCGCCGTCGGTGCTGCCCTCTATAACATCACCATCCAGCTGTCCGGCATCGCCTCCTCCAACATCTACCGCACCAATGACAAGCCACTCTACCACCGCGGCAACAAAGAACTCATTGCCATCAATGCAGCCACTATTGTTGCCTACGTTCTAGCCAAGCTCTACTACCGCTTTCGCAACCGCCAGAAGAGTGCCATCTGGGACAAGATGACATCTGCCGAGAGAGCCGCATACCTCGAGCAGAACGAGCATCTTGGAAACAAGCGCCTGGACTTTCACTTTGACAGTTAGCCGACCTATGTGTATAGCGCAAGATCGTGTGTAGCTATCGACAAGATAATCCACCAATCGTTCAGTCGTGTTCGTACCTACCAGCCGGAGCATGCTCCTTTGGGTCGTCGTTTGGCAGCCAGCTCCATCGGCTGTAACCGACGTTAGGCACCCAGCCAATCACCGGTCGCGACTTATATGGAGTACCCCTGTCTGCCTCTGACGACATCCCAGCTAAAGTTGCGAACCGTCCAATGCCTGCAACTTGAGTTTGCGTCATTTCCCTGCTTCTCGCCGTGATCTCGTTCTGTAGCTATCGTATTGTAGCCCAAGATACGGAGCACAATGTGAAGTCTCAAAATCGTACTTTTTCATAGCCAGAATACATAAAATAGTTCAATATAGCTTTCGTACGCCGTAGTCCTGCTGCGTACTTTGTGCTTGTGCATGAAGCTCTCTCACCCCCCTCCCTTCACCATGCCCAACGTCCTCCTACTCGTTGCCGACGACCTAGGCAAGCAGCTCGGCTGCTATGGCTGTCCCTACACCAAGACGCCGCACATTGACCGCCTCGCCGTTGACGCTGTCCGCTTCGACAATGCCTTTGCCAGCACTGCCTCGTGCAGCGGCAGCCGCTCCACCATCTACACCGGCATGCATACCCACCAGAATGGCCAGTACGGCCTGCAGAGTGGCAAGCATCACTTCATGACCTTTGACCATGTCGACACCGGCCCTGCCGTTCTAGCCCGCCACGGCTACCTGACCGCCATTGTCGGCAAGGTCCACGTCGGCCCCGATTCGGCCTATCCGTGGGAACACCGCGCTGAAAGCCTGACCCGCGATGTCTTCTGGAGCGCTGACCGCGCCGCCGACGTCTTTGCTGCTGCCAAGGCCACCAGTCGACCCTTTTGGCTGACCGTGGCCTTCCACGACCCCCACCGCTCCCACACTCGTGCCGGCTTCGGCAATGAGGAGCCCGTCGACGACCGCATCCAAAAGGCCACGTATCGTCCTGAGGACGTCGTTGTGCCCAACTTTCTCACTGATTCGCCGGGCGTGCGTACCGAGCTGGCCTCGTACTCTGAGGCTATTAGCCGCCTCGACCAGGGCGTCGGTCACGTCCTGCTCGAGCTCGAGCAGGCCGGCCTCGCCCAGGACACGCTCGTCATCTTCATCAGCGACAACGGCCCGCCCTTTCTCAACTCCAAGACCACGCTCTTTGACGCTGGCATCCGTCTGCCGCTCATCGTCCGCCATCCCGGCCTGCCCGGCTCGGTCAACCCGAATCTGGTCTCGTTTGTCGACGTGCTGCCCACCATCCTCGACTGGACCATCGGTGCCGCCGCCCTGACCGAGAAAAATGAGCGTTCCGGTCGTTCGTTCCTCCCCATTCTCGGTGCCACCGAGCCCCTCTCGGCCTGGGACCACGTCTTGGGCTCGCACACATTCCACGAGGCCACCAACTACTGGCCAACACGCTATATCCGTACCCGCCGCTTCAAGTACCACCGCAACATTGCCTGGCGCCTCGACTTTCCCTTTTCCAGCGACATCTATGGCTCCCTCACCTGGGAAGATGTCCGCAACGCCGAGACAAGCCCCAAGATGATCGGCCAGCGCCCGCTGCGAGACTACTTCTTCCGTCCGCCGGAGCAGCTCTTCGATCTCGAGTCTGACCCGGCCGAGGTCAGGGATCTGGCCAAGGACCCCGCCTATGCTGACGTTCTCAAGGACCTGCGCGACTGCCTCGAGGACTGGCAGCGCCGCACCAACGACCCATGGCTCTACCGTGACGGCATCTCCCTGCTGCAAAACAAGTACCATCTGGACGCCGGCCTCAAGATTCCCGACCGCTGGGATGTGGACGTAGACCACCCTGAGACCACTGGTGACTTCAAGGCATATGTGAACAGACCGTTTGGTGTTTAGATCGATTGTAGCTCTCATCCAGATCATGACACTCGTTCGATGTGCTCTCAGGGCTGTCTGAGTGTCGTCGTCGTAATCTTGGATGGTTGAAACGTCTGATCTGGTCGAGGTTCGCCAGGTAGTCTTGCTTTGTCTGGTTAAAGTTGGCTACAGCTTACTTTACGACTGATCTCCAAGGGGAAAGAGCAAATTCAATGTTAAACAATGCAGGCAAGCACGACCGGCGGGCGGTCTGCTGAATACATCCTCAGATACTTGCATCAGTCTCATTCAGTCTTGTTTATTTCTGTTTTTGCTATCCCCTTGTCTACTGTAATTACCAACAGACACCAAGCGCGCGCTCCAAACGAACAGCGACCAGCGACCAGCCCGTTCCGATGTCCGATCCCGACCCCGATCCCCATTACAGCCCCATCGTCTTGACACACTCCCACTCGCCCTTGAGGTTCTCCTTCCACATGGTGATCTTGTTATTGGCAGTGCTGACGGCCAGCACGTTGCCGCTCAGGCTCCAGTTGACCCGCCACACGGCCTCGTCAAAGGTGAGCACCTTGCTGGCCCAGCCGGTCGTCGCCGGCGCCAGCGAGTCTGCCGTCCAGATGCGCACCGTCTTGTCCTGGCTGGCGCTGGCAATGTAGCTCTTCTGCAGCACCGTCGGGCTCCAGGCCACGTCGCGCACCCAGTCCGTGTGTCCCGTCAGCGGCTCGCCCTCGGCCACGTAGCCGCTCTCGGCGGTGTCCCACGCCCAGATGCGCAGGTTGTTGTCGCTACCGCCGGTGACGAAGCGCCGGTTGCCCGCCGCTGCCGGCGACGGGTTGCTCGAGATCAGGCTGCCCGCCGATGTCGCCGGTGCCCATGACACGCCGTTGACGCCCAGGCCGTGCGCCTGGAAGGTCGTGTGCTCAAAGCTGTTGTCCTTGAACTCGAGCACCGTCACCGCCCCGTCCGACGACGCGCACGCCAGCAGACAGCCCGCCTCGTGCGGCGACCACGACACCAGGTTGACGGACGCCTTGTGCAGCGCAAAGTCAAACAGCCGCTGCCACGCACCCCCCTGCTCGCGCCAGATAAACACCTTGCCGTCGTAGCTGGCCGATGCCAGGATGCTGCCGTACTTGGGGTGCGCCCACGAGATCGACCACACCGCTGCCTCGTGTCTGGAGGATCAGGCCCACAGACCGCACGTCAGCAAAGCCCGATGCCCAATGCTCTTCCCGTCCCGTTCACCAATCTCTCTGTCTCGTCTCGCTCCTCTTTCTCTTCTCTCCCTCGCTCTCTCCTCTCTTGCCCCACTCACCCTTTCAGTGTCTCTATTAATCGCTGAGACTCGCCCTCAATCTCGAAAATCTTAATCTTCCGGTCCGAAGAGCATGTCGCCATCCGTCGGCCGTAGTAGTCAAGGGCTACATCATGCTGTGGTCCAGCCTGTCAGCACACCGCATCTCTCACGTCCTCAACTGACAACAAACAACGTACAATCATGCCGTCATGGTTGACGTTCGAAATCGTTCCCGTTGCCTGCACTCATCACAACATTGTCAGCATCAGGTCGGCCCAGCCTTGCAATGCACCTCCACCGATCGCCTTCTTCGGCCGATTGCTTCCACGTTGTCATGCTGCGTGGGGGTCAACGCTAACCATTGTGAATTCAGTTGAATGCGGGCAGCAGTTGGAGGGCTCGAAAATTACGAGTAGTCCGCTTTGAGGTTCGCCAGGCGCCGTAAGTAGAATCGATAGACAACGAACGGGTGGGCGACAAAATCAACGCTGGCTGCCTCGTGTGCGTCGTCGGGAGTCGTCGCGTTCGTGTTCTTGCGCCAGGATGGTCTGCTCTTGGAATGCCAAATGGCCACAGCTGCTCCAACAGCTGCCAGGAAAGGACAAACACAAAATCCGGCGCCGATGAGCGCCGGCACCACTAGACCGTATTGGGACACAGTGGCGTTCAGCCACATTCTTTTTGCCACATGCTCGGCTGTCACAAGCTCACATTGCATTGAGGGGCAAGTGCGAAAGGGAACAATGGGACTGCAGCCGGCAAAAGCTCTTTCAAGCCGCATGCTATTTATTAGCTAGCATGCCGCAAGCTTCCTCCATTGGTTTCTGGGGAACTCCATTCACGCCAACATCCACCTCAACCTCATTTCCCATAACACCACCGAATGATGCCCAGCGCACCAGTCATTTGCCCCACTACAATGCGCTGATGCTGGGCTTCTTTTGCTCCTTCGTTTTGTCCTATTCAGCTTGAATACCCTTCTTGGCACCTTGTATGCACCTTGGATAATCCTGGTCGCGTATATAAATCGATATCTCGACTTTTGGTTGTCTCGGCTCACTCGTAACCTTGTTTGCTTCATCCCTTGCATACTGCATCCCTTACCTAACGGCAACGCTCCCTTGAAACCCAAATCTCTGGAACCATCCCTTGCAGCCACTGGCAAGCATCATCGACTCGGTTTTATCCCTTGTACCACATTTACTGTATCCGTCTTGACAGATCAGCCTCTTCACCATGTCTGACGACGTCTGTGGTCCCTCTGGGGCCCTCAAAAGTTTCGGGAGACATGTCAACCAGGACCAGTCCCGCCATCAAGACCGAGCGCGGCCCGCTCCTGGGGCTTCTCAAGCCGTGAGTTGCAAGGCTTTACCAGATTTGCGGGTTTGGCCATGCTTGCTGACATACACTTCTTAGAACTTCCGGTCTACGCCGGCTGGTCCCAGCAATGAGGCTGAGTTTCGAGCCTTTGCCTCTGGCTCCAACCTCATCCTTCAGCCTGGCTCTGAACTCATTGACCCGCGGCTCACTTCCCAGGATATGGCCACATTTCGTCCTGGGATGCACCATCCGCAGATGGGTTTCGCCAGTCCTGGCCCTGTTACACCTGTCGGTATGCCGACTGCAGGCCCTGTTACTATGCCCATTGCCGGTCCTGTTGCCGGTCAGATGCAAGGTTTTCATCGTCCCCCTGTTGCCCAGGCTGCTGGCAACTGGGCCCAGGAATTTTCTGCAATGAACAACCAGAGCCAGGTCTACCCCTCGTCAGCAAGCCATTTGGCGGAGCCTTACGTGGTCCAACATGCTCCTCAGCCGCACATGCAGCATGCTGCCTTTGGCCCGGGTCAAGCTTTCAGGCCCATGATGCAAGCTTACCCGGGTGTTGTGAACTATCAGCAGCCTGCTTTTCAGCAGCCAACCTTTCAGCAGCCGGCTTTTCAGCCGATGCCTGCTTTCGCTGCTGCCAGCAATCAAAATGCAGCTTTCCAAGCCCGCGTCGTCATGGCGGCCCCAGTCACGGGCAGCAATCTCATTGGGGGCCTCACCGAGGCAGAGCTGGATGCCCGATTCGCTCAGCTTGAGTCGGACTTTGAGTTCGCAAATGAAATGGATGCTTGGATGGCCGAGTATGGCCCAACCCCGGCAGAGCGCGGACAAACAGCGACCACTGCTCACCAGGAAGAAAATGTGGACGAGATTCTTGAGCAGCTTGCTGAGGAGCTTGAGGCCCAGAAACTCGCCGAGGCCGCTACTGTCGGTGCCGCGATTGCTACTCAGACTTCCCAGAATACCTTGCCAGAGTTCATGGGCGAAGAGCACACGCGGGCTCACAACAACGAACTCCGTCAGGAGCAGTTGACTCAGGCTCTGGAGCAAGAGGAGGAGTCCTCGCCGACGCAAGAGCAGATCGAACAGGATGATCTTGCCCGAACGGCTGAGCAGATTGTCAACACTCTGGATGCCCACCCGAACGAGCGCTACCGTGAGTCGGCCTTTGTTGGCCTGATGCGCCGGATTCAGGCCCGCGAGGTCACCGTCCAGGGCGACGTGCTCGTTGACTCGACGACTGGCTTGCCAGTGGAGTCAGCCGTTTTGGCTGCCGAGCATTCTGACACTGGGGCTGGAATTCCCATTCCGCCTGCTGGATCGCAGCAGGAGGTGGCTTAGGCAGCCGAATTCCTCCGTGGTGAGAACCAACGGGTCTCCTTTAGCTCGGACGGAAGCAGCCCGGGCTCTCTTGCAGTCAATGATCTGGATGGTCAAGATGCTCAAGACACAATCATGGGCGAGACCGCAGAGTCTGACAGCCACGCTGCTGGTCTGTCTCCCGATCCTGCTGGCGAGGCTTCCCTGGTCACGGACTTGCAGGAGCGGATTGAGGAAGAGATTGTTGTTGGCACATCGGCGGTTCAACACACTGCTGAGCACGACTCGATGGCGACGGAGCCCACTGAGGTCATCGAAGCTGGCAGCGCCGGGCCGTCTCATGGGGAAGCATCTGGACCCCAGGTGCAGTCTTCCAACAAGAAGACGACCTCTGCTCAGGGACGCAATATTCTTCGCCGCCGGAAGAGAAATGCTCGCAAGCACCAGGCCAAGATTTGATTCTCTGACAGCGAGCTTGCGGGCATACGCTACACCTCTTCTATTTCAGGGCCGCGCATCTTTACGCCCTTTCCATCATTCGAACATCCAGTGCTCTCGTTCTCTCTATCGTCGACGACCACAACTCACACATGAGCCCATGTGCTAGTCGCACTACTACATGATTTGATTCAATTTTCCAGGAAGCCTCGCTTCTGCTCCTATTATTCGAAGCCAAAACCTACTCGCAGAAACTATGCCAGGCACAAGACCGCACTTTTCTCCTGCTTGACTGTTTTTCGACTCTTCGGATCGATCTCTATTCACATCACCTGCCTTTCTAGGCAAGGAATACTGCAGGCAGGAAATGCTGCACACATGGTAAGCAATTTTTCAAAGGTCGGGGGGGAAAGGCAGACGCAGATATGCTGCAACAGTGGAGGCATTTTAACATGATCTGAGTATCATCAACATGGACTAGAAACGACAGCAATGACGAGCGGCATATTGTGCCATGGAATACCTGGATCTGCTGTCATACAGTGCTATTCAATATTCTACCTCTTTGTTTCTATTTTCTATTTCCTTCCTGATAGTATCGCATAGTATAGCATCGCATAATCGAGCATCAAGTTACCAATGCCGTAAGGACCCTCCCCCCATCCAGGGGCATGCATACAATGGACATCCATCGCACCGCTGTCCTATCTGTCGGTGTGACTCTCACTGGTGCCTTCGTTTGTGTAAGAGGATCACACATGCTTGAAAACAGGTGATCCGACATAGCTGTTGGGGCCCGTTTATCAATCTTCTTCCTCGTCAAGCCGGAACGTTGCCGCTAGCTTTCGAGGTGGACTGTGCATTTTTACACCTCTCCTTCCGACTGAAACATCTCATTGCTTCTGTAGGTGATTCTTTAAATGTCTCATGAATGGTACTGTGCCCCCATTTTGACCTCCATTGAGTTTGGTATCTTGCACTGGCGCCCGCAAAGTCTCCTGACAATTGGTCCGGAACCTGGCCGATTGCGATAGCGTTTTACGACTTTATCTGGTCCCAGCTGATCCACCACCCACGTCAAGGCTGCTAGGCTGCTAGATTTCGAAAGAGCGGTGCAAGCTTGCGAGATGGATGATCGAAATAGCCCCGTAACACGTCAGCGAAGTATCTTTGCGTCCCAAAAAGGCTCCGAGTGCGAAATACGAATACGCCGACAGAAACAACAGCCTTGCGTCCCAACGGACAGCCTGAAATGGAAACCATAGAAAAGACCGACACGCGCTCTGTACAAAGTACGGAGTACGGAGTATGGATCCATCATTCCATTCCTCTTGCACTCTATCGGGCAAGTGGGGATGAGCCGCGATGCTACCTCGTAGGTCTTAGAATGGTAATGGTTCGATATGCTATTTTGCAAAATGGCCTTCTATCTCCGTGCAGTGTAGTAGTAGTATACATAGGAAATTCTCGTGGCAAGAATCGTGCTCGTCCCCAATGTTGGATCTTTCCATGCTCCTAGACCAGGACGCCGAGAAAATCCCCCAAACCCCGACAGACAAGAAAAATAAGAAACAAATGTGAATCGAGGCACCAAGAACCGGCCCACAATATAGTACATATTGACAAGGACATACAAAGGAAAAAGCTTTGGTGATGCTTGTGATTGGCGAGATCGCCTTGTAAATAGACTCAAAGCAGAAGCAGTCCTAGTGCCCGCCGAGCTTCTTTAACCAGCTGCCTAGCTTCTTCCATTTGGTGCTGGGTCCCTTGTCGACAGCCAGGCTAGGCCGCAGCCCACGATCTGATTCGCCCGCATACCCAAGAGTCCGGCGCTCCGCTTTGCCGAAGTCAGTCGTGGGCATGGTGTCGGTAGGGTAGTATGCAGAATAATTACGACGCCCGCCGCGAGGCATTGGGGTCGATGGGGACAGGGAGCGCGATGCTAGGCTCCCAACGCCAGCTGCAGTTACTGATGACAGCGGGTATATCGTGGACAACGGAGGAGAAGCATCCGTTGATTGAAATTCCGCAATGGAAGGGGAGGGGGATAGCCGCTGTTTTGCCAAAGCGTCTGGAGTGTAGTCCCCGCTGAGACGAGAGAAAGCCCTGCTTCTCTGTACGCCGGAAAGTGATGGCCGCTCGGAGTCGCTGGTGTCGTACATCTGTTGTAGCTGCTTCCGGCGTTGCATGTATGCAGCACCGGTGCTGAAGGCCTTCGTCGGCAGGCCACCAGCAGGCATGGAAGCTCTGTGCGATGCGTAAGGTGAATCGTCTCGATCTAGCCGCTGGCCAAATACCAGTGGTGATGCTGGTCGCGATTTCCGTAGGGACAGCAAGCCACGGCCGCGCATATCACCGTTGCCGCTGCCGTTGGTTGCGGCGCCATCTGCCCGGCTCTCTTCCAGCTTCGGTGGGAAGCTGCGGCGGCGATAGCTGCCAGAAGCAGCTCTTGCAGCGCCGTTGATGAGGTGCTCTGTCGTGACCGAGGCGTTGTTCAGAGCCGACAGGAAGGCCGGTGGCGTCGAACCCTGAGCCCAGCCGATCTGGAGCGCCACCCAGATAGCAGTGATACAGATAAAGTCTCGGAGAGCTCCGTCGACCGGGTGGGTCGTTCGTCCTTCGTTGGCAAGCTGTGTCGCAGATCCGAAACGTCCGTGGGTCTCATGGTCTCCGTGTGCCTCCTCATCATTGCTGCCATCAGCCTCGACAGGTGCTGGCGAGATTGTCCTGGATCTAGTGGGTGGATATCGGCCGCTCGATGCGGATACGGTCGTGTAGTGGTCCAGAACGTCTAGCGAGGACTTGGTCAGTGTCGCTAGGATGGGGTGGCGCCTCGAGTCTGGGTTGATGACGCTAAAGGTGAGCTTCTCGGCCTCTAGTTGGGACGTGTCGGTGCCCGGATCGGCTCTGGTGGTGCGCCGAACCCAGCGGGCAGTCGTGGCCCGTCCGCTGGCGTCAACACAGACAAAGTCGAACGAGCCCGATGCCAGAGGTATAGCTGTCCACACGGTTCCATCTTCTAGGACAATTTCGGAGCGGTCCTCTCGGCGTAGCGGGCTCAGCACAGCCAACAGCTGCCGTCGCTCAAAGGCATCGTCGTCGCATTCGCTCTCGGATCCCGGCGACTGGTCGCCATAGTCGCCATTTCGCACGAGAATAGTGTCGTGGAGGCCCAACTCGCCGTTGACACCGAAAAGCCGTGGCAGCTTGGAAAAGCGCGGTGCGACGACGTTGCCACCCATAAGCGATGCTGGATAGACGTCAATGACGGGCAGTGGACGGCGGTCGGACAGCTGCTGCATCTGCAGGAGCAGTGTAGGGCGGATGTGCTGGAGCAGGTGCTTCTTGGTGGCGAGCTTAGGAGCTGGGTGGGCAAAGATGAAGGCTGTGCTCTTCCGAGGCGCCCGGCGACGGCGCAGACGCTTCGAGGTGCCGTTAGCCGAGAGCGACGCTTGGTCGCTGGCATAGCTGGCCTCTGACGCCGAGTAGTTGGTCTCATCGTCGCTCATTTGTTCTCGCGGCCTGAGGGGGTTGAGCTTGACCGGTGATATTAGTCGTACGGGGGCAGAAGGTCGAACCGGTGTGGAAAGTCGTCGAAACGGGATGTCCACCACTACAGGGTCATGGAACCGTACGACTGGTTCAGGCGTCCGCCGCGGGTAGAAGCCGTCAGAGACCGGGCGTGGACGAGGTTTTGTTTGCAAAGCGCTGGCGGGAGGCGGCGGGCCCTTGGCGATGGGTGTTGGCTGGAAAGGCGATGACGTTGCAGTGGGAGCTGTAGTGGCCGGTGACGTCTCGCTAATGGGGGGAGATGAGGCGAACGCCGATCGCAGGAGGGGAGAGCGTCGAGGACGGGGCTGTGAATGTTGATCAGGCTTTTTATTTGAGTATTCGTGTCCATGCAGGCTGGCACCTGAATGAAGAAACATATCGTCGACTGATGGCATGCAGCGAACCGGAGCTACCACCTAATCTATAGTGGGAGGATATGCAAGAAGAGGAGCAGAGCACCTGCGAGTTGCACTACACAGGGTGTGTGGGCCGTGCTAAGCATACATGATCGAGCCTCGGACAGTGATGTAGCCAAACTCGCAACCGAAATGTCCAGGCGGACTTCGGTAGGAATCCGAGGACGAAAACGAGGATGGAGTAGTAGTAGTGACCGGGAAGTGCTAAAACAGGGGCCACAGAAGGGTGCTCCGGCACATGTGGATGCTAAGCAGGGTCGGCCGAATATTAGTTGCAGGGGTCTAGCCAGCTTCGATCGGTTTCTGCGTAAGGCTGTCGATCTGAAATTCGGGATGGTATTCTGACAAAGACGTTAAATGTACGTCGAAAAAAACTAGCAGTGGGTTGGAAAATAAGCAGGTCACATTGGATCTTACGGAGTAAAGGAGGAGCTAGGGAGCACGGGGAAAACGGACGAATTGGCAAGGTAAGACTCTCGCAAAAGGGAAGAACGGTGAGCGGCTGAATGAGAGCAGCTCGGATTCGGGAATTAGACGTGTGCGGGCGCCGTTTCCCTCCTCGAATGGCAGCTCTAAAAAAAAAAAAAAAAAATTTAACTCTGGGTCAATGCGGGTCATGAAGGAACGAAGGCGGAAGTAGCGTACGACGTAAATAGAGAGGGAGAGGAAATGGAAAATCGGTAGTGGCGCTTATTTGCCGTTCAGACCTGGGTCTGGGTCTACTTCCGTACTTGTACGAGTAAAACTCTGATTCTCGCCTTTTTCCTCCGTACGAAGCGATGAAACTGCATGCCCAACTAGAAATGCCAAGACGCCAACGATGAACGGAGATGGAGACGGTGTGACAGCCCATAAGCTGATCTCGTTCGTTCGACAGAGCACAGGATCAGGCGGGACAACCTTGCATTGCTGACACGGTCTGCCATGGGGTAAGGGCCTCGGGGGCTGGAGCTGGGCCTGGGGGAAGGCCTCAGATGTGTTTAGTGAACAGACTGTGGCCTGACTGCAAGCCATCCGCCGCTTCACCCCGGTCCGAGCTACCACACCCGATGGGATCATATCATCATCAATCAGTGCAAGAAATATGTTCCGTCAACCCGCCGCCTAGTGTCCGTAACAGGCAGCCTCGATCGCAAGTGCCAGTGCCATGTTGTCGCCGTGGTCATGGGACGATGTGCCCAATGCGGCATAGGCGAGAGGATGCTGCAGAACGGACTTCATGCAAGAGTCCGATGCAGCTGTGCTCGGGTTAGCAAAGGGGCGAAGACCTCCGAGTACGGTAAGGGCCTATCCATTGCGGTGGATAAACGAAATGCCAAGCACTCTAAATAAATACGAGTGCGTACGGAGTACGAGCAGTTGCACAGTGCGCCACCGTGTATGCACCGTAAATCGTGCGGAATTCGGCCGGTTTGTCTTTTGTAGACGCGACTTCCGGCCGTCCCATGAAAAACACGCTAAAACAATTGTCGCACCTGACCTCCTTACGTCATTTATTTGTCACTCATTTCCTCTGCGTTCCAAGCAGCACATTTGCCTCCGCCCAATCGCGATTCCCCCTTTCTAGAAGCTTGCACCCCGGCACCATTCAGCCTGGTGCGTGTTCCTTAATGGCTGTCGGCGCGAGACCACAGCGCGCTCCCGACGACGGTCGCACGGCAAAACAGGTCTCCGGGACCGTCCAACGCCCGTATCGCTCCCTGATTGCGGCTTTTTGTTCCTGGAAGGCCGTCCTCCTGCTCATTGCTGCCGTCACCAGTTATGGCAGTTTGGCCTACGACACGTCGGCCAGCCTGGCCAGTGCCAACCATCAAGGTGCAAACGGCCACGATCTCGCCACCCGGCTGTCCAGCTGGGATGCCGTCTACTTTGTCCAGACTGCCCGCCGCGGCTACTCCTTTGAGCAGGAGTGGGCTTTTGGCAGCGGTTTGCCCCTGCTCGTCTCCTTGTTGCACAAAGGTCAGCTGTTCCACTATTCAGCTCTCCTCGGAATCTCCGAACTCTTTACTAACGAATGCCAGGCTTTGCCTCACTTGGCGTCACCTCCAATATATCCGTGCCCATCCTGGCCATTGCTGTCTCCCATGTCGCCCACCTGCTGTCCGTCTTGGTGCTGTACAAGCTGGGCAGACTAATCTGGCTTGGTGATGCCGGCCGGAGAGCTGCTTTTATCGCCGCCTGCCTGCACATCTTGTCGCCCGCCGGCCTCTTTCTGTCTGCACCGTACGCCGAGAGCTCCTTTTCTTTCCTCTCGTTTGCCGGCCATCTCATCTATGCCACCGGGTGTCTGCGCGACCAGACAGACGCTCTGCCCTCGTTTGGTGGCGATGTCTTCCGCTTGCTTGCAGGGTTGACGTATGGACTGGCTAGCATCTTCCGCACTAACGGCCTGCTGAACGGCGTGCCGTTTGCCTACGAGGCCGTGATGGGGACCGTCGGCATGACACGCCGGCCCAGCTGGCAGCTGTTTCGACGGCTGTGCTTTCTCGGAGCTGGCGGTTTGGCAGTGGCAGCGGGCTCTATCATCCCTCAGACGGTGGCATACCTCCAGTATTGCTCCGAGCCTTCCGGAATCCCAGGCGAGCATCTACGCCCGTGGTGCTTACGCACGGTCCCCAGCATTTACGGGTTCGTGCAGGGGCATTATTGGTAAGTTTGCGCCCCCCCAGCTCCTTCATTTGTCGGCCATATATGTTTGCTCACGCAGATGCAACATACAGGAATACCGGGCTGTTCAAATACTGGACCGTCTCGAACATTCCACTGTTCCTTCTTGCCGCTCCTATGCTGTCCATATTGACCTTGTCAGCCAAGGACATCTGGTCCGACACAGACGGCCCACGGTCCGCACCGGTTGAAATGAAACGTCCTGACTTTGACGGGCTTCCTGACGGCGGTGACGTCCAGCCCAAGCTCATCCAGATGGTCCGTTGCCTCGCAGTGGCCCAGTTGTTTCTGGCGGGACTTGCTTTTACTAGCTACCACGTCCAACCCATCACGCGTCTGTGCTCTGGATATCCAGTGTGGTATTGGTGGTTGGCGCGAAACCTCGTTGGGGGCACGCAGGCGCAAGAGGGCTTAGCCGTCAAAATTGTGTGCTTCATGATCATGTATGCATCTATTCAGGGCGTATTATTTGCGTCTTTCTTACCACCGGCTTAGAGATGCACTGGCACCCAAATCAGAAGACACTGCATAACACATTCATTGTCTCTGGTTGCTCCTGACAATCAGCACTCTCAAAAAGCTCAACATAACTGTCCAGATCTCTTACTATCAGGAGACGTATTCTGGACTAACCGCTGACTAAGGAACCTTTTGGATTTGCTCCGTCATAAAGCTCCTAATGGAAGTAGCGCATTGGTTGTGCCTTCCTCCCGTAAAGGACCCACTGCAAAAGCACAGCAAGTATTGGGGGCCATTTTCATTTCGGCCGGGTCCAATCAAAAGGAGCTTTGCTTGCTCCATAACGCAACTTTTTTCATGCTTCTCTCGTCTTCCACGACCTCTTATCAACAGCGGTCGACAGGATTCGTCCTCCGCTGAGTTACTTGATTTGTTTCAGAGAAAAGCCGCCTCCTTTGAGCTGCCTACGTCTGACAGCCGTCATCTGGAAACAAGAAATGTGGACGGATCTGCCATCTACACCCATTTTGAAGATTGGAAACATGACGTCTGGTTAGCACTATGCAATGCAAAAAGCTAACAGTCAAGCCGCTTACACTCAGCAGGACAAAAAACACAGGCCAGCCAGACCGTGAGTGAAGCGGCGCATGGCTTTAACAGCGGACCAAAGCTCAAGTTAGAATCTCGGGCGGCAGATCTTAAAAAAGTGCTTTTAGGTCAACGCCAACTCGCCGCTGGGGTTAATGGCAGGCAGCTGTCATCATCACCATCTGACCCAGATCCACTGACAATAAAGGGCAGTGTTGTTGATAAGGCTCAAGCACCTGAAAGTTCTGCTTCAGGTACCGCCTCACCGTCCCTGTCGGTACGGCAAGACTTCAACAACGACGACATTGATGACCTCATTGCAGGCTTGCTACCGCGAGAGAAGAGCCCAGAGAGAGTTGGCGAAGCCGCTTCTGCAAGCACTTCAAAAGTAGCGCCGGAGTTAGTCGAGAAAACAAAAATGCATGCGACGAACGACAGTAAGGGTAGCGTGAGCACTTTTATGAAAACAGTGCATGTATCTCCCACGTCGCTCAAGGTGCCGACAACAGGAGCTCAGATGACGGAGAGCCCGCCTTCAGATAGCTCTCCATCGAAATTACTTGTTTCCAAGGAGCCTGTCCTAAACACTGCCACTGAGATGGCGTCTTTGTCTAGCACGTCTTTGGGTACTGTCAATGACCATGAAACTACAGCCAAGGCAGAGCAGCTCACGGGGGCCATGGACTCAGGCCGATTGAGAAGCATAATCATGTCTGGCTCTGATGCCAACAGCCAACAGTATGAAACACTTTCGTTTTCAACGGCCAACACTCACGCAAATATTCGCGCGCCTCTCCGTGCAGATGAGCCGTCTTGTAGGGCCGTCTGTATCAATGCTGATCAAGAAGCCAAAGATCTACAAGATTGGCTACTTTTAACGAATTACTATGATCTGCCTCACCGAACCCAGTTTTTGGCTCGGCGCCGAAGGCTGGCCGCTTTAGAAATAGAACGACAGAAACTTTTAGAAGAAGAAAAGGAAGAGGCCAGTTTATCTGTCCTGCGACAGTTTACGCCTGCCAGTCTGAAGGCTATGACTTCTCTTCCTGCATCTGCTGCCTCTCTACTGAGTTACCCGGGAGCTGTCGTCTCTCGTGATTCCCCAGTCTTGTTGTCATCGAGCTTACCAACAATCTCTTCCTCATGCGTTCCGTCTTTACTGCCCACGTCTCCCTCTCCGGCTTATCATGCGGAGATTAGCACTGCACTGGGCGGCGACAAGGCCATTGCAGGCACAGACGCAGTGAATACAAACGGAGCTACCATCATTACACAATATATCAGCTCTGCAAAACGCGGACGCGAAGTGAATTTGGCCGAGGAGAAAAATTCTACCAAGCATCCACGGAGAGCTGCCCGAACGGAGAGCACAAGTGGGAGAGCCGTGGGTGCGGTGATCAATCCCAACAAGCAAAAGAAAGCCAACGGCGCCATCAACGCCGATCGCCAAACGGCGAACAAAAAAGCAGATGCTTCAAACCCCGGTGCTATTCAGGATACTTTTAAGACTCCCCAGCGAAAGAATGTTCCCCTGAAGGGTACTGGCGATGGAGTAGGATCGTCTTCTATGGAACGTGCCAACAACCTTCGCCGGCAAAGCTTTGACCGGCCTGGTTTGGCGGACAACCGCAGAACCAGCACAAGCCTCGAAGAATTTCCTGGGACCGTCCGAACAGCTGACTTCGCACGCTACTCTCCGCCGCCTCGAGATTTGGACAGCCGCGGTAGAAGCCCGCAGCGGTCCAATAATGCCGACAGGTTTGACAGATTCGACAAACGTAACACGATCGACAGGTATACGAGTGAAGAAAACGGTCGTCGCCAGTGGGATGACAACCAGAGACAATATCAACGGCCGAGATTCATCAATAGTGGTCAAAAAGGTGGCAAGTAGACCCGTTTTTGTTCCCACCCCTACTTTTAGAAAACTGTCGCAGAGCCGTTGGGAAAAGAGGGAGTTGGACTAATCATCGTGACCATAATTTCATGTGCTAACACGCGCCACCTCAGACACTCGATTCTTCATGTTGAAATCCTTCAACGAAGGCAATGTTCGCCGGGCAATGGCCGATGGTGTCTGGACTACGCAGCTTAAGAACGAAGAACTTTTGGTAACCGCCTTCAAGAAGTGCCGAAATGTCGTCTTCTTCTTTTCTGTCAATAAGTCACGGGCATTCCAGGGCTATGCGCGCATGGAATCGCTACCGTCTGCCAGTATAGTCAAGCCAAGCTGGATGGACAACATCCACTGGCAGACGACGGAACCATTTCGTATCGCTTGGTACAACACGACCACTACAGACTATCGCCATGTTGCTCATCTTGAAAACGATCTAAACGAGCACCGTTCAGTTATTATCGGCAAGGACGGCCAGGAGATCGACGATGAGTGCGGACGTCGCCTCATGGAGGAATTGGACGTCACGGCAGACGGCGAGGCAGCTGGCAGTGCAGCTGGCCGTGACCGGCCAGATCGCTTTCGGACGAGTCCGAGTCTAGCCAGTCGAGTGACGAGTGGCCGGCCGTAAGCTGGGACGAAAGGCTGATGTTTTGGAGGCTGTGAGACAGCACACAGGAGATATGCACACCAGACGAGTACTGAAAGATCCGATGTTGGTGACCAGATACAACCTGCTTGAGTTAATCAAATACCATATAAATGTACGAGTGGCATGAATGTATAATTTGTCTGAAGCATTGGTCTCTATGGGGGTATAGTATAATGCAGTAAGCACCTTGCATACGCTTTCCATTCTGCCTGGAGACTGCCTGCTGCTTGCTGCCTGCAGACTTGGACAAACAGGGAGCTGGCCAGACCTGTCTGCCCATTTTCCACAATGTCATCTAACAACCCCCCACAAATAAAAGCAAGCAAGCTTTGACTGGACATGGTTGCGGACAGTAGGACCACTCTATGGCGTAGAGGTCGTGTCTCGTGACCAGGAGTCAAGCGGGTATCAAAACATAAGGGACGATTGGTAGGGCCACTGCATCTTCACGACACCTCGTCCAGATGTCGCTGGTTGGCCTGCAGAGCCCAACCACAGCGCACTAGCCAGAATATGACAAACAACGGCGTTGTCAGGAGGGCAAGCACGCCGCCATAAATGAGTTTGAAGATGGGCGGTGCCCAAGATGACGAGTCAAACCACCAGTCGCCGTTGTGGTGATCGCCCACGGCCGTCATGATGCCGATCGCGGGCCCCCACACGAGCAGAAAAGCGAGAACGCCCAGCATTAGCGCGCGGATCAGCTGCGATACCAAGAAGAACATCCAGTGCTTCAGTGAGCCCGGTTCATATGGCTCCACGTGTTTATCGCAGCGGCAGTTGGCGTCGTGCGGTGCTGAAAGGGGTCGGAAGATTTCATCATCACCACCGCTAGCGTTACCGCTTCCGCTACCGCTGGTCTCACCGTTGTTACCACTGCCACTGCTGCCTGTCGCAGGCAGACGATCGAGCAGCAAGAACCAGCGGAGCAGCGCATTGGCCGGCTCGGGGATGAAGCCGATCGGCTGGATGTGGCCGGATCGGATGTCCCGGTTCACGAGAATCAGCTCGATGAACCAGGTGATGACGCACTGGATGAAGACGGTAAGGGCAGCATCGCCGGCTATGGTGTTTGGGAATTGAAAGAGCCGGATGGGGTGCTTGTCCGAGTTGATTGTTTTATACATTGCTATAAGGAGAGATCACCGGTCAGCGATGGCTTGCCAGGGAGCAAGGGGGGCCAGAAGACGACCTACCATAGGCAATGGCAAAGTTGATGGCGCCAGAGAGGATAAAGGCGCCCATTCCATCGATGATGAAGATGTAAAAGAACTGGTACGGCGTCAAGTGGTCACTGGGCTCGAGGATGGTCAGGCGCGGAATGCTGGGTTCATGGTGTCTGCGGGCCAGGAAGCTGAGACGAGGGTGGTGGGTCTGTTCGACAGCAAGCTTGGCAGCCTCGGCGAGGAGGCCCTGGGGAGTGCTATCGACATTGGCAACGGCAGAAGAGGTCGCTTGAGGCCCAGTGGCTGCGATGGCTTCGACGTCATCGGCCAAGACGGCGGCCCTGTTTGCGGCAGCGGCCGCGGCGGTTGCTCCGTCAAGATCAGTGGACTGGCGGGCAGACGGCGCAACGGAGGGTGGAAGCACCGCCGTGTGGAAGAAGGGGTTCCGGTGCCAGCGCATCGTGGCGGATCGGCTTTCTGTTGAAGCGGATGTATCTGGGTTCTGGTGATGCGGCTGTGCTGCCTCGTTGTTGGCAGGAGGTGGTTCCTCTGAGTGTCTGCAGCCACTCAAGCCATTGAGAAGGAAAGAAGAAGAAAAAGGAACGGGAGCAGAGGGTGACGAGTGATGGCTCTGCGGTCTCAGAAGTGAAGGTTTAATAACAAAACCATTGCTACTGCAACGGGCTGAATAAGCACGGATATAATGCTGCCTTGCAGATCGCCCAGCTGCCTAGCCATTGGCTCCGCACCTACCGGATCTAAGAATCCATACCGAACGTCCCGGAAAAAAAAAGTGATCAACACAGGTGGACGATTGATTGGGCGGAAGACACGGCGGAACAGTTGGTCATCTGGAGTACGGAGTATCGCCTCTGCCAATTGAACCGCTCGGGGTCTTTTGCGCAGCGATTTCGGCCAGAATGGCATGGCTGCGAAGGCGAGACACTGCTTGGTGCTCGGGCTCGCAGCATTACGTCGTCCTTCATCGCGATAAAAATTCTGCCTGGATCCCGCTAAGCTCGAAAAAGGACTGAATGTTTTACCGCTCGGTCCATTCCGCCCCTCTGCAACCTGGTAGGTAATAAGAAGATTCGAAGAGGGTTTGGTCCGTTCATTTAGTTACCGTGCCAGTTTGTGTGTGTATGGAGTAGAGTGCCTGTTTTATGTGTCATGCACAACGTGTAGTGTCCTCGTAAGCCGTTTGGGGGGCTTGAGGTGGATCAGATGTGTAGGCAACTACTTGACCACAACCATACGTCGTACATACAACAGGACAAATGAAGATACTGAAAGTAACCGTAGGAAGTCACGGTGAGGTCTGAGAATTACAGGGTTCGTAATATACTTTTTGGACACCGCCAGGCTGCACAAGTTGTCATTGATCGGCAATATCAGGGATGCAAGCTTGCTAGCGTTGTCGGTGGGGTTACGGAGTACTGGCTGCGCTTACGAGGTATGAAGTATCTCAGGCATCAGGGGCATCTGGGCGTGGCGGTGGTGATGCGATCGAGCGAGGGGAGCGAGGGGAGCTGGGTATACCGCCAAAAGAATCGCCAGGACACAAGTCATTGTGACCAATGGAGAAGAGGAAGTCGGATCTATTTATGTTGTGGAAAGCATATCGAAAAAGGGTTACTGTGATTTAGACTGGCGGTAAAGGATACTTTGAAAGTGTTCGTTAGTATGTACAGAGTAACCACATTTCCAACATGCTTACGAAGCACTCCGTACTGTACCCAGTATTCGCATCTTACGGAGACTTTTAAGCAATATCAGCTAGCAGACGAGCCAATTACCTGATCCAGCATACAGTTATGGAGCCGGAAGCAACTTCGCGGTAATCGAACCCGTCAGTATTGGGTATCTGCATGTCGCTTTTGGCGAAGTGCATGCTCTCGTACCGCAAAGACCGATCTACTCCGTACGGAGTATCTTACAACAGCTAAAGATCGACGGCCCGTACGTCGTACTTTCAGCAATAGCCGTCAGTTACCTCACATCTCGTATTCTGGCCAAGCCCTGCATCTTAGACACGCTTCTCGGCAATGAAAATGCCCCTATATCCGCCAACAGCTCGCCTGTCGCTTCTTGAGCCAGGCCAGGCTCCGGCACTTGAAGAGCCCCGCTAACCACATACGCTAAAACTTGGCGTTTTCGTGCAAGGCACACCCGGGTACGAGAACAAACCTGTGTCGCAGCCAATGCTATCTTCTGATTCGCTCCGCCACGGGTCATCCTCTCGTTAGTAGCGTCTAGTCGATAGGGATGATGGTACTTTTTGTCGAGGTTCTCAAGTCGTCATTACCACAAATAGAGTACAACGACAGACGACACTGCGGGCAGCCGATTTGTCCTCTTAACATTATGAGCAATATTATTGATGACAAACTAGTTGTCTTATGTTAACGGAACAGCAGTAGCACGGATGGGTTGAGAAATGGTTTTCAGTTATGTACTTTAGAAAGCCAATACCGGATAGGCTTTAAAAGTATTCGGGCTTAATACAGATCAGCAAAACCTAAAGTGATACTCCGTACACATGTTTAAACGAGACCAGTGCGTCACTTTAACATCCAAGCTATCATTTCCCCACAAGTACGAACAAGAAAGATCTGAAATGTGAAATAGAGCCCTGGCCAAGCTGTAAGCACAAGAGGCACCTTCCTTTCCCATGTCTTCTTCAGCATTTTTTCAGTTTACCACCAATATCTCAGGTTTGAGACCGGTCAAACTGCCTAAGTAAATACCAGCATGTCCAGCTCTCCGACTCAAGAGTACAATACGGATAGCCGAGCCACTCTCGCTTCAACTTATAGAGCCGCAGTTTTGGCCCACATCGTGTGTAGACGCAGGTACTTAGACCCATGGATGTCAGGTTATCCGTACTCCGTACTTTCGGCGGGCTGGACGTTTCACGTGATGGCTTCTGGCAACGACACTTGATTTCCAACCAGCTTAGCCTAAGCTCCACTATTGATATACGGAGTACACCTTAAGCACATCATGCACTTAACACCTCTCTTGTTTTGCTGTTCAATTTGCGCATTTATTTGGCTGTTCGTACATAAGAAACCATGTAGCCGGTGCAATGTTGCATCGCGCCTGCCAGTTTTGTCCCTCGTACTGCGAACCGGCTGCTCCAGGAAACAACGCCAGGGGAAGTAGCGCTTGAAACGTCACGTCACGGGTGCGTCACAGTTGCCGCAGCAGTTGTCAAATTGCTTTTTTTTTTCTCTTGAACTCTTTCCGCTTCGGGATTTCAGACAAAGCCAATTAAATCACGACGCCGACAGCTCAATTCGTCCGGCATTCGCCACTCATTACACATCTCGGCACGGCCACACAGGAGCACCACATAGTAGCACCACACCGTCGCTGGCAGCTAGCTGTCCAGTTTTGGGGCATTGGCGCGTGCCCAAACACGTCTATCTATGCCTATGGACACCTAAAAAGCGTCTACCGATTTCCTCCTCATCCGACGTGCTTTCTACCCTGTCGCCTACCAGCATGGCCGTCGTCTTTTTTCGCCAAGTGCAGACACTCGTTGCCAAGAATCTGCGGGTCGTCCTTATCCGACATCCCTTTGCCACGTTCATTCGCACCCTGCTCATTCCTATCATTTTGTTTGTGTTCTTTTCATACGCCAAGTACATCTTCGTCCCGGCTGCTGTCTACGGTATTGGAACCTCTCGCCCGTTGTTGTCTCTGTCCGATGCCTTGGCTATTGCCGCCTCCACTGGCCGCCACAAGGTCGCCTTTTACAACGGCGGCCTCAGTGGAGGTGCCATCGATGCCGTGATCGATGCTCTTGTGCCTGTAGTCGAGGCCGCTGGCAGCAAGGTAGTGCGGCTGACAGATGACAACCAGCTCGACACAATCTGCCACAGCAGCTTGCGCGGCGTCACATCCTGCTACGGTGCCGTGTTGTTTGCGTCGTCGCCCAGCGAGGGCGATGCTGGCATCTGGAAGTACACAATCCGCCTGGACGGAGCCCTCGGAGCAGGAAAGATCAACATCGACAAGAGCGACAACGATGGCGAAGTGTATGCGCTGCCGCTGCAGCACGCCCTTGACTCGGCCATCGTGGCCCAGCAGAACGGTAACAGCTCTGGGGCTAACGCCATTGCCGATGCTGCCGTCCACGAGTACCCCTTCACCTCGCTGACCTCTGAGCAGCGGCGAGAGGAAATCCGCATCAACTACCAGTCCGCCATCACCCGGTTCCTCGGCGTCGGCTTCATCTCTGGTGTCATCGGCATCTGCTACCACCTGGCTGGCTTCATGGCTACGGAGCGCGAGACCGGCATGTCGACCCTGATCGACGCCATGATGACGACCTCGGCTTCGGGCAGCCGCTGGGGCGAGGCCCAGATCGCCCGCCTGGTCTCTTACCACGTCTCGTTCACCATGCTCTATCTGCCCGGCTGGGTCATTGGTTCTGCCGTAGTCGCCGCCAGCGTCTTTTCCAACACCAGTGCTGCCATCGTCATCCTCTACCACGTGCTCGCCGGCATCGCGCTCGCTTCTATGGCCATGTTTGGGGCGGCTTTCTTCCGTCATTCTCAGCTGAGTGGTGTCAGCGTGACACTCATTTACCTCATTCTCGCCATTGTTTCGCAGACTATCTCCTCTCCGCAAAGCGGCACCGTGATCGTGCTCTGCCTGCTCTTTGCCCCCTGCAACTACGTCTTTTTCATGACCGAAATAGCTCGCTTCGAACGCCACAGGGAAGCTGCCAATCTGCTCCACGTGCCTCCGGGTAGTCCCTGGCAGGTTTCCGGCATCGTGCTGTGGGTCTTCTTGATCATCCAGCTGTTTGGCTATTTTCTTCTTGCCATCTATGTGGATCGCTATCTGCACGGCACGACGACGACCGGTCGTACCATCACGGTCCGCTCGCCCGACAGCGATGTCGATACAGGCAGCACTCCAGCTCTGCGGCTGGAGAGCTTCAGTAAGACATACAGTCCGGGGCCGTTGCGGCGCGCCTTTGGCTGGGCTAAGAAGCTGCCCGAGCCGGTCCACGCCGTGCGCGAGCTGACGCTTTCGGCTGGTCGAGGCCAAATCCTCGTGCTTCTCGGCTCCAACGGAAGCGGAAAAAGCACGACGCTCGACGCGATAGCCGGCACGAGCAAGCTCACCAGCGGCCGCATCAGCATTGACGGTACCGGTGGGCTGGGAATTGCACCGCAGAAGAACGTGATGTGGGACGACCTGACGGTCGAAGAGCACATTCGCGTCTTCAACCGGCTCAAGTCGCCGTTTAGCCTAGCCTCGCGCGAGGAGACCCGCCAGCTGGTGGCTTCTGTCGACCTCGAGATGAAGACCAAGGCGCTCGCCAAGACGCTGTCGGGAGGCCAGCAGCGCAAGCTGCAACTGGGCATGATGCTGACGGGTGGCAGTGCTGTGTGCTGTGTCGACGAGGTGTCGAGTGGCCTGGACCCTCTGAGTCGCCGCAAGATATGGGATATTTTGCTTGCGGAGCGCGGCCGGCGCACGATCATCATGACGACACACTTCCTGGACGAGGCTGATCTTCTCTCCGACCACATCGCCGTGCTCTCCAAGGGCGCTCTCCGTGCTGAAGGCTCTTCTGCTGCCCTCAAGGAGCGACTAGGAGGTGGTTATCGCATCCATGTGCCAAAAACCAGGACCAGCAAGAACACTGTGGTGCCGGTCAACAGCAGCTTCGACCTGCCTGATGTGGACGGAGTGGTCAAGGAGAGCGCATTTGACACTATCTCGTACATTGCACCGTCGTCCAGTCTGGCGGCCCGCGTCATCCGCGTCCTAGAGGCTGCGGGTGTGGCTGACTACCGCTTCTCCGGTCCAACGCTGGAAGACGTGTTTCTGAAGCTGGTCGAAGAGGTGCAGAGCGAAGAGAAGTTGGAGGCAGACGAGCTGGACAGTACGGTGACCGTTTCTGAAAAGCACCTCTCGTCTGACAAGGATGGCGCAGTGACGTCGTCGGAAGTGCTGGTACGCAGTGACGACGGTACGGACGCGAGCAGCAACGAAGGCAGGGGCCTGAAATTGATGTCCGGTCGTCGTATTGGCTACTGGCAGCAGGCGCGGGTCTTGTTCATGAAGCGAGTGACCGTTCTCAAGAGCAGCTGGCTCCCGTCCTTGGCGGCGTTTGCGATTCCGGTCATCGCGGCTGGTCTGGTGATGTTGTTTGTGATGAACCAGGGCCCCATCGGCTGCTCGTCGGCCGACCAGCTGTCCAACGACCAGCCTGAGACCCTTGCAGAAAGTGGTTACAGCGTCGTCCTCGTCGCAGGTCCACGGGCACAGTTTACCGACACGACAGCCCTGCTACAGCTCTTCACGCCCCTGTTCAGCAGTAATAGCAGCAGCAGCAGAAGCAGCAACAGCAGCACTGATACGAGCGTCGTGGCTAGCCTGCTTCGAAACGTGACGCTCGCCGACAACTTTACACACTTCAACCAGCTCATCATGAAAAAGCGCAGATCGATCGGGCCAGCCGGATTGTGGCTAGGCGACGACAGTTCCCCGCCGACGCTCGCGTACCGGGCAAACTCGCAGGACCAGGTCAGCTCTCTCTACGGACAGAACATTCTGGACGCCCTGCTCGCCAACACGTCGATTTCGGTCAGCTACACTAGCTTTGCCATACCGTGGTCTCCCGACACGGGCAAGACGCTGCAGCTGTTGGTGTACGTGTCGCTGGCGTGCGCGGCCTATGTGGGCTTCTTCTCTCTGTATCCGAATCTGGAGCGGCGGCGCAACGTTCGCGGGCTGCAGTACTCGAACGGCGTGAGTGCACTGCCGCTGTGGATGGCGTACGTGAGCTTTGACCTTGGCATCGTGCTGCTGTCGTCGGCGCTGGTGGCGATCCTCTTTGCGGCACTGTCCAGTATCTGGTACCATGTCGGCTACATGTTCATCATATTTACGCTATATGGGTTGGCATCCGCACCACTGGCCTACTTTGTATCGCTCTTCTGCAGCAGCCAGCTGTCGGCATATGCGTTCACGGCGGCCATACAGGCGGTGATCTTCCTGGTGTACATGATTGCGTATCTGTGCACGATTACGTATGCGCCAGTCAACCACATCGACAGCTATCTTCTGGTTGTGCACTTTGTTGTTTCGGCTGTTTCGCCGATCGGGTCGCTTGTGCGGGCGCTCTTTGTCAGTCTGAACCTGTTCTCGGTGTCATGCTCAGGCAAGGAGCTCAGCCAGCACCCCGGCAGCATAACGCTCTACGGCGGACCGATCCTGTACCTATTCGTGCAAGCATTTGTGTACTTTGGACTCGTGCTCTGGTTCGACAGTGGCGATGTGGGAGCGACGCTGCATCAGATGGCGATACGAGTGAAGAGACACAAGGCGCGGCGGCGAGAGGCAGCAGACGTCGAAGAGGAAGAAGGCCAGGAAGAAGAGGCCAGCAAAAAAGAGGGCCTGCAGGTGACGCACGTGACCAAGACGTTCAAGAACAACACGGCAGTAGACAACGTGAGCTTCAGTGTGGGACACGGCGAGGTGTTTGCGTTGCTGGGGCCGAACGGAGCAGGCAAGTCGACGACGATTTCGATGATCCGCGGCGATATCAAGCCGGACGACGGCGACGTGTTTGTGGAGGGAGCATCTGTGCAGAGGCAGCTGGGAGCAGCACGCGGCGGACTGGGAGTGTGTCCGCAGTTTGATGCGGTGGACCAGATGACGGTGCGGGAACACCTGCGATTCTACGCGCAGGTGCGCGGGATCACAGACGTGGCACACAACGTGCAGGCGGTGATGCAGGCTGTGGGCCTGGCAGCGCTTGGTGATCGGCAAGCGCAGGCACTGTCGGGGGGCAACAAGCGGAAGCTGAGTCTGGGGATCGCGCTGATGGGCAACCCGGCGGTGGTGCTGCTGGACGAGCCATCATCAGGACTGGACGCGGCAGCAAAACGGATTATGTGGCGGACGCTGGCGGCAACATCACCAGGACGGTCGATTCTGTTGACGACACACTCGATGGAGGAGGCGGACGCGCTGGCAGGACGGGCAGGCATCCTGGCACGGCGCATGTTGGCGGCAGGCGTTACAGAGGAGCTGCGGTCACGATTTGGCAGCCGGCTGTACGTGCACGTTGTCTGTCGGGGGGCACCACACACGCCAGAGGCCGAGACAGAGCGGCTGCGAAGGTGGGCAGCGGCCGTCTTTCCGGGCGCCGAGGTCGAAGAGCAGACGTATCACGGTCAGATGCGGTTTGCCATCCCGGTGGTCAACGGGCAATTGGTGGAAGACGACACGGCCACGGAGAAGCCAGTGAGAGCAACCAGTGCTGTCGGGCGTCTGGTGGTGCTTCTGGATGAGCAGCGTGAGGCTCTGGGGATCGATCACTTTAGCGTCAGTCCGACTACGCTCGACCAGGTCTTCCTGACAATTGTCGGACGCCACAACGTGCAGGAGGAGGGCTATCGCCAGGAAGAGCTGGCGGCGGTGAAGAGAAAGTGGTGGAAGTTGGGGTTGCGCGATTAGAATCTGTCTGGTTCTGTTTATACCATGTCGCATATACACACATATACATTGGATATTGGAAGCACGGCTGAGCCCCTGTCTCAGCAGGACCACAGTTGGGTGTAGGAGGGCGAGCAAACGAAATGATAGGTGACAGATTGAAATGACGGTTTTGAATAGAAAGGGAAATATTTTGGACATTACTTGGACATTACTTGGACACTGATTACTTGCCGATTTCAACCACGGGGTCTCCTCAACAGCAGCACCACCATGAACAGCACAGCAAGTGGCACGGCCGGCACGATAGCCAGCACCGACGCCACCAGCCCGGACAGCCTCTCTGCCAGCAGCCAAGTCGGCCTCGCCCTGGGCGTGATGTTTCTCGCTCTGATTCTCGGCAGCGTGGGCCTCTGGGCCACAACTCGGGTCCGGGCCACACATCGATTGGGATGGAGGTAGGGTGGAGTGGAAGGAGGCTTGGAAGAGGTGCGGTGTTGATGTATCGTGTTCGTGTAGCGGCAGTTGCAGACAACCAAACAAGACATATGTTCCGTCATCGAGCTGTCGTCTTTGCTGCTGCACGGGCGTATGTGATGGATTTGACAGTGGTTGGCCTGTAGTCTGTCGTGAGGTCGATGTCAGGTGATTGTTGTGTTGGTTGTACTTGCTGTACTTTCAGAGCATCCTGCATTTCCATTTCCCCCTTCTCCTCTCCCTTCCCCTCCTCCTCCTTCTGCCGCATTTCCCAAAATCCCTTGCCATAGCTGACGAGGATCTCGTCGCCCTTGGCGATGCCACCAGTACCTGCTGCCGCCCGCTTTCCTGCCGGCAGCACAAACACAGCCATGCCGCGCTCGCCACGCCGCGGGTCCCAGACCTCGCGAAACTCAGCATTGGGCCGCGGCTTTCCAGTGCCGCGATAGTCATTGACGAAGCGCGCCTCATTTCCAGCCTCGGCCGCATCTACAGCCACGTCGGCCGCCCGGTCAAGCCAGAGATCGTAGTCAGACTCCTTGCGGCCACGACTGCCACCGCCGCTGACCGAAACGTGTCCCCGGTGATACACTCCGAAATACGGCACCAGAAACGAGCCTGCTCGAAGCTGCTGTGCCGCAAAAAGTCCGCGCTGGCCGCAGGCCGGATGGCCGGCGTCGTCGATCGTCCGAATCTCCACCAGGCTGCTGGGACCGAAACGCTGAATCGACGGGATCTCAGACAGCGGCGCCACCACTCGACCCTGACCTCGACCTCCTCCCTCTTCGCCCGGCTGCGTCTGAAGCATCGTGCGCTGCCACGGCGCGATGCCCGCATACACGGGCGTCGTCAGATACGCCACATCGGACGGCCAATTGGTTGGCACCGCCTTGCTGGTGCCGGTGCTGGTACTGGGACCTCCGTTGTCGCGACCACCACCTCGACCACCATTTCTCCCTCGTTCGCTGCCTTGCTTCTTTGCCATGGTCGGATAACAGGTCTTGCTTCTCGCTCCTGCCGTCTGCAATTGGAAGCCCGAATTTCACCATTGCGTGGTGGTCACGTGCTTTCGTGGCAAAATCGCTTCTGGCAGTCGCGGGGGACGTAATGGCTGACTGAGAGTCGTTTCTCGTTTTCCCCCTCTCCTGTCATCCAACGACGGCAAACATAGATCAGCATGGTGACGACACGACGGTCTGCTGCGGAAAAGAGTGGTGTCGCGCTTCGTGCTGCGGCAGCACAGCGACAACGCTCGACGACAGGCGGCCGCTCGCGGTCGAGACCAGCCAGCAGCCAGGACGCAGGTCTGCCAGCAGTCTATGGAGAGATGCTGGCTGAAGCTGGTGTTGTGCCGACGCATTCGACGATTGAACCGCCACGGAAGAGGCTGAAGCGACCGGGCGAGAGGGCCGGTAGTAAAGAGGACGACGACGACAACGACAACCAAAACGATGACGAAGACGAAGATGTGGAATTTGAAGACATTGCCATTCCTTTGCCGGTGATCCAGACGGCTGAAATGGATTCGGATGACTCAGACGACTCAGACGACTTGGAAAGGGACGAGGCGGATGTCGAGGCTGCCGTCACAAGAACGGCAACCACAACAACTGGTTCCCCGGAAGCACCGCAATCGCTGGAACTGAACCTGACAGCGCACGAGAGCGCACTGGCGCAGCTGCTGCCACGACGCTCAAAGACGGCGGCCGGACGACGGAAGCCGCTGAGCCGGGCTGAGCGCATCGGCCGTCTAGACGTGCACAAGATGCACGTCATGTGTCTGCTAGCCCACGCGTCCCGCCGGAACCGGTGGTGCAACCGGGCAGCCGTGCAGGCGGCACTTCGGCCGTTACTCTCGGCCAAGACGGTCACATATCTCAACCCGGGTGGCCACCTGTCGCAGTTTGGTCGCACCGAGTCGCTCAAGAACGGGCTGCAGCAGGCCGCCGCCGTCTTCCGTGCCCGCTTTGTCGTGACCGAGCGCGGGATGCGACGGGCTCTCTGGGCCGAAGACGCCTCCCAGCTGCGCGATATTCAGCCGCCGGCCGACGGCGAAACTGTGCTCGATGAGGACGACTTTGTCCAGGCAGCCCGCTCACTGCGTGGCTCCCGCGACGTCGGCGCCCAGCTGTTTTGCGCCCTGTTGCGGGCTGTCGGCGTCGAGACCCGCCTTGTCTGCTCGCTCCAGCCACTCTCCTTCGTCGCCGGCGCTCCGACGATGCCGCGCCAGCAGAAGACACCAAAACGACCGACAAGGCCCCCCATCCCCGAGATCTACCAGTCGCCACCATCGCCCCAGCAGCAGCAGCAGCAGGACCCTTTTGTCTCGCCCCTCCGACGTCTCGGCCACCCCCAGGCTGCCGCTTACAACATCCCGTTCATGCCGCCGCCTCGCACGCCTCCACGGACGACGACGACGACGACGACACCAACTGCCGTCGTGCTCGGCGAGTCGGCCTTCCCGGTCTACTGGGTCGAGGTGCTGGACGTGGCCCACCAGAAGTGGCAGCCCGTCGACCCGCTCGTCACTGGCACCCAGTGGAAGCCAGCCCGGCTGGAGCCGCCTGCATCCGACCGCAGCAACCAGCTGACGTACGTGATCGGCTTTGCCGTCGACCGCAGCGCCAAGGACGTCACCCGCCGCTATGCCAAGGCCTACAATGCCAAGACGCGGCGAGCGCGCGTAGACGGACCGGCAGCGAGCACTCTGCCTCTGTCGGCATCGTCATCGCCTGCACTCACTGGCCCTCGGTGGCTCCGGCGCGTGCTGCGTCACTACCGGCGGCCCTACGAGACGGACGTGGACACGATCGAAGACACGGAGCTGTCGGCCATGGAGGCGCGTGAGCCAATGCCACGCAACGTCGCCGACTTCCAGAACCACCCGGTCTACGCGCTGGCCCGCCACCTGCACCGCCACCAAGTCCTGCTGCCCGGTGCCACGGCCGTCGGCACCGTCTCGGCCGGCAGCAAGGCGCCTAGTGAGCGCATCTACCGCCGCCGTGACGTCCGTCCGGTCTACACGGCCGATCGCTGGTACCGCCAGGGCCGCATCGTGCTGCCCAACGAAATCCCGGCAAAGTGGCTGCCGAAACGGGCGAGGAAGCGAGGCGATGACGACGACGACGATGACGACGATAGCAGAAACGACAAGTTACACCCAATACCTGCTGGCGTGCCCGCATTCACGCCCGAGCAGACGGAGCTGTACCGAGCGCCAGCCGTCGTCGACGGCCGCGTGCCCAAGAACAAGTTTGGCAACGTGGAGCTGTACGTGCCCAGCATGGTGCCGCCCGGGGGTGAGCATGTGGCCGACGAGGCCGCTGCCCGTGCCGCCTTTCTGCTGGGCGTTGACTATGCCCCGGCTCTGACCGGCTTCCGCTTCGACGGCGGCCACCACGGCACGGCTGTCCTGCGCGGTGTCGTCGTGGCTGCCGAACACGCCCACGCCGTCCGTGCCGTCCTGGCCGGACTCACCGACCAGGCAGAACTGGCCGAGGCCGAGAGGCGCTCGCGGCAGGCCCTGCGCATCTGGGCTGCGCTGTTGCGCGGGCTGCGCATCCGCGAGCGGATCCGAGCTGCAGCACAAGACCGAGGCAAAGATGTGGATGAGGACGAGGATGAGGACGGAGAGGTGGACCAAGAGCCAGACTTGGACGCCAGCGACGTGACGGACGAATACGACATGGTCATGGATGACGATCAGGGTGGCGGCGGCGGCTTCCTCCTCGACTGACGTTCTTCGTCATTGTGTCAATCAGTGTCAAATCTTGGGTATCTCGTATTTAACACTAAGGCAAAAAGGCAATAGCAATGGATATCATCGAGAAAGGTATTAAAACAACAGTTGGCGTCCTCCTCTTCGAATCGAGATATGCAGAAGCAAAAAGCACAAAGGAAACAAGACGAAAAAGGAAACAAAACCAGATAGGAAAGCAGAAAATCAAGCAAACAAGCACGCTGTCCAGATACCTGCTATCTGGACCAGGCGAACGACATTGCTGCAAGAAACCAGAGAGTGGGTTTCTTCGTCACGTGTAGGCATCCTTCCTCCCCCGACCGCTAATACGGTCAGGCCATCACTTGGGGTATAATTTAAGAGGCTGGGGTTCCACTGTATTAGTCATCGCTACATTTTGCAATCTCAGGCAGGCAGGCTTACCGGGAGCAGCAGCAGGCGTCTCTGCTGGCTTGGCCTCGTCGGCGGGCTCTGCAGCCTCGGCCGTCTCTGCCGGTGCAGCCTCGGCGGCAGCCTCGGTGGCCGGCGTCTCCTCGGCAGGCTTCGCCTCCTTCTTCTTGAAGATGGCCTTGAACTTGGTCTTCAAGTTCTTGAGAGCGTCGACTGCAAGGTGGGGCAAGCGATTCATCGTTAGCTCCTGTCACATCTCGGCGGGGCGCTCCTTCCCCGTGCACGTCTGTATCACGGGCCCCCATCTCCTTTTAGGGGTAGGATGATAGGGAAGGTCGACGTACCAAAGCCGGCCATTATTGCGGTTGTAGATCTGGCTTGATGAACAAGGAGAAGAATAGAAGGCTAGGTGCGACCTGCGAGCGGAATCGGGTAAGCAAAAGGTGTCGGGAGGCGAACGAGGCCAACAAGGCTGCCCGGGACTACTCACGAGAACGCAAGTGGCGGGATGCGTGTGCAACAGAAACTTGTTTGCCGGTGAAGGAAAGTAGAGAAGGATGGGAAGAAGGAAGAAAGGAGGAGACAGAAGACGGAGGGGGAGACTGAAAGAAATAGAGAGGCAGCCCGGAATAACGATAAAGCTGGGACCATGCCAGGCCTGTCCCTTTCTTTTCCCTTTTTTCCTCTTTTCCTATTTTAATCTGATTTATATTACCACGGCTATTTCTGGTTGGTCCGTCGCCCAGAGACGGCTTCCCCTTGATTGCATGGAAATTGCAACCAAAACAAGGGCGTCACACGTCGCCCAGAGACACTGCTTTATGCTGGTACGGGGGGTGCTACTCTGTTCACGGACGAGACGCTGCACGCTCACGGACTGCTCTGTACTCGTACATACATACTAGTAGTACGTCGTACGGCGTGCGCTGAGAGCCTGTAAAGTCTATTTGCCAGAGCGACATCGTGCCTTTGCGGTACGTCGCATCCACACGCTTCACAGCCTGTATAAAAACGGCGCCCCACTTGGATATTCACATAGCCGGTATTCGAGCTGGTCACTGCTCCGTACCCCTTCTTCCGGGCCCTCTCTTCGTTTACGAGTGCATCCGCTTTGTCGCCTGTCGTCCGCCCATCCTCTCGTCTCGTCGCCCTGCCTCTGAGCACGCCTCGTGTCCGGATGCCTCCCTTTTCCTCACCGCGCCTCTTCGCACAAACCCCCGTTAGCACACACCTGTCAAATGCACTCTAGACCCCTAAATCAAACACGTCGTAGTGGCAGGTCATGGTGCAGACCAATGCCGACTAGCGTCTCCCTAGCAGGAGCTAAGCCCATCATGTGGCCAGTGCACGATGTACCAGTGGGGTCTCTGGCCGCTGCTAATCTCCCACTTGCCTCGTTTTGCTCTCCATCAGGATATTGAATCGACGATGCTGGAATATCGGCCGAATAGGGGTGTTCCATCAGCAATTACGCTGAAATTGTGCTGGCGCTGAACATTCGCTCCCTGGAAATAACAGGACTGCACCGTCGTACGGCCGCTCTCCTATCCCCAGACTGGGTACAAAAGGCAAGCGAGGCCACTTTCGAAACCAGAGTCGCGACAAGCGATCTGACGATAGTAAAGGGAAAAGAAAATAAATACGGGCGCTCCCTCCCAGCTTTTGCTAGCGGCAAACATCGGTTTGCACTAGTTTGTATCGCAGACCACTACTGGTCGATGTGTCGCCTTTTCGGCCCAGATTCCAGTCACATGTGCTGTTCCTCAGCCACAAGATCTTCTGTGCTCGTATTTCGAAATGCAAGTGCACATGGTCAAAAGCATTCGCACTACGCCGAGTTTGGCCGATAAGCAGCCCGAGCTCGCAGGCTGTTGCCTTTTTGCCGTATCTGAACCCAACTTGTGCCGCTGACATGGCTCTGGTGGATTATCCCGCCAACCCCACAAGACCTTAGCCAAGTAGCCTAATGGTCGTCGTGTGTCCTTCCATGATTGCTTCTTTATGCCGCGATTACCACGATGCGAGAATCAAGATCTGGATGGAACATGGAAGACACTATCTATCCTGCTTAGTAATCGAATCTTCAAGGAAACCAACAGGCCAGGCTATCCGCGGAAGCCACCGTTTCGGACGCAGCCGCTTCTCCGCACGGCTTTTACCAGCTGTATACTGCCGAGTCTACCTGCCCAAGGCTCTGGCTTGTATCGTGCGTCGTAATGGGCAGGAGATTTTTTGTCCACGGAAGCTTGGGTCCGAAAGGGAAAATCTGCTGATGGTCAATTTCCGTTTGTATGGAGTATGAGCTTGATATACGATTGCAAGGTGCTATTGGACAATAGCCTCACTGGTCAAACATGGCATGTGTTCTCACAGGGTACATGAAAGCATAAGCTCTTTTTTGGCCCTTGGCCATCATATGATGTCTAGTTATTAAGTTTCGGCTCGACAAACAGTAACACCGGCAACTTATAGGGTAGATGCTCGTTGCCGAGACCTAAAAGACGTTGAGCTTACCACGAACCTCTTACATAAAAACATTAGTAATCCTTTGCTATGCTATTGTTTAGATTGGTCGAGTATACTGCAACTCACATGTTTCTCTCCTTACATTTGTGGAAATCGGGGTATCAATTCTTTGCTCGAAAAACTTACAAGCTATATGATATTTCTTGAAAAGTAAGAAAATCTTTCAATTCTTCGCACGGGCGGCTGCCGTCACCACCACCAGAAAGATGTCAGCTAGACCATATGACCAAGTAGGTGTATTAGACCCTAGAGCCCAAGTATAAAACGTGTTGCTCGGAATGTTTGTTTGCGGTTTGTGCTCACATCCACATCATACTATGTTGCGAGCACACGTCTTGACAGAGAGAGACTGAGTTGTCCGAAGTCTGTGAGCCTGTAATCCGTCTGTATCTTTGGTATACTAGGGGTAAACTCCAAAAGAGCATCCGCCACTGTGAAGGTTTCTGTGGCCACTCCTCAGAGACCAGACAAACTATCAGCAAAAAAAAAGCGAACTAATAAATGCCTCTTATTGACAAGCTAACCTTGGATTGACATTGCATATCCTGATGATGGCATGATGTGACACCTACGGACGTTTTGGTCCATAACAAAGTATTTATGGCAACCGATCAACAGCAACTTACGTGAAATATGAGCTCCGAAATTATGAGTCTGAGATCTCTTGTCTGTATCAGATGATAGATTATCCTTCTGCACGGAGGGCTCCATACACGAGTCCGGTTTGCAGCCTGTTGGATGGTACCAACCCCTAGTTCTGCAAGTCCTGACAGCACCTATTTGGGTCGGTCTAGACTGTCGACTACAACTGCATATTTCGTGCCTACTGGAGTGGATGTATCAATCCTTTTTTTTACAATTATATTCCTGTGTTTTCTTTTCCTGTGAATTAAGCATTTTCCTGAGTTTCAGTGGGCCCTGCATGAACGGAGAGTCCCGCGTTTGCCTTGTTTGGTTCGTATAAGCGGTGGTGGAGCTTCGCTACATAGTATATACTGCCATGCTGGCAGCGCCGGAAGCCATTGGCTGACCGAGGACGGTTGCTGGAGATGTCGCCTGACATACTTGCTCATTTCAATGCTTTTCTCACATATCATGATTAGGATAGCTGGAGGTTGTTGCTGACGAGAAAGCCCCCACATTCATGTCGGATATATCTGATGAGGCGCGGCCTCAGATAAAAGGGAAAAAAGACGCAACAAGAAGAGCGGTGGGAAGGGGACGGCCACGTCTCTGAGCTCTCCCCGCGTTCTCGATCCTTTGTGCACAGCAGAGAGACGGTGAGGGCAGTGGCATGCTCCAGGGAGGGAAGCAGCGCGGTAAGGGTGTGAATCTAAGGACAGCTAGACGGCCGGACGGGGAGTACGTGGCACAGAGAGACGCAAACGTACGAACAGGGCAACCGACATCATCACTTTGCATCATGCTCCCGCGGGGGAAGAACAAGGGGGGATGAGGAGGGGGGAAAGGGGGGGGGAGTGCACAGGAAGATAGCCGAGCTTTTTCCTGCTCTGTTTCTTTCAGCCTTACGTTGTTTCAGGCCGTCGGCCCAATATCGGAGGTCAGCCTGGGCAGGCCCGCCAGCGAATATCGAGACAAGGCTCAGAGGCGGGAGTCCACGAAGGCACCGGCGAACTCCGGCCAACTGAACTGCACAATTACACCGTATCTCTGACTTTGTTTGGCAGCGAGCCTGCAAGCCTGGCCTGATCGACAGCCCGCCCGGCTGCTAAGAGCGGCATTGCCAGTGGGGATCGCCCTCGATGCAACGATATCGGGGAGGGGGTGGACTGCAGGTGTAGGAGGTCATCTGTTGCAAATTTTTCTTCAACGTCTCGCCATTACTCCGTACACTAAGAGCGACAAGACGAGTGGGGGTCCACTGAGACGGGGCACCAGAACGGCGTTCACCCCCCAACTCGGGAAACAATAGGCGGTCCAGCCCCTGGAACAGCACACCAGCCGCTGCGACAGCACCGCTTTCCGGGTCTGCCGAATCGCCTCCGTAACCGCAGCTGCTAAGGCACCGCCCACGCCGTCGAATTATTACATCATCGCAAGCGTGCGGCCCTGCATATTTTACCATTTATCGAATTTTCAGCATGCCTTTTATTATTATCGATAGTCGCAGCTCCCTCCCTGCATGTGCATTAGGCAGGTCTTCGAGTAGAGTAAGCGCCATTCGGCCTGCTTACGGCCCGCATATGTAGTAGCTGAATTTGATATTTCAGAATAGCGAATGCCTTTTCTCAAAATAGTGTATGCCAAAATGCTATACATCACCACCGTATATTCTCCGTCACCGTCTAAACACGTCCCCGGGACGTGATCCCAATGCCCTCGTTCTCAAGCATGCCTGTCTTGCTTGGATCCCGTTCCTCTTGCAAACCAAAACCACAAAGCACAGTAGTTGTCGTGAATACGTAGCCGCCAGAAATGAACGCGTCAAGAAAATAGAGCACCGTAGCAAGTATATATATAAGAGCACGGAAATGAGCACCAGGGGCCAATAAGGAGGGCACCTCGGGACAACCAAAGACACCAAAACGCCCCCAAAACACACAAAGAAAGCATGTGTGGTGATATAAACAATCAATTCCTGCCGCCGGTTCAATGGGAAACGACACAACCGAAAACAACCAAAAACAAGGTAGATCCCAAAGAAATACCAGTCCTCCGAATGCCCTCCTTTTTATGATCCTGGATTCTCTTGAATTCAGTGTACTTTTTGTGTCTGGTTTTCAACTCCGGCTGTCGTGTCGTTATTCATCATGGATGTACCAAAAATCCTCGAAGACATGGAATAAGTAGAAATGAAATAGAAAGAAGAAAAAATAAAATAAAAAACGGGTCTGCAAGTTGAACGACACCACTCCAACTTGATTCGTAAATCCATTCGCGCCTAGACAGAAAGCCTCTCTGCAAGCAAAATCCCACCAGCCCGCTGTAAATGAACTAGGAAATGGTGAACAGAACGTCCACCTGTACACTTTACCGACGTTGTCTATTTCGACCCCCAGAAGGAGATCACGTCGGACTCTGGCGATTCGGTCATGGATGTGAGGCCCTGGTAATCCGGCATCCAGATAGCAGCATCGTCGTCTTCGAGAGTGGCACCATGCGCCATCGCACCGACGGCTGCTAAGGCCGCAGCATCGTCGGTGGTGGCGGCTGAGGGCGTGGGGAGGAACTTGTTGCCAGCCTTGTTTAGGCGCATATCGCTAAAGTCGTGGCGTATATTTACTGAAGACGCCAGGTGGTAGCTGCTGTTGGCGCGGGAAAAGGCAACGCTACTGCTTGCGGCATCCGTGGCCCCATCGTAGTCGTAGTCGTAGTCGTCCACGCCGGGCACCATCAAGTCCTCAGCTTCGGACACTTCTCCCGACGTGGCCGTGGTCATGGTGGGTGCCTGCTCGGATCCGTTGTACTCGTATCCAAATGTGCTCCCAAACCCAAATGGGCCGGTGTTGCCGAACTTGCCGGATTCATTTCCAGCATTGCCGCCGCTAATGCCGTTGGCACTGTTGGCGCCGAAAAACTGGTTCCAGTCGACTGCTGGCGCCTTGAGGCCAGCACTGAAGAGAGGCTGATCCGGGCTGTCGAAGGCGTTGTAGTTATAAGATATGTAGTCGACAGCGCCCATGTTGAGAGGGGGTAGTTGGCTGTTGTCGTTCAGCTGGTGCGGCTGCGGGTAGCTGCTATCGAGGTGCAGGGGCGAAGTAGTCTCCGACCGCGATAGCCGCTGCTCTTGATGTTCTGTCGCGTGAAAGGACAGCGGAACACTGGTTGCCGTAGTCGAAGCAGGCGTGGTCATGGAGAGGAAGCCCCCGCCATCGTCGGCTCCGCTGTCAGACTCGCCGAGTCCGCTGCTGTGATCGTCCTCCTCCGCTTCATCCTCGTTGTTAGCGGACTTTGAGGCCGCCATCAAGTTCGAAAGCACGCCAGTGCTACGCACCGAGTTGATTCGGCTGCTGGGATACGGGCTCGTCTTTTGGCTCTTTGCATGTTTGTGAGAGACTGGTTTGTGGCGGCCGTGTTCGTCAAAAGTGAGCGTACCCTCGGAGCGAGTGGTGTTGGCGCGGCGGCGGCGAATGGGGCTCTTGGGCGAGCTGAGGCCTGATGTTCCCAGGCTGGAAGCGGTGGTCGACATGGTGGCAGCCGAAGCTGTCTTGGCTGCTGCTGAGCCCTTTTCCGTCATGTCGGATGAGCTGGAGTCAGGATCCTTCTTGAAGGAGCAGCTGCACCGACCGCCGTGGTTGCAGCAGCAGCTCTCTGTAGGTTGGCGTTTAGCATCTTATAGCTACAGCATCATCCAGAGAGGTCGGTCGAGGACCGCTCTTACCTCGGTGACCGTCTATGGCGCCCAAATGAACGCATTTGGTTGTTTTCTCGCCGCAGTCGCACTTGACGTGGGCCGAGCGGTTCTTTCGCTGCGAGCGGCAGTGCTGGCACTGGGTGACCGGTCGACCTTTCTTGTTGATATGTTGTAATGGGCGCTCTGGAGGACAGTTAGCAAGACGTGCGCGAGAGTCGGGTATAAGAGGAATTGCACCCACCATAATGCTGGCAATTGCTGACTCGGTGTCCTCGTACACAGGCGTCGCAAGCCCATTTCTCGCCGTTGATGAGCATCTCTAATTGGTGAGAGAGGTCGGGAGGTGGATGGTGTAAGTTGTGTGGGGAATGCGGTCGAAAAGCCAGAAAGTGGCCCGGGACAGAGAGATCTGGGAAGGAAAGAGGGGAAGCAAGAGCAAGATCTAGAAAATATGTATATAAAAAAGAAAAAGGAAGGCAGGATCCGAAATTGACAAGGCGCTGGATAAAACGGAAACACGCTAAGGAGCGAGTCTCGGAGGCGCCCCTGTGGCTTTGAAGCAAAGAGCTGCAGGAGCTGACGGAAGGTGCGATGGACAGGCGGATAATTGCAACAGCAAGACTGAGTATTATAGACCAGAAGACAAAGGTCGAAGGACGAAGAGAAGCGAGCAGCAATCAATGGGATGCGCCTGGCAGAAGATGAGCAGGCTGGACGATTTCGGAGAGGTGTCCTGGTCGAGACGACGATGGTACTGTGTATGACCAGGGCCGGAGGCAGCGGAATGCGGGTGGAGGACTTGCGGCAGGTGGCGCTCGCACTGTTTTATAGAAGGGTACGACGGACACCGAAAAGGGCCGAGCAAGTACGGAGGGCGATTTTGGTGCAGGCTGGAGTCGACGGACCTGGACGGACGTCGGATCTGTGTTGCGCAGCTGGGAGCTGAGAACGTAGAGCGGGGTGTAGTGCGTTTGGGTGCGGATAGGTGCGTATAAGTGGTGGGTGGAAAGCGACAAGCGGTAGTACAGACGTGAGGCACAAAGAGCTGTCAGTTCCAAGCTTCCTGGAGACTGGATATGAAGAAGATCTGGTGTAGAGCCGAGGGAAGCTAGGAACCGGCGGTCGATGGACGGGGAAGGGGCAACATGGGCTCTTTTTATTCTTTTCCTGTTGCTTCGATGGAGTATGGAGTGAATGAGACGAGAAAGGGAAGCGCGGGTGGTCGAGCAAGACGGGGGGGGGTGGAGGAAGGAACATCGGCTTTGCGGCCGTTATACATAGAAGACAGTGGCACGAGAGTGAGAGGAGCCGTATCTCTGTACATCTCCTGCTACTAGTCAGGTAGGGGTATCTTTACGAGTATGCAGAAGGCAGAAGGCGGAAAGGCGGGCCAGGGTGGGTGTCCTTCTGTGTCTGGAGAAGAAGGAAAAGCAACAGCAAATAATAAAATAATGGAGTGTCCGACACACATCTGTGGGCCAGTGCAGGTCCCAGAAATGGACGGGAGATTTGGGGGTGGGAGGTACCTACGCATGGCGCGGGTTAAGTGCTGTTAGAGGAAAAAGACAGACGGAGAGGAGGGGGGGGGGGTGGGTAAGGTGGTGAGGGGGGTGTAGAAGGAACGTGATTGATTGCCCATCCATCTTCTTTCCTGCAAAAGCAAAACCTGCCTGTCAGGTCCAAACGAAGCTAACGCCGTCCTCGTTAGCATGCCTAGGGCCAAAAAAATCTTCCCCCCTCCTTCGTCCCCTTCACCCCTCCAGCTTCGTCTAGCGCCCCAAGGACAGCCCATACATGGTAGTCGGTGCTACAGAACACAGAAAGGACGTTGACCGCGACAGAGAAAAGGCAGCCGCCAGGGAGGAGGAAGGAGCAAGGGAAGAATGGGGCAATGGAGCAATGGCAAAACGTGCGAGAGTCGGCAGTTACGGAAGACACCAATACGCCAATACGCTAATACGGAGCTTCGCATCGCAGCTTCCAACCGCAAAACGTCTCACAACGCTGCGGCTGCTGACTGGTCGACAGTCGGGACGCCGCGGTGGCCGTTATTTCTTTCGTGCTATTATTCTGTCCGATTGTCACGAATCTGGCTATGGATCTTGCTATTCCCAGTTCGCCTCTGTAAACTGCTGTTGGCCGGTGCTTATTAGGCCCGATGTCTAGGACAAGCCTAAAAGTCCGAGAGGCCCAGACAGGCTTTGCCAATCGCCTCTCGTATGGGAAAGACAGACGCTGGGATTCGCAGCGGGTGTGGGACAACAGCTCAGCTGTCAGGCAGCCTGCTTTCCGCGCCCAGTGCTGGGCTGCTGCTCTGTGAACCCCCATGACACCCCCTTTGGGTTACTTTTTTTTTTTTTTTTGGGGGGGGGGGTGGGGCAAATCACCATTGCAGCACCTTCAGCAAGCCCATCCCGCTCTCGCCGAACAAGCATAAGTCATTCAGAGCACAGACAGATATCCCTTCGTTGGGAATGCACAAGTAAAAAAAACTCTGTCTGCTCTGGCGCTGTCGGTGTGGCCTATCAAGGGCAAAAAAAAAAAAAAAAAAAAAAAAAAAAGGAAAAAGGGAAAAAGGAAAAAAAAGTAACAGGAAAAGCAACAGATGGATTGTATCCCCCCCAGAAATATCCCGTGTCACGTCCAAGGCTGGCAGATAGTCCGATCGGCCATGGATTGCAGGCTATGGTTTCTTGCCCACTCCGACAGAGAGATCCCTGAGCATGAGAAGGCGATTATTTCTCCGGGCGCCACTTGTCTGATTGGGCTTATTTGATGAAATGTGGTAACGGAACGGCTGGGCAAGCCAGTTTCGCTACTGTTCGTATGTATCGATTTAGCAATAAGCTACCCCCCAAAGAGGAATGCCCCTAACGAGATAGGAAAGCTTTACGAGCAGTACTCGTACCCCGTATGTAATAATGGAGAGACGGAAGGCCAACGGAACCTGATCTTGAGAGGCGCGAAGCCACATCACTGTTGCATTTGGCTGCTGGGGGACTTTGCCCACCTCTGCCGCTGGACCTCTTCCCCCTGTCGTCCTCCGTTTCGTTTCTGTCGCTAGCTCACCCATCGGCGATGTGTTCCTCGACGGCGCGCGCGCTAAGACGAAGTTTGAACCGTCGGCTGTGGCTAATTACGACGTAAGCCTGCCGGTTTTGTACCATAGTAGCCGATCGAGTGGACTTGCACGAAACCGTTTCTACCCTGGTTGGCTGGCTGGCCGTCCTGCCGCGCCCGCCTGTCACCAATAGCGGAGGCATGGCTGGTTGACTGGGGAAGCAGACCGCGAGCAGCCCTTCCCTCTCGGCAATGAGGAGGACAACGAGACGGGCTGGCGAACTGTCCGTTCAGGGGACAGGGAACGGTCCAGTGGCCTGTCTAGGTTTCCACGACCGCCACACAACCCACACGGGCACGATACGGCGTACTCGTACGGAGTACATAGCCCTGTTCGAGTAAGATAGGATAGTACGAGCTGCTCTGGCCTGAGAGACTGCCCAGAGGACGTCAGACAGTGGGGACATGACATACGGCACGACTTGTTTTAGATTGTGGTGGGACCAATGAGCCACGACACCTTTTTTCCGCTCTTTTCCCATGTAAGATACTATGAGATATTCCTTCCAGGGCCTGTACTATGTAGACAAAAAAAAAGATATCTTACCTTGCAAGACGGAGCGCTGCCCGGGCGCGATACTTTAATGAGGGCACGAGTACTTTAATGAGGGGGGCGAAGGAAGAGGCCGAGAATGTCCTGCCGCTGCCGCTGCCGGCAGAGAAGAGGAGAAGGATCGCTGCTGGAAGGGACAGAATGCTGGGGTAAGGCACGAGTGGGCGGCCGTACTCGTAAGCGGTGCATGGCAGGCCGACATTACCCTTCGCCCGAGGATAAAGATGCATCTTACTATGTACGAATGGAGCCGGTGAGGATGACAGCCAGAAGGACAGCGGCAAAGGCCATGGCCAAGGCTGTTTTTGTTTTGTTCCGCCATCACCAAGGTGCTGGGCCCTGTCCGTAGAATCCCGACAGACAGGATGAAGGTGAAGAAGTAGGATACAGTTGCCCTTCTTGGGACGTTTGTTCCCCTGACATCGGACCACCTGCAGTTGTCGTGGCAGACAAAGTATCTTACGGAGCAGTCGTGGCAATCGTGGCCATCGTGGCAACCGTGGCGATCGTGAAAGGCACGGCAGTGATGGGGGAGTCGTGGCGTCGTGGCAGGACGGACAGGCGGGCAGACGAGCAGAAGCGCGTTGTCCGCGTTGTGCTGGGGGGGGGGGTCAATTGGGAGGGGGGCTGCCAGAATCGGCGGTGGATCATCAGGGCACGTAAAGATCAGCTGCTTTTTGCCTGTGCTTCCTTCGTGGAGGCGCGTGCCTTTTCGCGCGTCTTGCACGGCAGCATGGATGCGTGTGAGCCGACCTGACCGCCTCGAGAGCGCGACCTCTGGCGAGTACGAGTACAAGTACGAAGTACGAGCACAGGCCGATACGAGAGGCCATCTTCTGTCGGCGAAATGACCCAATACCGTGCCGGCCGGTCGCTCCGGCTGTGGGCTGCATCTGCACGCAAGGCATGAGGGCAAGACCCTGCCAATCGTCCTCTCTCTTTCGGCTGATTCGAGAGCAGGAGGGCCTGTACTCCGTACACTATGTAAGCCCCCATTCAGAAGCTACCGGCCCCACGCCCCGAACATGCGGCCAGGTTGACGTGCACCTTACGGGGGATGCGTACGCGAAGAAGAAAAAAGGAGGTGAGCCGGCTGCCGGACATCAGCAGCAGCAGCCGCAAGAGCAGCGGTCGCAAGAGTCGCAGAAGCAGCGGTCGCAATATCAGCAGGTCCTGCGCATGTCCTCCATGCGCATCCTCGTATCTTGCTACGTCGTATGTGCCTTACCAGCAGCACATCCCTGGCCGAGACAGGCTTTATCTTTAGCGCCTCGCTGGCCAGTTAGGGCCGTCTGGCCGGACCCCTCGTACTCGCCAATTTGTCGAGGCTGAGCCGCGGCGAAGGCCAGCCATGGTTTTGCGCATTAAATCAATTCGGAAAAGAAACGGCAAAATCTACCAACAGCCGACAGTGAGCGCGAGGCAGTGTTGTTTTGCGAGTATATCGTACGCATGCATGTGGCGTCATGCACAGATGAGAAGGACGGAGGGGGGAGGGAGACTTGGCCTTGTTTGATCCTGGGGGGACATTTTTCCTACTCGCCTTTCCCAACTTCCCAAACAAGTTCGCGCTTCTACCATCCGAGAAGAGGTACGTATACGTCTCCTTGGGGGGGGGGGGGGGGGTTTAAGGTGGGGATCTGG